CTGGGGTGCAGCGTCATGATTTTTAAAACTTTGAATGGCCATGGGGTGTAGATTGGCCTGAGCAAATTTGGTGTCAGTGGGACGAAAGCCTTAGGAGGAGTTAGCCACATTCCAATGTGTGCTAATCGGCAAAAAATGCAAAATAGCCCTTTAACCGTACATTTTACAGATACGCGCACATTGACTTTTTCGTAGATCTTATTGAGATACATGTGTGTGTCAAATTTTGTGTCAATATGACAAAGCATACAGGTATGACAGTCAACAATGTGTATTTTCACCTTATGGGACAAGAAAAAATGGACTTTTTTCTCCTGCCATGGGGGGGCGCTCTTTTGGGGAGTAAAAATTCCTTCACAAATGTGTTGATGGCTGGACATTGCATCATCCTAGAAAACTTGGAGGCCAGTGAGGACAAAAATAAAAAGTTATAAGACTTTGAAATATGTGGATTTTAGGGTTATCTTTGGCGCCCCCTAGAACCTAAACCGTGGGGTGCAGCGTCATGATTTGAATAACTTTTAATGGCCATGGGGTGTAGATTGGCCTGAGCAAATGTGGTGCCGGTGGAACGAAAGCCTTAGGAGGAGTTAGCCACATTCCAATGTGTGCGGATCGGCAAAAAATGCGGAATAACCCTTTAACCGTACATTTGACAGATACACGCACATTGACTTTTTCGTAGATCTTATTGAGATACATGTGATTGTCAAATTTTGTGTCAATATGACAAAGCGTACAGGCGTGACAGTCAATAGTGTGAATTTCCACCTTAGGGGACAAGAAAAAATGGACTTTTTTCTCCTGCCATGGGGGGGCGCTCTTTTGGCGAGTAAAAATTCCTTCACAAATGTGTTAATTGCTGGACATTGCATCATCCTAGAGAACTTGGAGGCCAGTGAGGACAAAAATAAAAAGTTATAAGACTTTTAAGACTGTGGATTTTTGGGTTATCTTTGGCGCCCCCTAAAACGTAAACCGTGGGGTGCAGCGTCATGATTTGTACAACTTTTAATTGCCATGGGGTGTAGTTTGGCCTGAGCAAATGTGGTGCCGGTGGAACGAAAGCCTTCGGAGGAGTTAGCGAAATTCCAATGTGTGCGGATCGGCAAAAAATGCGAAATAACCCTTTAACCGTACATTTGACAAATACGCCCGCGCTGACTTTTTTGTAGATCTTATTGAGATACACATGTGTGTCAAATTTTGTGTCATTTTGACAAAGCGTACAGGCGTGACAGTCAATAGTGTGAATTTTCACCTTAGGGGGCGCTATGGAGCCATTTTGCATTTTATTGTTTGGGCGACTTCAGAATATCGAATTTTTCACCAGGCCCGGTCGTCCTGTCAAGTTTCATGAGTTTTCGCCAGTGGGAAGTGGGCCATTTTCCCCTTCAAAGGGGAGGAAAAATAAGAAGAACTAGGGCCCCGGTGGGGCACTGGCGGGCCCGAGCCGTGTCGCGCCGCCCCCAGCGCGACCGCCTACCCCTCCCGATTGCGTCACACTCAAGGTCCAAAGATGGTGTGCGCACTTGTCTGTGGTCATTTACCATTATAATGAATGGGAGGCGCAGTTTCTACCAAAACGCTCGCTGCAGACAAACTACATGTCCTGTTTGAAAAAAGTGTGGACCATGAGTGAGGGCACAAACACAGCTAGTATATATCCAAATGGCAAGTTGCTCCTCCTTTCGGTTTTGCCGAGAGAGCGATGCGTTTGAGCCATTGAGCGATGGGCAGGAAAAACTTGACTTTTTCTCCTGCCATGGGGGGGCGCTCTTTTGGGGAGTAAAAATTCCTGCACAAATGTGTTGATGGCTGGACATTGCATCATCCTAGAAAACTTGGAGGCCAGTGAGGACAAAAATAAAAAGTTAAAAGACTTTTAAAAATGTGGATATTTGGGTCCTCTTTGGCGCCCCCTAGAACGTAGACCGTGGGGTGCAGCGTCATGATTTTTACAACTTTGAATGGCCATGGAGTGTAGATTGGCCTGAGCAAATTTGGTGTCAGTGGGACGAAAGCCTTAGGAGGAGTTAGCCACATTCCAATGTGTGCTAATCGGCAAAAAATGCAAAATAGCCCTTTAACCGTACATTTTACAGATACGCGCACATTGACTTTTTCGTAGATCTTATTGAGATACATGTGTGTGTCAAATTTTGTGTCAATATGACAAAGCATACAGGTATGACAGTCAACAATGTGTATTTTCACCTTATGGGACAAGAAAAAATGGACTTTTTTCTCCTGCCATGGGGGGGCGCTCTTTTGGGGAGTAAAAATTCCTTCACAAATGTGTTGATGGCTGGACATTGCATCATCCTAGAAAACTTGGAGGCCAGTGAGGACAAAAATAAAAAGTTATAAGACTTTGAAATATGTGGATTTTAGGGTTATCTTTGGCGCCCCCTAGAACCTAAACCGTGGGGTGCAGCGTCATGATTTGAATAACTTTTAATGGCCATGGGGTGTAGATTGGCCTGAGCAAATGTGGTGCCGGTGGAACGAAAGCCTTAGGAGGAGTTAGCCACATTCCAATGTGTGCGGATCGGCAAAAAATGCGGAATAACCCTTTAACCGTACATTTGACAGATACACGCACATTGACTTTTTCGTAGATCTTATTGAGATACATGTGATTGTCAAATTTTGTGTCAATATGACAAAGCGTACAGGCGTGACAGTCAATAGTGTGAATTTCCACCTTAGGGGACAAGAAAAAATGGACTTTTTTCTCCTGCCATGGGGGGGCGCTCTTTTGGCGAGTAAAAATTCCTTCACAAATGTGTTAATTGCTGGACATTGCATCATCCTAGAGAACTTGGAGGCCAGTGAGGACAAAAATAAAAAGTTATAAGACTTTTAAGACTGTGGATTTTTGGGTTATCTTTGGCGCCCCCTAAAACGTAAACCGTGGGGTGCAGCGTCATGATTTGTACAACTTTTAATTGCCATGGGGTGTAGTTTGGCCTGAGCAAATGTGGTGCCGGTGGAACGAAAGCCTTCGGAGGAGTTAGCGAAATTCCAATGTGTGCGGATCGGCAAAAAATGCGAAATAACCCTTTAACCGTACATTTGACAAATACGCCCGCGCTGACTTTTTTGTAGATCTTATTGAGATACACATGTGTGTCAAATTTTGTGTCATTTTGACAAAGCGTACAGGCGTGACAGTCAATAGTGTGAATTTTCACCTTAGGGGGCGCTATGGAGCCATTTTGCATTTTATTGTTTGGGCGACTTCAGAATATCGAATTTTTCACCAGGCCCGGTCGTCCTGTCAAGTTTCATGAGTTTTCGCCAGTGGGAAGTGGGCCATTTTCCCCTTCAAAGGGGAGGAAAAATAAGAAGAACTAGGGCCCCGGTGGGGCACTGTCGGGCCCGAGCCGCGTCGCGCCGCCCCCAGCGCGACCGCCTCCACCTCCCGATCGCGTCACACTCTAGGTCCAAAGATGGAGTGCGCACTTGTCTGTGGTCATTTCCCATTATAATGAATGGGAGGCGCAGTTTCTACCAAAACACTCGCTGCAGACAAACTACATGTCCTGTTTGAAAAAAGTCTGGACCATGAGTGAGGGCACAAACACAGCTAGGATATATCCAAATGGCAAGTTGCTCCTCCTTTCGCTTTTGCCGAGAGAGCGATGCGATTGAGCCATTGAGCGATGGGCAGGAAAAACTTGACTTTTTCTCCTGCCATGGGGGGGGGGGGGGGGATGTGGATTCTTTTAAGAATGTGGATATTTGGGTCATCTTTGGCGCCCCCTAGAACGTAAACCGTGGGGTGCAGCGTCATGATTTTTACAACTCTGAATGGCCATGGGGTGTAGATTGGCCTGAGCAAATTTGGTGTCAGTGGGACGAAAGCCTTAGGAGGAGTTAGCCACATTCCAATGTGTGCGAATCGGCAAAAAATGCAAAATAGCCCTTTAACCGTACATTTTACAGATATTTGCGCATGACTTTTTCATAGATCTTATTGAGATACACGTGATTGTCAAATTTTGTGTCATTTTGACAAAGCGTACAGGCGTGACACTCAACAATCTGTATTTTTACCTTATGGGACAAGAAAAAATGGACTTTTTTCTCCTGCCATGGGGGGGCGCTCTTTTGGGGAGTAAAAATTCCTTCACAAATGTGTTGATGGCTGGACATTGCATCATCCTAGAAAACTTGGAGGCCAGTGAGGACAAAAATAAAAAGTTATAAGACTTTTAAGAATGTGGATTTTTGGGTTATCTTTGGCGCCCCCTAGAACGTAAACCGTGGGGTGCAGCGTCATGATTTGTACAACTTTTAATGGCCATGGGGTGTAGATTGGCCTGAGCAAATTTGGTGCCGGTGGAACGAAAGCCTTCGGAGGAGTTAGCGAAATTCCAATGTGTGCGGATCGGCAAAAAATGCGAAATAGCCCTTTAACCGTACATTATACAGATACGCGCTCTTTGACTTTTTCGTAGATCTTATTGAGATACACGTGTGTGTCAAATTTTGTGTCAATATGACAAAGCGTTCAGGCATGACACTCAACAATGTGTATTTCACCTTAGGGGACAAGAAAAAATGGACTTTTTTCTCCTGCCATGGGGAGGCGCTCTTTTGGGGAGTAAAAATTCCTTCACAAATGTGTTGATGGCTGGACATTGCATCATCCTAGAAAACTTGGAGGCCAGTGAGGACAAAAATAAAAAGTTATAAGACTTTTAAGACTGTGGATTTTTGGGTTATCTTTGGCGCCCCCTAGAATGTAAACCGTGGGGTGCAGCATCATGATTTGTACAACTTTTAATGGCCATGGGGTGTAGATTGTCCTGAGCAAATTTGTTGCCGGTGGAACGAAAGCCTTCGGAGGAGTTAGCGAAATTCCAATGTGTGCGGATCGGCAAAAAATGCGAAATAGCCCTTTAACCGTACATTTGACAGATACGCCCGCACTGACTTTTTTGTAGATCTTATTGAGATACACATGTGTGTCAAATTTTGTGTCATTTTGACAAAGCGTACAGGCGTCAGGTGAGTTTTCACCATAGGGGGCGCTATGGAGCCATTTTTCATTTTTTTGTTTGGGCGACTTCAGAATATCGAATTTTTCACCAGGCCCGGTCGTCCTGCCAAATTTCCTGAGTTTTCGCCAGTGGGAAGTGGGCCATTTTCCAGTTTAAAGCGGAGGAAAAATAACGAAAGAAGAATCCATCAGGAACAAGAGGGCTCTCGCAGCTGCTTAGCAGCTACGCTCGGGCCCTAACTAGGGCCCCGGTGGGGCACTGGCGGGCCCGAGCCGTGTCGCGCCGCCCCCAGCGCGACCGCCTACCCCTCCCGATTGCGTCACACTCAAGGTCCAAAGATGGTGTGCGCACTTGTCTGTGGTCATTTACCATTATAATGAATGGGAGGCGCAGTTTCTACCAAAACGCTCGCTGCAGACAAACTACATGTCCTGTTTGAAAAAAGTGTGGACCATGAGTGAGGGCACAAACACAGCTAGTATATATCCAAATGGCAAGTTGCTCCTCCTTTCGGTTTTGCCGAGAGAGCGATGCGTTTGAGCCATTGAGCGATGGGCAGGAAAAACTTGACTTTTTCTCCTGCCATGGGGGGGCGCTCTTTTGGGGAGTAAAAATTCCTGCACAAATGTGTTGATGGCTGGACATTGCATCATCCTAGAAAACTTGGAGGCCAGTGAGGACAAAAATAAAAAGTTAAAAGACTTTTAAAAATGTGGATATTTGGGTCCTCTTTGGCGCCCCCTAGAACGTAGACCGTGGGGTGCAGCGTCATGATTTTTACAACTTTGAATGGCCATCGGGTGTAGATTGGCCTGAGCAAATTTGGTGTCAGTGGGACGAAAGCCTTAGGAGGACTAAGCCACATTCCAATGTGTGCGAATCGGCAAAAAATGCGAAAAAGCCCTTTAACCGTACATTTTACAGATACGCGTTCTTTAACTTTTTCGTAGATCTTATTGAGATACACGTGTGTGTCAAATTTTGTGTCAATATGACAAAGCGTTCAGGCATGACACGCCAGCGCTGACTTTTTCGTAGATCTTCTTGAGATACATGTGTGTGTCAATTTTTGTGTCATTTTGACAAAGCGTAAAGGCGTGACAGTCAATAGTGTGAATTTTCACCTTAGGGGGCGCTATGGAGCCATTTTGCATTTTCTTGTTTGGGCGACTTCGGAATATCAAATTTTTCACCAGGCCCGGTCATCCTGCCAAATTTCATGAGTTTTCGCCAGTGGGAAGTGGGCCATTTTCCAGTTCAAAGGGGAGGAAAAAGAAGAAAGAAAGAAACAAAGAAAAACCACTTGGGGAATAATAGGGCTCTCGCAGCTGCTTAGCAGCTACGCTCGGGCCCTAACTAGGGCCCCGGTGGGGCACTGTCGGGCCCGAGCCGCGTCACGCCGCCCCCAGCGTGACCGCCTCCACCTCCCGATCGCGTCACACTCTAGGTCCAAAGATGGAGTGCGCACTTGTCTGTGGTCATTTCCCATTATAATGAATGGGAGGCGCAGTTTCTACCAAAACACTCGCTGCAGACAAACTACATGTCCTATTTGAAAAAAGTCTGGACCATGAGTGAGGGCACAAACACAGCTAGGATATATCCAAATGGCAAGTTGCTCCTCCTTTCGCTTTTGCCGAGAGAGCGATGCGATTGAGCCATTGAGCGATGGGCAGGAAAAACTTGACTTTTTCTCCTGCCATGGGGGGAGGGGGGGATGTGGATTCTTTTAAGAATGTGGATATTTGGGTCATCTTTGGCACCCCCTAGAACGTAAACCGTGGGGTGCAGCGTCATGATTTTTACAACTTTGAATGGCCATGGGGTGTAGATTGGCCTGAGCAAATTTGGTGTCAGTGGGACGAAAGCCTTAGGAGGAGTTAGCCACATTCCAATGTGTGCGAATCGGCAAAAAATGCAAAATAGCCCTTTAACCGTACATTTTACAGATATTTGCGCATGACTTTTTCATAGATCTTATTGAGATACACATGATTGTCAAATTTTGTGTCATTTTGACAAAGCGTAGAGGCGTGACACTCAACAATGTGTTTTTTCACCTTATGGGACAAGAAAAAATGGACTTTTTTCTCCTGCCATGGGGGGGCGCTCTTTTGGGGAGTAAAAATTCCTTCACAAATGTGTTGATGGCTGGACATTGCATCATCCTAGAAAACTTGGAGGCCAGTGAGGACAAAAATAAAAAGTTATAAGACTTTTAAGAATGTGGATTTTTGGGTTATCTTTGGCGCCCCCTAGAACCTAAACCGTGGGGTGCAGCGTCATGATTTGTACAACTTTTAATGGCCATGGGGTGTAGATTGGCCTGAGCAAATTTGGTGCCGGTGGAACGAAAGCCTTCGGAGGAGTTAGCGAAATTCCAATGTGTGCGGATCCGCAAAAAATGCGAAATAGCCCTTTAACCGTACATTTGACAGATACGCGTTCTTTAACTTTTTCGTAGATCTTATTGAGATACACGTGTGTGTCAAATTTTGTGTCAATATGACAAAGCGTTCAGGCATGACACTCAACAATGTGTATTTTCACCTTAGGGGACAAGAAAAAATGGACTTTTTTCTCCTGCCATGGGGGGCGCTCTTTTGGGGAGTAAAAATTTCTTCACAAATGTGTTGATGGCTGGACATTGCATCATCCTAGAAAACTTGGAGGCCAGTGAGGACAAAAATAAAAAGTTATAAGACTTTTAAGACTGTGGATTTTTGGGTTATCTTTGGCGCCCCCTAGAATGTAAACCGTGGGGTGCAGCGTCATGATTTGTACAACTTTGAATGGCCATGGGGTGTAGATTGTCCTGAGCAAATTTGTTGCCGGTGGAACGAAAGCCTTCGGAGGAGTTAGCGAAATTCCAATGTGTGCGGATCGGCAAAAAATGCGAAATAGCCCTTTAACCGTACATTTGACAGATACGCCCGCACTGACTTTTTTGTAGATCTTATTGAGATACACATGTGTGTCAAATTTTGTGTCATTTTGACAAAGCGTACAGGCGTCAGGTGAGTTTTCACCATAGGGGGCGCTATGGAGCCATTTTTCATTTTTTTGTTTGGGCGACTTCAGAATATCGAATTTTTCACCAGGCCCGGTCGTCCTGCCAAATTTCCTGAGTTTTCGCCAGTGGGAAGTGGGCCATTTTCCAGTTTAAAGCGGAGGAAAAATAACGAAAGAAGAATCCATCAGGAACAAGAGGGCTCTCGCAGCTGCTTAGCAGCTACGCTCGGGCCCTAAAGAAACAAAGAAAAACCACTTGGGGAATAATAGGGCCTACGCCCGGCTGCTCTGCAGCTGGCTCGGGCCCTAACTAGGACCCCGTTGGGGCACTGGCGGGCCCGAGCTGTGTCGCGTCCCCCCCCCAACGCGCTGCCTCCCCGTCCCATTCGCGTCCTCTGGCCATCGCCCTCTCTGGTAACGCCCATCACTGCAAAGACCCTTTTCCTTCATCGGCGTTTGCTGTTCTTCCTGCCAGTGCGTGTTGCTTTCACTTACACTTGCCACAGCCAGCCTCGTGAGTGCCTAGCCTATTGGATATCACTGTCACCTACACAGGACAGTCATTACCTTTCTATTAATACTTTGTTTTTTAATTTCACATTAATTTCCATATTGTATAAACAACTGGAAAAAACTTGAGCCCCTGCCCCTGTATAATCATGTGCACGTCTCTGTTCTAGCTCTAAGGTGAATCTTCACTGCTCATGTTCTCCTCAGAAGCAGTCACCTCACTCCCCTCAGGTTACTGTACACATGCACCAACTGCCTGCTTCAGGTTTGGATGGAGCTTCATGGTTGTCTTTTGGAGAAATGACCAGTCAAGTTGTGTTTGAAATCTGATTTTTTTCAGGGGCAAAAGGAGCCTCTGCATTCTTGTCAAATACGTAAATAGCATGTTTTTGCAGGTGCTAAAAACCAGACTCTGGGTGTGTGTGTATGCGTGTGTGTGTGTGTCTGTGTGTGTGTGTGTGTGTGTGTGTGTGTGTGTGTGTGTGTGTGTGCGTTCAAGTCACATGACATATTTAACCGGATGTAGCTGCAAGACGGAGCCTCATTGACTCTCCGTTTCAACTTATCTCAAAAGTGAGGACCTCAACCTATATACCAGTTTTTAAATTGTGTTGATAGGCCAAATAAAACCAGAGTTATGATAAATTATGTCCGCGATACTTGTTTTCAGCTTATTTTGATCACGTTCGGCGCTCGATCGCGCTGTATGAGACAGGAAAACATAGCATGCAGACATTAGCGACAGGTCTTACAGCGGAAAAGGCTTGCCAAAGGAAAAAAAAACACACCACAACATCTCTCCTATTGGTGGAAAACTTCACCACAACAACCAATCCAAAATTATCTGGTGACTGATTGACAAGGGGCGGGCGCTTACGTTCTTCCTGCAATATGAGAAGGGAGGGAGGGACTCTCAGCAGGGATGCAGTCTGGGACACGTAGTTGCAAACCTAGCGACTTTGTTGTTAGATTCAATGACTTTTCAGACCCCCTAACGACTTTTTTTTAGAAAGAAAGTGACTTTTATCGACTTCTTCTGGAGTTTAGAGACTCTGACATGAAGCAGGCTTTCCTTACTGAGGAGTTAGCAACGCTGCTAAGGGTGCAGAGCCACACATGCGCTCCGAGCTCTGCATGGGAGACTGAAGCTGACAGAGCTGCAGCAGTTAGCAGGTTTCACCCTCAGAGACCACCAGGGGTTCATGTTGAGGCATTTTCAGTTTTTTTTTTTTTTTTTGCCATAGACACTGTCAGCACAATCTGCAGTTACACTAACAAAAATGCTGCAAAAAACAAAGAATTATGGAAAAATTACACATGGACTAACATAGAGGAGGATCTACACAAGTTTTTTACATCATGTTTTACATCATGCATCATTTACATCATGTTTTTTTGTAGTGGCATAAATAAAAAGTGACATTTGTGAGACTATACAGTGTTTTGTAAATAATTTTACAAAGAACACCTGGGCCATTGCCTGCATTTTGATGTAAATAGAGGTAAATTACTATGTTCTTTGTTAAAAATTTGCATATGTTTTGAAGTTTACAATTTTTATTTGAAGTTTAAGTTTTAAAAACAGTTCATCACACATATTTGTGGTTTTCACAGTAAAAACGTTACTTTTTTCCACTCGGATTTTATGTTTTGTGTGTGAATTTGGGTCCAATGTGTAAATATAGTATGTCAAAATGATAAAATAACTGTAAATTGACACAGGTGAGGTTGTGCTGAAAAAAATGATACCAGGCAAGGCAAGGTAAAAATTTTCTAAGAGGAAATATAAAGGTAAAATCTAAAGTAGTCAAAAACGGCCAATAGTGACTCACAGACTCCACAGACAAGTCCCTTTGGCGCCACTCAGTGGGCAAAACTACTTTGTCAACTGTAAGGTATATTTGGGTCATCTTTGGCGCCCCCTAAAACGTAAACCGTGGGGTGCAGCGTCATGATTTTTACAACTTTGAATGGCCATGGAGTGTAGATTGGCCTGAGCAAATTTGGTGTCAGTGGGACGAAAGCCTTAGGAGGAGTTAGCGAAATTCCAATGTGTGCGAATCGGCAAAAAATGCAAAATAGCCCTTTTACCGTACATTATACAGATACGCGCGCATGGACTTTTTTGTAGATCTTATTGAGATACATGTGTGTGTCAATTTTTGTGTCATTTTGACAAAGCGTACAGGCGTGACACTCAACAATGTGTATTTTCACCTTAGGGGACAAGAAAAAATGGACTTTTTTCTCCTGCCATGGGGGGGCGCTCTTTTGGGGAGTAAAAATTCCTTCACAAATGTGTTGATGGCTGGACATTGCATCATCCTAGAAAACTTGGAGGCCAGTGAGGGCAAAAAATAAAAAGTTATAAGACTTTTAAATATGTGGATTTTAGTGTTATCTTTGGCGCCCCCTAGAACCTAAACCGTGGGGTGCAGGGTCATGATTTGAATAACTTTTAATGGCCATGGGGTGTAGATTGGCCTGAGCAAATGTGGTGCCGGTGGAACGAAAGCCTTCGGAGGAGTTAGCGAAATTCCAATGTGTGCGGATCGGCAAAAAATGCGAAATAACCCTTTAACCGTACATTTGACAGATACGCCCGCACTGACTTTTTTGTAGATCTTATTGAGATACATGTGTGTGTCAATTTTTGTGTCATTTTGACAAAGCGTACAGGCGTGACAGTCAATAGTGTGAATTTTCACCATAGGGGGCGCTATGGAGCCATTTTTCATTTTTTTGTTTGGGCGACTTCAGAATATCAAATTTTTCACCAGGCCCGGTCGTCCTGCCAAATTTCCTGAGTTTTCGTCAGTGGGAAGTGGGCCATTTTCCAGTTTAAAGCGGAGGAAAAATAACGAAAGAAGAATCCATCAGGAACTAGGGCCCCGTTGGGGCACTGGCGGGCCCGAGCCGTGTCACGCCGCCCCCAGCGCGACCGCCTCCCCCACCCGATCGCGTCACACTCAAGGTTCAAAGATGGTGTGCGCACTTGTTTGTGGTCATTTACCATTATAATGAACGGGAGGCGCAGTTTCTACCAAAACGCTCGCTGCAGAAAAACTCCATGTCCTATTTGAAAAAAGTCTGGACCATGAGTGAGGTCACAAACACAGCTAAGATATATCCAAATGGCAAGTTGCTCCTCCTTTCGCTTTTGCCGAGAGAGCAGTGCGTTTGAGCCATTGAATGATGAACAGGAAAAACTTGACTTTATTCTCCTGCCATGGGGGGGCGCTCTTTTAACGAGAAAAAACTCCTTCACAAATGTGTTGATGGCTGGACATTGCATCATCCTAGAAAACATGGAGGCCAGTGAGGACAAAAATAAAAAGTTATAAGACTTTGAAATATGTGGATTTTAGGGTTATCTTTGGCGCCCCCTAGAACCTAAACCGTGGGGTGCAGCGTCATGATTTGAATAACTTTTAATGGCCATGGGGTGTAGATTGGCCTGAGCAAATGTGGTGCCGGTGGAACGAAAGCCTTCGGAGGAGTTAGCGAAATTCCAATGTGTGCGGATCGGCAAAAAATGCGGAATAACCCTTTAACCGTACATTTGACAGATACGTGGCCATTGACTTTTTCGAAGATCTTATTGAGATACATGTGTGTGTCAATTTTGGTGTCATTTTGCCAAAGCGTACAGGTGTTACACTCAACAATGTGTATTTTCACCTTAGGGGACAAGAAAAAATGGAATTTTTTCTCCTGCCATGGTGGGGCGCTCTTTTGGGGAGTAAAAATTCCTTCACAAATGTGTTGATGGCTGGACATTGCATCATCCTAGAAAACTTGGAGGCCAGTGGGGACAAAAATAAAAAGTTATAAGAATTTTAAATATGTGGATCTTAGGGTTATCTTTGGCGCCCCCTAGAACCTAAACCGTGGGGTGCAGCGTCATGATTTGAATAACTTTGAATGGCCATGGGGTGTAGATTGGCCTGAGCAAATGTGGTGCCGGTGGAACGAAAGCCTTCGGAGGAGTTAGCGAAATTCCAATGTGTGCGGATCGGCAAAAAATGCGAAATAACCCTTTAACCGTACATTTGACAGATACGCCCGCACTGACTTTTTTGTAGATCTTATTGAGATACATGTGTGTGTCAATTTTTGTGTCATTTTGACAAAGCGTACAGGCGTGACAGTCAATAGTGTGAATTTTCACCTTAGGGGGCGCTATGGAGCCATTTTGCATTTTCTTGTTTGGGCGACTTCGGAATATCAAATTTTTCACCAGGCCCGGTCGTCCTGCCAAATTTCATGAGTTTTCGCCAGTGGGAAGTGGGCCATTTTCCAGTTCAAAGGGGAGGAAAAATAATAACTAGGGCCCTGTTGGGGCACTGGCGGGCCCGAGCCGTGTCGCGCCGCCCCCAGCGCGACCGCCTACCCCTCCCGATCGCGTCACACTCAAGGTCCAAAGATGGTGTGCGCACTTGTCTGTGGTCATTTACCATTATAATGAATGGGAGGCGCAGTTTCTACCAAAACGCTCGCTGCAGACAAACTCCATGTCCTTTTTGAAAAAAGTCTGGACCATGAGTGAGGGCACAAACACAGCTAGTATATATCCAAATGGCAAGTTGCTCCTCCTTTCCGTTTTGCCGAGAGAGCGATGCGTTTGAGCCATTAAGCGATGGGCAGGAAAAACTTGACTTTTTCTCCTGCCATGGGGGGGGCGCTCTTTTGGGGAGTAAAAATTCCCTCACAAATGTGTTGATGGCTGGACATTGCATCATCCTAGAAAACTTGGAGGCCAGTGAGGACAAAAATAAAAAGTTATAAGACTTCTAAAAATGTGGATATTTGGGGCCTCTTTGGCGCCCCCTAGAACATAAACCGTGGGGTGCAGCGTCATGATTTGTACAACTTTGAATGGCCATGGGGTGTAGATTGACCTGAGCAAATTTGGTGTCAGTGGGATGAAAGCCTTAGGAGGAGTTAGCCACATTCCAATGTGTGCAAATCGGCAAAAAATGCGAAATAGCCCTTTAACCGTACATTGAACAGATACGCTCGCATTGACTTTTTCGTAGATCGTATTGAGATACATGTGTGTGTCAATTTTTGTGTCATTTTGACAAAGCGTAAAGGCGTGACAGTCAACAATGTGTATTTTCGCCTTAGGAGACAAGAAAAAATGGACTTTTTTCTCCTGCCATTGGGGGGCGCTCTTTTGGGGAGTAAAAATTCCTTCACAAATGTGTTGATGGCTGGACATTGCATCATCCTAGAGAACTTGGAGGCCAGTGAGGACAAAAATAAAAAGTTATAAGACTTTTAAGACTGTGGATTTTTGGGTTATCTTTGGCGCCCCCTAGAACGTAAACCGTGGGGTGCAGCGTCATGATTTGTACAACTTTTAATGGCCATGGGGTGTAGATTGGCCTGAGCAAATGTGGTGCCATTGGAACGAAAGCCTTCGGAGGAGTTAGCGAAATTCCAATGTGTGTGGATCGGCAAAAAATGCGAAATAACCCTTTAACCGTACATTTGACAGATACGCCCGCACTGACTTTTTTGTAGATCTTATTGAGATACATGTGTGTGTCAATTTTTGTGTCAATATGACAAAGCGTAAAGGCGTGACAGTCAATAGTGTGAATTTTCACCTTAGGGGGCGCTATGGAGCCATTTTGCATTTTATTGTTTGGGCAACTTCAGAATATCGAATTTTTTACCAGGCCCGGTCGTCCTGCCAAATTTCATGAGTTTTCGCCAGTGGGAAGTGGGCCATTTTCCAGTTTAAAGCGGAGGGAAAATAATAATAATAATAATAATAATAATAATAATAACAAACTAGGGCCCCGGTGGGGCACTGGCGGGCCCGAGCCGTGTCACGCCGCCCCCAGCGCGACCGCCTACCCCTCCCGATCGCGTCACACTCAAGGTCCAAAGATGGTGTGCGCACTTGTCTGTGGTCATTTACCATTATAATGAATGGGAGGCGCAGTTTCTACCAAAACGCTCGCTGCAGACAAACTCCATGTCCTTTTTGAAAAAAGTCTGGACCATGAGTGAGGGCACAAACACAGCTAGTATATATCCAAATGGCAAGTTGCTCCTCCTTTCGGTTTTGCCGAGAGAGCGATGCGTTTGAGCCATTGAGCGATGGGCAGGAAAAACTTGACTTTTTCTCCTGCCATGGGGGGGCGCTCTTTTGGGGAGAAAAAATTCCTTCACAAATGTGTTGATGGCTGGACATTGCATCATCCTAGAAAACTTGGAGGCCAGTGAGGACAAAAATAAAAAGTTATAAGACTTCTAAAAATGTGGATATTTGGGTCCTCTTTGGCGCCCCCTAGAACGTAGACCATGGGGTGCAGCGTCATGATTTTTACAACTTTGAATGGCCATGGGGTGTAGATTGGCCTGAGCAAATTTGGTGTCAGTGGGACGAAAGCCTTAGGAGGAGTTAGCCACATTCCAATGTGTACGAATCGGCAAAAAATGCGAAATAGCCCTTTAACCGTACATTTTACAGATACGCTCGCATTGACTTTTTCGTAGATCTTATTGAGATACACGTGATTGTCAAATTTTGTGTCAATATGACAAAGCGTACAGGCGTGACATTCAACAATGTGTATTTTCACCTTAGGGGACAAGAAAAAATTGACTTTTTTCTCCTGCCATGGGGGGGCGCTCTTTTGGGGAGTAAAAATTCCTTCACAAATGTGTTGATGGCTGGACATTGCATCATCCTAGAAAACTTGGAGGCCAGTGAGGACAAAAATAAAAAGTTATAAAACTTTTAAGAATGTGGATTTTAGGGTTATTTTTGGTGCCCCCTAGAACCTAAACCATGGGGTGCAGCATCATGATTTGTACAACTTTGAATGGCCATGGAGTGTAGATTGGCCTGAGCAAATGTGGTGCCGGTGGAACGAAAGCCTTCGGAGGAGTTAGCGAAATTCCAATGTGTGCGGATCTGCAAAAAATGCGAAATAACCCTTTAACCGTACATTTGACAGATACGCCCGCACTGACTTTTTTGTAGATCTTATTGAGATACATGTGTGTGTCAATTTTTGTGTCAATATGACAAAGCGTACAGGCGTGACAGTCAATAGTGTGAATTTTCACCTTAGGGGGCGCTATGGAGCCATTTTGTATTTTATTGTTTGGGCGACTTCAGAATATCGAATTTTTCACCAGGCCCGGTCGTCCTGCCAAATTTCCTGAGTTTTCGCCAGTGGGAAGTGGGCCATTTTCCAGTTTAAAGCGGAGGAAAAATAATAACTAGGACCCCGTTGGGGCACTGTCGGGCCCGAGCCGTGTCGCGTCCCCCCCCCCCCCCCCCCAACGTGCTGCCTCCCCGTCCCATTTGTGTCCTCTGGCCATCGCCCTCTCTGGTAACGCCCATCACTGCAAAGACCCTTTTCCTTCATCGGCGTTTGCTGTTCTTCCTGCCAGTGCGTGTTGCTTTCACTTACACTTGCCACAGCCAGCCTCGTGAGTGCCTAGCCTATTGGATATCACTGTCACCTACACAGGACAGTCATTACCTTTCTATTAATACTTTGTGTTTTAATTTCACATTAATTTCCATATTGTATAAACGACTGGAAAAAACTTGAGCCCCTGCCCCTGTATAATCATGTGCATGTCTCTGTTCTAGCTCCAAGGTGAATCTTCACTGCTCATGTTCTCCTCAGAAGCACTCACCTCACTCCCCTCAGGTTACTGTACACATGCACCAACTGCCTGCTTCAGGTTTGGATGGAGCTTCATGGTTGTCTTTTGGAGAAATGACCAGTCAAGTTGTGTTTGAAATTTGATTTTTTTCAGGGGCAAAAGGAGCCTCTGCATTCTTGTCAAATATGTAAATAGCATGTTTTTGCAGGTGCTAAAAACCAGACTCTGAGTGTGTGTGTGTGTGTGTGTGTGTGTGTGTGTGTGCGTGTGTGTGTCTGTGTGTGCGTTCAAGTCACATGACATATTTAATCGGATGTAGCTGCAAGACGGAGCCTCGTTGACTCTCCGTTTCAACTTATCTCAAAAGTGAGGACCTCAACCTATATACCAGTTTTTAAATTGTGTTGATAGGCCAAATAAAACCAGAGTTATGATAAATTATGTCCGCGATACTTTTTTTCTGCTTATTTTGATCACGTTCGGCGCTCGATCGCGCTGTATGAGACAGGAAAACATAGCATGCAGACATTAGCGACAGGTCTTACAGGCGGAAAAGGCTTGCCAAAAAGAAAAAAAAAACACACCACAACATCTCTCCTATTGGTGGAAAACTTCACCACAACAACCAATCCAAAATTATATGGTGACTGAATGACAAGGGGCGGGCGCTTACGTTCTTCCTGCAACATGAGAAGGGAGGGAGGGACTCTCAGCAGGGATGCAGTCTGGGACACGTAGTTGCAAACCTAGCGACTTTGTTGTTAGATTCAATGACTTTTCAGACCCCCTAACGACTTTTTTTTAGAAAGAAAGGGACTTTTATCGACTTCTTCTGGAGTTTAGAGACTCTGACATGAAGCAGGCTTTCCTTACTGAGGAGTTAGCAACGCTGCTAAGGGTGCAGAGCCACACATGCGCTCAGAGCTCTGCATGGGAGACTGAAGCTGACAGAGCTGCAGCAGTTAGCAGGTTTCACCCTCAGAGACCACCAGGGGTTCATGTTGAGGAATTTTAATTTTTTTCTTTTTTGTGCCATAGACACTGTCAGCACAATCTGCAGTTACACTAACAAAAATGCTGCAAAAAACAAAGAATTATGGAAAAATTACACATGGACTGACATAGAGGAGGATCTACACAAGTTTTTTACATCATGTTTTACATCATGCATCATTTACATCATGTTTTTTTGTAGTGGCATAAATAAAAAGTGACATTTGTGAGACTATACAGTGTTTTGTAAATAATTTTACAAAGAACGCCTGGGCCATTGCCTGCATTTTGATGTAAATAGAGGTAAATCACTATGTTCTTTGTTAAAAATTTGCATATGTTTTGAAGTTTACAATTTTTATTTGAAGTTTAAGTTTTAAAAACAGTTCATCACACATATTTGTGGTTTTCACAGTAAAAACGTTACTTTTTTCCACTCGGATTTTATGTTTTGTGTGTGAATTTGGGTCCAATGTGTAAATATAGTATGTCAAAATGATAAAATAACTGTAAATTGACACAGGTGAGGTTGTGCTGAAAAAAATGATACCAGGCAAGGCAAGGTAAAAATTTTGTAAGAGGAAATATAAAGGTAAAATCTAAAGTAGTCAAAAACGGCCAATAGTGACTCACAGACTCCACAGACAAGTCCCTTTGGCGCCACTCAGTGGGCAAAACTACTTTGTCTACTGTAATGTATATTTGGGTCATCTTTGGCGCCCCCTAAAACGTAAACCGTGGGGTGCAGCGTCATGATTTTTACAACTTTGAATGGCCATGGAGTGTAGATTGGCCTGAGCAAATTTGGTGTCATTGGGACGAAAGCCTTAGGAGGAGTTAGCGAAATTCCAATGTGTGCGAATCGGCAAAAAATGCAAAATAGCCCTTTTACCGTACATTATACAGATACGCGCTCTTTGACTTTTTCATAGATCTAATTGAGATACACATGATTGTCAATTTTTGTGTCATTTTGCCAAAGCGTACAGGCGTGACAGTCAACAATGTGTATTTTCACCTTAGGGGACAAGAAAAAATGGACTTTTTTCTCCTGCCATGGGGGGGCGCTCTTTTAGGGAGTAAAAATTCCTTCACAAATGTGTTGATGGCTGGACATTGCATCATCCTAGAAAACTTGGAGGCCAGTGAGGACAAAAATAAAAAGTTATAAGACTTTTAAAAATGTGGATTTTTGGGTTATCTTTGGCGCCCCCTAGAACGTAAACCGTGGGGTGCAGCGTCATGATTTGAATAACTTTTAATGGCCATGGGGTGTAGATTGGCCTGAGCAAATGTGGTGCCGGTGGAACGAAAGCCTTCGGAGGAGTTAGCGAAATTCCAATGTGTGCGGATCGGCAAAAAATGCGGAATAACCCTTTAACCGTACATTTGACAGATACGCGCACATTGACTTTTTCGTAGATCTTATTGAGATACACGTGATAGTCAAATTTTGTGTCAATATGACAAAGCGTACAGGTGTCACACTCAACAATGTGAATTTTCACCTTACGGGACAAGAAAAAATTGACTTTTTTCTCCTGCCATGGGGGGGCGCTCTTTTGGGGAGTAAAAATTCCTTCACAAATGTGTTGATGGCTGGACATTGCATCATCCTAGAAAACTTGGAGGCCAGTGAGGGCAAAAATAAAAAGTTATAAGACTTTTAAATATGTGGATTTTAGGGTTATCTTTGGCGCCCCCTAGAACCTAAACCGTGGGGTGCAGCGTCATGATTTGAATAACTTTTAATGGCCATGGGGTGTAGATTGGCCTGAGCAAATGTGGTGCCGGTGGAACGAAAGCCTTCGGAGGAGTTAGCGAAATTCCAATGTGTGCGGATCGGCAAAAAATGCGCAATAACCCTTTAACCGTACATTTGACAGATACGCCCGCACTGACTTTTTTGTAGATCTTATTGAGATACATGTGTGTGTCAATTTTTGTGTCATTTTGACAAAGCGTACAGGCGTCAGGTGAATTTTTCACCTTAGGGGGCGCTATGGAGCCATTTTGCATTGTATTGTTTGGGCGACTTCAGAATATCAAATTTTTCACCAGGCCCGGTCGTCCTGCCAAATTTCATGAGTTTTCGCCAGTGGGAAGTGGGCCATTTTCCAGTTCAAAGGGGAGGAAAAAGAAACTAGGACCCCGTTGGGGCACTGGCGGGCCCGAGCCGTGTCGCGTCCCCCCCCCCCCCCCAACGTGCTGCCTTCCCGTCCCATTTGTGTCCTCTGGCCATCGCCCTCTCTGGTAACGCCCATCACTGCAAAGACCCTTTTCCTTCATCGGCGTTTGCTGTTCTTCCTGCCAGTGCGTGTTGCTTTCACTTACACTTGCCACAGCCAGCCTCGTGAGTGCCTAGCCTATTGGATATCACTGTCACCTACACAGGACAGTCATTACCTTTCTATTAATACTTTGTGTTTTAATTTCACATTAATTTCCATATTGTATAAACGACTGGAAAAAACTTGAGCCCCTGCCCCTGTATAATCATGTGCATGTCTCTGTTCTAGCTCCAAGGTGAATCTTCACTGCTCATGTTCTCCTCAGAAATAGTCACCTCACTCCCCTCAGGTTACTGTACACATGCACCAACTATCTGCTTCAGGTTTGAAATGGAGCTTCATGGTTGTCTTTTGGAGAAATGAACAGTCAAGTTGTGTTTGAAATCTGATTTTTTTCAGGGGCAAAAGGAAGCCTCTGCATTCTTGTCAAATATGTAAACAGCATGTTTTTGCAGGTGCTAAAAAACAGACTCTGAGTGTGTGTGTGTGTCTGTGTGTGTGTGTGTGTGTGTGTGTGTGTGTGTATGTTGGCGTGTGTGTATATGTGTGTGTATCCTGCAGTACTCTGTACTCCTGCAGTGGCCAAAAAGACTTTTAAGAATGTGGATTTTTGGGTCATCTTTGGCGCCCCCTAGAACTGCAGTACTCTGTACTCCTGCAGTGGCCAAAATGACTTTTAAGAATGTGGATTTTTGGGTCATCTTTGGCGCCCCCTAGAACGTAAACCGTGGGGTGCAGCGTCATGATTTTTACAACTTTGAATGGGCATGGGGTGTAGATTGCCCTGAGCAAATTTGGTATCGGTGGGACGAAAGCCTTAGGAGGAGATAGCCACATTCCAATGTGTGCGAATCGGCAAAAAATGCAAAATAGCCCTTTAACCGTACATTATACAGATACGCGCTCTTTGACTTTTTCGTAGATCTAATTGAGATACACATGATTGTCAATTTTTGTGTCAATATGACAAAGCGTTCAGGCGTGACACTCAACAATGTGTATTTTTATGTAAGGGGACAAGAAAAAATTGACTTTTTTCTCCTACCATGGGGGGGCGCTCTTTTGGGGAGTAAAAATTCCTTCACAAATGTGTTGATGGCTGGACATTGCATCATCCTAGAAAACTTGGAGGCCAGTGAGGACAAAAATAAAAAGTTATAAAACATTTAAGAATGTGGATTTTTGGGTTATTTTTGGCGCCCCCTAGAACCTAAACCATGGGGTGCAGCATCATGATTTGAATAACTTTTAATGGCCATGGGGTGTAGATTGGCCTGAGCAAATGTGGTGCCGGTGGAACGAAAGCCTTCGGAGGAGTTAGCGAAATTCCAATGTGTGCGTATCGGCAAAAAATGCGGAATAACCCTTTAACTGTACATTTGACAGATACGCGCGCATGGACTTTTTTGTAGATCTTATTGAGTTACATGTGTGTGTCAATTTTTGTGTCATTTTGACAAAGCGTATAGGCGTGACACTCAACAATGTGTATTTTCACCTTAGGGGACAAGAAAAAATGGACTTTTTTCTCCTGCCATGGGGGGGCGCTCTTTTGGGGAGTAAAAATTCCTTCACAAATGTGTTGATGGCTGGACATTGCATCATCCTAGAAAACTTGGAGGCCAGTGAGGACAAAAATAAAAAGTTATAAGACTTTTAAATATGTGGATTTTAGTGTTATCTTTGGCGCCCCCTAGAACCTAAACCTTGCGGTGCAGCGTCATGATTTTGATAACTTTTAATGGCCACGGGGTGTAGATTGGCCTGAGCAAATGTGGTGCCGGTGGAACGAAAGCCTTCGGAGGAGTTAGCGAAATTCCAATGTGTGCGGATCGGCAAAAAATGCGAAATAACCCTTTAACCGTAATTTTGACAGATACGGCCGCACTGACTTTTTTGTAGATCTTATTGAGATACATATGTGTGTCAATTTTTGTGTCAATATGACAAAGCGTACAGGCGTGACAGTCAATAGTGTGAATTTCCACCTTAGGGGGCGCTATGGAGCCATTTTGCATTTTATTGTTTGGGCGACTTCAGAATATCGAATTTTTCACCAGGCCCGGTCGTCCTGCCAAATTTCATGAGTTTTCGCCAGTGGGAAGTGGGCCATTTTCCAGTTCAAAGGGGAGGAAAAAGAAGAAAGAAAGAAAGAACTAGGGCCCCGGTGGGGCACTGTCGGGCCCGAGCCGCGTTGCGCCGCCCCCAGCGCGACCGCCTCCCCCTCCCGATCGCGTCACACTCAAGGTCCAAAGATGGTGTGCGCACTTGTCTGTGGTCATTTCCCATTATAATGAATGGGAGGCGCAGTTTCTACCAAAACACTCGCTGCAGACATACTACATGTCCTATTTGAAAAAAGTCTGGACCATGAGTGAGGGCACAAACACAGCTAGGATATATCCAAACGGCAAGTTGCTCCTTGTTACGGTGTTGCCGGGAGAGTGATGCGATTGAGCCATTGAGTGATGGGCAGGAAAAACTTGACTGTTTCTCCTGCCATGGGGGTTGGGGGATGGGGGGGGGGGGGGGGGATGTGGATTCTTTTAAGAATGTGGATATTTGGGTCATCTTTGGCGCCCCCTAGAACGTAAACCGTGGGGTGCAGCGTCATGATTTTTACAACTTTGAATGGCCATGGGGTGTAGATTGGCCTGAGCAAATTTGGTGTCAGTGGGACGAAAGCCTTAGGAGGAGTTAGCCACATTCCAATGTGTGCGAATCGGCAAAAAATGCAAAATAGCCCTTTAACCGTACATTTTACAGATACGCGCGCATTGACTTTTTCGTAGATCTTATTGAGATACATGTGATTGTCAAATTTTGTGTCAATATGACAAAGCGTACAGGTATGACAGTCAACAATGTGTTTTTTCACCTTATGGGACAAGAAAAAATGGACTTTTTTCTCCTGCCATGGGGGGGCGCTCTTTTGGGGAGTAAAAATTCCTTCACAAATGTGTTGATGGCTGGACATTGCATCATCCTAGAAAACTTGGAGGCCAGTGAGGACAAAAATAAAAAGTTATAAGACTTTGAAATATGTGGATTTTAGGGTTATCTTTGGCGCCCCCTAGAACCTAAACCGTGGGGTGCAGCGTCATGATTTGAATAACTTTTAATGACCATGGGGTGTAGATTGGCCTGAGCAAATGTGGTGCCGGTGGAACGCCAGCCTTAGGAGGAGTTAGCGAAATTCCAATGTGTGCGGATCAGCAAAAAATGCGGAATAACCCTTTAACCGTACATTTGACAGATACGCGCGCGTTGACTTTTTCGTAGATCTTATTGAGATACATGTGTGTGTCAAATTTTGTGTCAATATGACAAAGCGTACAGGCGTGACACTCAACAATGTGTATTTTCACCTTAGGGGACAAGAAAAAATGGACTTTTTTCTCCTGCCATGGGGGGGCGCTCTTTTGGGGATTAAAAATTCCTTCACAAATGTGTTGATGGCTGGACATTGCATCATCCTAGAAAACTTGGAGGCCAGTGAGGTCAAAAATAAAAAGTTATAAGACTTTTAAATATGTGGATTTTAGGGTTATCTTTGGCGCCCCCTAGAACCTAAACCGTGGGGTGCAGCGTCATGATTTGAATAACTTTTAATGGCCAATGGGTGTAGATTGGCCTGAGCAAATGTGGTGCCGGTGGAACGAAAGCCTTCGGAGGAGTTAGCGAAATTCCAATGTGTGCGGATCGGCAAAAAATGCGCAATAACCCTTTAACCGTACATTTGACAGATACGCCCGCACTGACTTTTTTGTAGATCTTATTGAGATACATGTGTGTGTCAATTTTTGTGTCAATATGACAAAGCGTAAAGGCGTGACAGTCAATAGTGTGAATTTTCACCTTAGGGGGCGCTATGGAGCCATTTTGCATTTTCTTGTTTGGGCGACTTCGGAATATCAAATTTTTCACCAGGCCCGGTCATCCTGCCAAATTTCATGAGTTTTCGCCAGTGGGAAGTGGGCCATTTTCCAGTTCAAAGGGGAGGAAAAATAACTAGGGCCCCGTTGGGGCACTGGCGGGCCCGAGCCGCGTTGCGCCGCCCCCAGTGCGACCGCCTCCCCCTCCCGATCGCGTCACACTCAAGGTCCAAAGATGGTGTGCGCACTTGTCTGTGGTCATTTCCCATTATAATGAATGGGAGGCGCAGTTTCTACCAAAACACTCGCTGCAGACAAACTACATGTCCTATTTGAAAAAAGTCTGGACCATGAGTGAGGGCACAAACACAGCTAGGATATATCCAAACGGCAAGTTGCTCCTCGTTACGGTGTTGCCGGGAGAGCGATGCGATTGAGCCATTGAGTGATGGGCAGGAAAAACTTGACTGTTTCTCCTGCCATGGGGGATGGGGGATGGGGGATGGGGGGGGGGGGGGGGGTAGGGATGTGGATTCTTTTAAGAATGTGGATATTCGGGTCATCTTTGGCGCCCCCTAGAACGTAAACCGTGGGGTGCAGCGTCATGATTTTTAAAACTTTGAATGGCCATGGGGTGTAGATTGGCCTGAGCAAATTTGGTGTCAGTGGGACGAAAGCCTTAGGAGGAGTTAGCCACATTCCAATGTGTGCTAATCGGCAAAAAATGCAAAATAGCCCTTTAACCGTACATTTTACAGATACGCGTGCATTGACTTTTTCGTAGATCTTATTGAGATACATGTGTGTGTCAAATTTTGTGTCAATATGACAAAGCATACAGGTATGACAGTCAACAATGTGTATTTTCACCTTATGGGACAAGAAAAAATGGACTTTTTTCTCCTGCCATGGGGGGGCGCTCGTTTGGGGAGTAAAAATTCCTTCACAAATGTGTTGATGGCTGGACATTGCATCATCCTAGAAAACTTGGAGGCCAGAGAGGACAAAAATAAAAAGTTATAAGACTTTTAAATATGTGGATTTTAGGGTTATCTTTGGCGCCCCCTAGAACCTAAACCGTGGGGTGCAGCGTCATGATTTGAATAACTTTTAATGGCCATGGGGTGTAGATTGGCCTGAGCAAATGTGGTGCCGGTGGAACGAAAGCCTTCGGAGGAGTTAGCGAAATTCCAATGTGTGCGGATCGGCAAAAAATGCGCAATAACCCTTTAACCGTACATTTGACAGATACGCCAGCACTGACTTTTTTGTAGATCTTATTGAGATACATGTGTGTGTCAATTTTTGTGTAATTTTGACAAAGCGTACAGGCGTGACAGTCAATAGTGTGAATTTTCACCTTATGGGACAAGAAAAAATGGACTTTTTTCTCCTGCCATGGGGGGGCGCTCTTTTGGGGAGTAAAAATTCCTTCACAAATGTGTTGATGGCTGGACATTGCATCATCCTAGAAAACTTGGAGGCCAGTGAGGGCAAAAATAAAAAGTTATAAGACTTTGAAATATGTGGATTTTAGGGTTATCTTTGGCGCCCCCTAGAACCTAAACCGTGGGGTGCAGCATCATGATTTGAATAACTTTTAATGGCCATGGGGTGTAGATTGGCCTGAGCAAATGTGGTGCCGGTGGAACGAAAGCCTTCGGAGGAGTTAGCGAAATTCCAATGTGTGCGGATCGGCAAAAAATGCGCAATAACCCTTTAACCGTACATTTGACAGATACGCCCGCACTGACTTTTTTGTAGATCTTATTGAGATACATGTGTGTGTCAATTTTTGTGTCATTTTGACAAAGCGTACCGGCGTGACAGTGAATAGTGTGAATTTTCACCTTAGGGGGCGCTATGGAGCCATTTTGCATTTTCTTGTTTGGGCGACTTCAGAATATCAAATTTTTCACCAGGCCCGGTCGTCCTGCCAAATTTCATGAGTTTTCGCCAGTGGGAAGTGGGCCATTTTCCAGTTCAAAGGGGAGGAAAAATAATAATAATAACAAAAGAAGGAAACTACAGGAACAAGAGGGCTCTCGCAGCTGCTTAGCAGCTACGCTCGGGCCCTAATAATAATAACAAAAGAAGGAAACTACAGGAACAAGAGGGCTCTCGCAGCTGCTTAGCAGCTACGCTCGGGCCCTAACTAGGGCCCCGGTGGGGCACTGTCGGGCCCGAGCCGCGTCGCGCCGCCCCCAGTGCGACCGCCTCCCCGTCCCGATCGAGTCACACTCAAGAACCAAAGATGGTGTGCGCACTTGTCTGTGGTCATTTCCCATTATAATGAATGGGAGGCGCAGTTTCTACCAAAACACTCGCTGCAGACAAACTTCATGTCCTATTTGAAAAAAGTCTGGACCATGAGTGAGGGCACAAACACAGCTATGATATATCGAAATGCCAGGTTGCTCCTCCTTACGGTGTTGCCTGGAGAGCGATGCGATTGAGCCATTGAGCGATGGGCAGGAAAAACTTGACTTTTTCTCCTGCCATAGGGGGGGGGATGTGGATTCTTTTAAGAATGTGGATTTTTGGGTCATTTTTGGCGCCCCCTAGAACGTAAACCGTGGGGTGCAGCGTCATGATTTTTACAACTTTGAATGGCCATGGAGTGTAGATTGGCCTGACCAAATTTGGTGTCAGAGGGACGAAAGCCTTAGGAGGAGTTAGCCACATTCCAATGTGTGCGAATCGGCAAAAAATGCAAAATAGCCCTTAAACCGTACATTTGACAGATACGCGCGAATTGACTTTTTTGTAGATCTTATTGAGATACATAGATGTGTCAATTTTTGTGTCAATATGATAAAGCGTACAGGCGTGACAGTCAATAGTGTGAATTTCCACCTTAGGGGACAAGAAAAAATTGACTTTTTTCTCCTGCCATGGGGGGGCGCTCTTTTGGGGAGTAAAAATTCCTTCACAAATGTGTTGATGGCTGGACATTGCATCATCCTAGAAAACTTGGAGGCCAGTGAGGACAAAAATAAAAAGTTATAAGACTTTTAAATATGTGGATTTTAGGGTTATCTTTGGCGCCCCCTAGAACCAAAACCGTGGGATGCAGCGTCATGATTTGAATAACTTTTAATGGCCATGGGGTGTAGATTGGCCTGAGCAAATGTGGTGCCGGTGGAACGAAAGCCTTCGGAGGAGTTAGCGAAATTCCAATGTGTGCGGATCGGCAAAAAATGCAGAATAACCCTTTAACCGTACATTTGACAGATACGCGCGCATTGACTTTTTCGTAGATCTTATTGAGATACATGTGTGTGTCAATTTTTGTGTCATTTTGCCAAAGCGTACAGATGTTACACTCAACAATGTGTATTTTCACCTTAGGGGACAAGAAAAAATTGACTTTTTTCTCCTGCCATGGGGGGGCGCTCTTTTGGGGAGTAAAAATTCCTTCACAAATGTGTTGATGGCTGGACATTGCATCATCCTAGAAAACTTGGAGGCCAGTGAGGGCAAAAATAAAAAGTTATAAGACTTTTAAATATGTGGATTTTAGGGTTATTTTTGGCGCCCCCTAGAACCTAAACCGTGGGGTGCAGCGTCATGATTTGAATAACTTTTAATGGCCATGGGGTGTAGATTGGCCTGAGCAAATGTGGTGCCGGTGGAACGAAAGCCTTCGGAGGAGTTAGCGAAATTCCAATGTGTGCGGATCGGCAAAAAATGCGAAATAACCCTTTAACCGTACATTTGACAGATACGCCCGCACTGACTTTTTTGTAGATCTTACTGAGATACATGTGTGTGTCAATTTTTGTGTCATTTTGACAAAGCGTACAGGCGTGACAGTGAATAGTCTGAATTTTCACCTTAGGGGGCGCTATGGAGCCATTTTGCATTTTCTTGTTTGGGCGACTTCGGAATATCAAATTTTTCACCAGGCCCGGTCGTCCTGCCAAATTTCATGAGTTTTCGCCAGTGGGAAGTGGGCCATTTTCCAGTTCAAAGGGGAGGAAAAATAATAATAACAAACTAGGACCCCGTTGGGGCACTGTCGGGCCCGAGCCGTGTCGCGCCGCCCCCAGTGCGACCGCCTCCCCCTCCCGATCGCGTCACACTCAAGATCCAAAGATGGTGTGCGCACTTGTCTGTGGTCATTTCCTATTATAATGAATGGGAGGCGCAGTTTCTACCAAAACACTCGCTGCAGACAAACTTCATGTCCTATTTGAAAAAAGTCTGGACCATGAGTGAGGGCACAAACACAGCTATGATATATCGAAATGGCAGGTTGCTCCTCCTTACGGTGTTGCCTGGAGAGCGATGCGATTGAGCCATTGAGCGATGGGCAGGAAAAACTTAACTTTTTCTCCTGCCATATGGGGGGGGGGGGGGGGGGGGGATGTGGATTCTTTGAAGAATGTGGATTTTTGGGTTATCTTTGGCGCCCCCTAGAACGTAAACCGTGGGGTGCAGCGTCATGATTTTTACAACTTTGAATGGCCATGGGGTGTAGATTGGCCTGAGCAAATTTGGTGTCAGTGGGACGAAAGCCTTAGGAGGAGTTAGCCACATTCCAATGTGTGCGAATCGGCAAAAAATGCAAAATAGCCCTTTAACCGTACATTTGACAGATACGCGCAAATCGACTCTTTTGTAGATCTTATTGAGATACATATGTGTGTCAATTTTTGTGTCAATATGATAAAGCGTACAGGCGTGACAGTCAATAGTGTGAATTTCCACCTTAGGGGACAAGAAAAAATTGGCTTTTTTTTCCTGCCATGGGGGGGCGCTCTTTTGGGGAGTAAAAATTCCTTCACAAATGTGTTGATGGCTGGACATTGCATCATCCTAGAAAACTTGGAGGCCAGTGAGGACAAAAATAAAAAGTTATAAGACTTTTAAATATGTGGATTTTAGGGTTATCTTTGGCGCCCCCTAGAACCTAAACCGTGGGATGCAGCGTCATGATTTGAATAACTTTTAATGGCCATGGGGTGTAGATTGGCCTGAGCAAATGTGGTGCCGGTGGAATGAAAGCCTTCGGAGGAGTTAGCGAAATTCCAATGTGTGCTGATCGGCAAAAAATGCGGAATAACCCTTTAACCGTACATTTGACAGATACGCGCGCATTGACTTTTTCGTAGATCTTATTGAGATACATGTGTGTGTCAATTTTTGTGTCATTTTGCCAAAGCGTACAGGTGTTACACTCAACAATGTGTATTTTCACCTTAGGGGACAAGAAAAAATGGACTTTTTTCTCCTGCCATGGGGGGCGCTCTTTTGGGGAGTAAAAATTCCTTCACAAATGTGTTGATGGCTGGACATTGCATCATCCTAGAAAACTTGGAGGCCAGTGAGGGCAAAAATAAAAAGTTATAAGACTTTTAAATATGTGGATTTAGGGTTATCTTTGGCGCCCCCTAGAACCTAAACCGTGGGGTGCAGCGTCATGATTTGAATAACTTTTAATGGCCATGGGGTGTAGATTGGCCTGAGCAAATGTGGTGCCGGTGGAACGAAAGCCTTCGGAGGAGTTAGCGAAATTCCAATGTGTGCGGATCGGCAAAAAATGCGAAATAACCCTTTAACCGTACATTTGACAGATACGCCCGCACTGACTTTTTTGTAGATCTTATTGAGATACATGTGTGTGTCAATTTTTGTGTCATTTTGACAAAGCGTACAGGCGTGACAGTCAATAGTGTGAATTTTCACCTTAGGGGGCGCTATGGAGCCATTTTGCATTTTCTTGTTTGGGCGACTTCGGAATATCAAATTTTTCACCAGGCCCGGTCGTCCTGCCAAATTTCATGAGTTTTCGCCAGTGGGAAGTGGGCCATTTTCCAGTTCAAAGGGGAGGAAAAAGAAAAAAGAAACAAAGAAAAACCACTTGGGGAATAATAGGGCTCTCGCAGCTGCTTAGCAGCTACGCTCGGGCCCTAATAACAAAAGAAGGAAACTACAGGAACAAGAGGGCTCTCGCAGCTGCTTAGCAGCTACGCTCGGGCCCTAAAGAAAGAAAGAAAGAAACAAAGAAAAACCACTTGGGGAATAATAGGGCCTACGCCCGGCTGCTCTGCAGCTGGCTCGGGCCCTAACTAGGACCCCGTTGGGGCACTGGCGGGCCCGAGCCTTGTCGGATGGAGCTTTGGATGGAGCTTCATGGTTGTCTTTTGGAGAAATGACCAGTCAAGTTGTGTTTGAAATTTGATTTTTTTTTCAGGGGCAAAAGGAGCCTCTGCATTCTTGTCAAATATGTAAATAGCATGTTTTTGCAGGTGCTAAAAACCAGACTCTGAGTGTGTGTGTGTGTGTGTGTGTGTGTGTGTGTGTGTGTGTGTGTGCGTGTGTGTGTGTCTGTGTGTGCGTTCAAGTCACATGACATATTTAACCGGATGTAGCTGCAAGACGGAGCCTCGTTGACTCTCCGTTTCAACTTATCTCAAAAGTGAGGACCTCAACCTATATACCAGTTTTTAAATTGTGTTGATAGGCCAAATAAAACCAGAGTTATGATAAATTATGTCCGCGATACTTTTTTTCTGCTTATTTTGATCACGTTCGGCGCTCGATCGCGCTGTATGAGACAGGAAAACATAGCATGCAGACATTAGCGACAGGTCTTACAGGCGGAAAAGGCTTGCCAAAAGAAAAAAAAAACACACCACAACATCTCTCCTATTGGTGGAAAACTTCACCACAACAACCAATCCAAAATTATATGGTGACTGATTGACAAGGGGAGGGCGCTTACGTTCTTCCTGCAACATGAGAAGGGAGGGAGGGACTCTCAGCAGGGATGCAGTCTGGGACACGTAGTTGCAAACCTAGCGACTTTGTTGTTAGATTCAATGACTTTTCAGACCCCCTAACGACTTTTTTTTAGAAAGAAAGGGACTTTTATCGACTTCTTCTGGAGTTTAGAGACTCTGACATGAAGCAGGCTTTCCTTACTGAGGAGTTAGCAACGCTGCTAAGGGTGCAGAGCCACACATGCGCTCAGAGCTCTGCATGGGAGACTGAAGCTGACAGAGCTGCAGCAGTTAGCAGGTTTCACCCTCAGAGACCACCAGGGGTTCATGTTGAGGCATTTTATTTTTTTTTTTTTTTGTGCCATAGACACTGTCAGCAAAATCTGCAGTTACACTAACAAAAATGCTGCAAAAAACAAAGAATTATGGAAAAATTACACATGGACTGACATAGAGGAGGATCTACACAAGTTTTTTACATCATGTTTTACATCATGCATCATTTACATCATGTTTTTTTGTAGTGGCATAAATAAAAAGTGACATTTGTGAGACTATACAGTGTTTTGTAAATAATTTTGCAAAGAACGCCTGGGCCATTGCCTGCATTTTGATGTAAATAGAGGTAAATTACTATGTTCTTTGTTAAAAATTTGCATATGTTTTGAAGTTTACAATTTTTATTTGAAGTTTAAGTTTTAAAAACAGTTCATCACACATATTTGTGGTTTAATTTCACATTAATTTCCATATTGTATAAATGACTGGAAAAAACTTGAGCCCCTGCCCCTGTATAATCATGTGCACGTCCCTGTTCTAGCTCCAAGGTGAATCTTCACTGCTCATGTTCTCCTCAGAAATAGTCACCTCACTCCCCTCAGGTTACTGTACACATGCACCAACTATCTGCTTCAGGTTTGAAATGGAGCTTCATGGTTGTCTTTTGGAGAAATGAACAGTCAAGTTGTGTTTGAAATTTGATTTTTTTCAGGGGCAAAAGGAAGCCTCTGCATTCTTGTCAAATATGTAAACAGCATGTTTTTGCAGGTGCTAAAAAACAGACTCTGAGTGTGTGTGTGTGTCTGTGTGTGTGTGTGTCTGTGTGTGTGTGTATGTTGGCGTGTGTGTATATGTGTGTGTATCCTGCAGTACTCTGTACTCCTGCAGTGGCCAAAAAAACCTTTTAAGAATGTGGATTTTTGGGTCATCTTTGGCGCCCCCTAAAACTGCAGTACTCTGTACTCCTGCAGTGGCCAAAATGACTTTTAAGAATGTGGATTTTTGGGTCATCTTTGGCGCCCCCTAGAACGTAAACCGTGGGGTGCAGCGTCATGATTTTTACAACTTTGAATGGGCATGGGGTGTAGATTGCCCTGAGCAAATTTGGTATCGGTGGGACGAAAGCCTTAGGAGGAGATAGCCACATTCCAATGTGTGCGAATCGGCAAAAAATGCAAAATAGCCCTTTAACCGTACATTATAAAGATACGCGCTCTTTGACTTTTTCGTAGATCTAATTGAGATACACATGATTGTCAATTTTTGTGTCAATATGACAAAGCGTTCAGGCGTGACACTCAACAATGTGTATTTTCATGTAAGGGGACAAGAAAAAATGGACTTTTTTCTCCTACCATGGGGGGCGCTCTTTTGGGGAGTAAAAATTCCTTCACAAATGTGTTGATGGCTGGACATTGCATCATCCTAGAGAACTTGGAGGCCAGTGAGGACAAAAATAAAAAGTTATAAAACATTTAAGAATGTGGATTTTTGGGTTATTTTTGGCGCCCCCTAGAACCTAAACCATGGGGTGCAGCATCATGATTTGAATAACTTTTAATGGCCATGGGGTGTAGATTGGCCTGAGCAAATGTGGTGCCGGTGGAACGAAAGCCTTCGGAGGAGTTAGCGAAATTCCAATGTGTGCGTATCGGCAAAAAATGCGGAATAACCCTTTAACTGTACATTTGACAGATACGCGCGCATGGACTTTTTTGTAGATCTTATTGAGTTACATGTGTGTGTCAATTTTTGTGTCATTTTGACAAAGCGTATAGGCGTGACACTCAACAATGTGTATTTTCACCTTAGGGGACAAGAAAAAATGGACTTTTTTCTCCTGCCATGGGGGGGCGCTCTTTTGGGGAGTAAAAATTCCTTCACAAATGTGTTGATGGCTGGACATTGCATCATCCTAGAAAACTTGGGGGCCAGTGAGGGCAAAAATAAAAAGTTATAAGACTTTTAAATATGTGGATCTTAGGGTTATCTTTGGCGCCCCCTAGAACCTAAACCGTGGGGTACAGCATCATGATTTGAATAACTTTTAATGGCCATGGGGTGTAGATTGGCCTGAGCAAATGTGGTGCCGGTGGAACGAAAGCCTTCGGAGGAGTTAGCGAAATTGCAATGTGTGCGGATCGGCAAAAAATGCGAAATAACCCTTTAACCGTACATTTGACAGATACGCCCGCACTGACTTTTTTGTAGATCTTATTGAGATACATGTGTGTGTCAATTTTTGTGTCATTTTGACAAAGCGTACAGGCGTGACACTCAACAATGTGTATTTTCACCTTAGGGGACAAGAAAAAATTGACTTTTTTCTCCTGCCATGGGGGGGCGCTCTTTTGGGGAGTAAAAATTCCTTCACAAATGTGTTGATGGCTGGACATTGCATCATCCTAGAAAACTTGGAGGCCAGTGAGGACAAAAATAAAAAGTTATAAGACTTTTAAATATGTGGATTTTAGTGTTATCTTTGGCGCCCCCTAGAACCTAAACCTTGCGGTGCAGCGTCATGATTTTGATAACTTTTAATGGCCACGGGGTGTAGATTGGCCTGAGCAAATGTGGTGCCGGTGGAACGAAAGCCTTCGGAGGAGTTAGCGAAATTCCAATGTGTGCGGATCGGCAAAAAATGCGAAATAACCCTTTAACCGTAATTTTGACAGATACGGCCGCACTGACTTTTTTGTAGATCTTATTGAGATACATATGTGTGTCAATTTTTGTGTCAATATGACAAAGCGTACAGGCGTGACAGTCAATAGTGTGAATTTCCACCTTAGGGGGCGCTATGGAGCCATTTTGCATTTTATTGTTTGGGCGACTTCAGAATATCGAATTTTTCACCAGGCCCGGTCGTCCTGCCAAATTTCATGAGTTTTCGCCAGTGGGAAGTGGGCCATTTTCCAGTTCAAAGGGGAGGAAAAAGAAGAAAGAAAGAAAGAACTAGGGCCCCGGTGGGGCACTGTCGGGCCCGAGCCGCGTTGCGCCGCCCCCAGCACGACTGCCTCCCCCTCCCGATCGCATCACACTCAAGGTCCAAAGATGGTGTGCGCACTTGTCTGTGGTCATTTCCCATTATAATGAATGGGAGGCGCAGTTTCTACCAAAACGGTCGCTGCAGACAAACTACATGTCCTATTTGAAAAAAGTCTGGACCATGAGTGAGGGCACAAACACAGCTAGGATATATCCAAATGGCAAGTTGCTCCTCCTTGCGGTGTTGCCAGGAGAGCGATGCGATTGAGCCATTGAGCGATGGGCAGGGTTAACTGGACTTTTTCTCCTGCCTTGGGGGGGGGGGGGGGGGGGATGTGGATTCTTTTAAGAATGTGGATATTTGGGTCATCTTTGGCGCCCCCTAGAACGTAAACCATGGGGTGCAGCGGCATGATTTTTACAACTTTGAATGGCCATGGGATGTAGATCGGCTTGAGCAAATTTGGTGCTGGTGGAACAAAAGCCTTAGGAGGAGTTAGCCACATTCCAATGTGTGCGAATCGGCAAAAAATGCAAAATAGCCCTTTAACCGTACATTTTACAGATACGTGCCCATTGACTTTTTCGTAGATCTTATTGAGATACACGTGTGTGTCAAATTTTGTGTCATTTTGACAAAGCGTATAGGCGTGAATCTCAACAATGTGTTTTTTCACCTTAGGGGACAAGAAAAAATGGACTTTTTTCTCCTGCCATGGGGGGGCGCTCTTTTCGGGAGTAAAAATTCCTTTACGAATGTGTTGATGGCTGGACATTGCATCATCCTAGAAAACTTGGAGGCCAGTGAGGACAAAAATAAAAAGTTATAAGACTATTAAGAATGTGGATTTTTGGGTTATCTTTGGCGCCCCCTAGAACCTAAACCGTGGAGTGCAGCGTCATGATTTGTACAACTTTTAATGGCCATGGGGTGTAGATTGGCCTGAGCAAATTTGGTGGCGGTGGAACTAAAGCCTTCGGAGGAGTTAGCGAAATTCCAATGTGTGCGGATCGGCAAAAAATGCGAAATAACCCTTTAACCGTACATTTGACAGATACGCCCGCACTGACTTTTTCGTAGATCTTATTGAGATACACGTGATTGTCAAATTTTGGGTCAATATGACAAAGCGTATAGGCGTGACACTCAACAATGTGTATTTTCACCTTAGGGGACAAGAAAAAATGGACTTTTTTCTCCTGCCATGTGGGGGCGCTCTTTTGGGGAGTAAAAATTCCTTCACAAATGTGTTGATGGCTGGACATTGCATCATCCTAGAGAACTTGGAGGCCAGTGAGGACAAAAATAAAAAGTTATAAGACTTTTAAGACTGTGGATTTTTGGGTTATCTTTGGCGCCCCCTAGAACGTAAACCGTGGGGTGCAGCGTCATGATTTGTACAACTTTTAATGGCCATGGAGTGTAGATTGGCCTGAGCAAATGTGGTGCCGGTGGAACGAAAGCCTTTGGAGGAGTTAGCGAAATTCCAATGTGTGCGGATCGGCAAAAAAAGCGAAATAGCCCTTTAACCGTACATTTGACAGATACGCCCGCACTGACTTTTTCGTAGATCTTATTGAGATACACATGTGTGTCAAATTTTGTGTCATTTTGACAAAGCGTACAGGCATCAGGTGAGTTTTCACCATAGGGGGCGCTATGGAGCCATTTTTCATTTTTTTGTTTGGACGACTTCAGAATATCAAATTTTTCACCAGGCCCGGTCGTCCTGCCAAATTTCCTGAGTTTTCGCCAGTGGGAAGTGGGCCATTTTCCAGTTTAAAGCGGAGGAAAAATAACGAAAGAAGAATCCATCAGGAACAAGAGGGCTCTCGCAGCTGCTTAGCAGCTACGCTCGGGCCCTAACTAGGGCCCCGGTGGGGCACTGTCGGGCCCGAGGGGGGGATTCCTTTAAGAATGTGGATTTTTGGGTCATCTTTGGCGCCCCCTAGAACGTAAACCGTGGGGTGCAGCGTCATGATTTTTACAACTTTGAATGGCCATGGGGTGTAGATTGGCCTGAGCAAATTTGGTGTCAGTGGGACGAAAGCCTTAGGAGGAGTTAGCCACATTCCAATGTGTGCGAATCGGCAAAAAATGCAAAATAACCCTTTAACCGTACATTTGACAGATACGCGCGCATTGACTTTTTTGTAGATCTTATTGAGATACATATGTGTGTCAATTTTTGTGTCAATATGATAAAGCGTACAGGCGTGACAGTCAATAGTGTGAATTTCCACCTTAGGGGACAAGAAAAAATTGACTTTTTTCTCCTGCCATGGGGGGGCGCTCTTTTGGGGAGTAAAAATTCCTTCACAAATGTGTTGATGGCTGGACATTGCATCATCCTAGAAAACTTGGAGGCCAGTGAGGACAAAAATAAAAAGTTATAAGACTTTTAAATATGTGGATTTTAGGGTTATCTTTGGCGCCCCCTAGAACCTAAACCGTGGGGTGCAGCGTCATGATTTTGATAAATTTTAATGGCCACGGGGTGTAGATTGGCCTGAGCAAATGTGGTGCCGGTGGAACGAAAGCCTTCGGAGGAGTTAGCGAAATTCCAATGTGTGCGGATCGGCAAAAAATGCGGAATAACCCTTTAACCGTACATTTGACAGATACGCGCGCATTGACTTTTTTGTAGATCTTATTGAGATACATGTGTGTGTCAATTTTTGTGTCATTTTGACAAAGCGTACACGCGTGACAGTCAATAGTGTGAATTTTCACCTTAGGGGGCGCTATGGAGCCATTTTGCATTTTCTTGTTTGGGCGACTTCGGAATATCAAATTTTTCACCAGGCCCGGTCGTCCTGCCAAATTTCATGAGTTTTCGCCAGGAGGAAGTGGGCCATTTTCCAGTTCAAAGGGGAGGAAAAATAATAATAACTAGGACCCCGTTGGGGCACTGGCGGGCCCGAGCCGTGTCGCGTCCCCCCCCCCCCCCCCCAACGTGCTGCCTTCCCGTCCCATTTGTGTCCTCTGGCCATCGCCCTCTCTGGTAACGCCCATCACTGCAAAGACCCTTTTCCTTCATCGGCGTTTGCTGTTCTTCCTGCCAGTGCGTGTTGCTTTCACTTACACTTGCCACAGCCAGCCTCGTGAGTGCCTAGCCTATTCAATATCACTGTCACCTACACAGGACAGTCATTACCTTTCTATTAATACTTTGTGTTTTAATTTCACATTAATTTCCATATTGTATAAACGACTGGAAAAAACTTGAGCCCCTGCCCCTGTATAATCATGTGCATGTCTCTGTTCTAGCTCCAAGGTGAATCTTCACTGCTCATGTTCTCCTCAGAAGCACTCACCTCACTCCCCTCAGGTTACTGTACACATGCACCAACTGCCTGCTTCAGGTTTGGATGGAGCTTCATGGTTGTCTTTTGGAGAAATGACCAGTCAAGTTGCATTGACCAGTCAAGAGCCTCTGCATTCTTGTCAAATATGTAAATAGCATGTTTTTGCAGGTGCTAAAAACCAGACTCTGAGTGTGTGTGTGTGTGTGTGTGTGTGTGTGTGTGTGTGTGCGTGTGTGTGTGTCTGTGTGTGCGTTCAAGTCACATGACATATTTAACCGGATGTAGCTGCAAGACGGAGACTCGTTGACTCTCCGTTTCAACTTATCTCAAAAGTGAGGACCTCAACCTATATACCAGTTTTTAAATTGTGTTGATAGGCCAAATAAAACCAGAGTTATGATAAATTATGTCCGCGATACTTGTTTTCTGCTTATTTTGATCACGTTCGGCGCTCGATCGCGCTGTATGAGACAGGAAAACATAGCATGCAGACATTAGCGACAGGTCTTACAGGCGGAAAAGGCTTGCCAAAAGAAAAAAAAAACACACCACAACATCTCTCCTATTGGTGGAAAACTTCACCACAACAACCAATCCAAAATTATATGGTGACTGATTGACAAGGGGCGGGCGCTTACGTTCTTCCTGCAACATGAGAAGGGAGGGAGGGACTCTCAGCAGGGATGCAGTCTGGGACACGTAGTTGCAAACCTAGCGACTTTGTTGTTAGATTCAATGACTTTTCAGACCCCCTAACAACTTTTTTTTTAGAAAGAAAGGGACTTTTATCGACTTCTTCTGGAGTTTAGAGACTCTGACATGAAGCAGGCTTTCCTTACTGAGGAGTTAGCAACGCTGCTAAGGGTGCGCTCAGAGCTCTGCATGGGAGACTGAAGCTGACAGAGCTGCAGCAGTTAGCAGGTTTCACCCTCAGAGACCACCAGGGTTTCATGTTGAGGCATTTTGAATTTTTTTTTTGTTGTGCCATAGACACTGTCAGCACAATCTGCAGTTACACTAACAAAAATGCTGCAAAAAACAAAGAATTATGGAAAAATTACACATGGACTGACATAGAGGAGGATCTACACAAGTTTTTTACATCATGTTTTACATCATGCATCATTTACATCATGTTTTTTTGTAGTGGCATAAATAAAAAGTGACATTTGTGAGACTATACAGTGTTTTGTAAATAATTTTACAAAGAACGCCTGGGCCATTGCCTGCATTTTGATGTAAATAGAGGTAAATCACTATGTTCTTTGTTTAAAATTTGCATATGTTTTGAAGTTTACAATTTTTATTTGAAGTTTAAGTTTTAAAAACAGTTCATCACACATATTTGTGGTTTTCACAGTAAAAATGTTACTTTTTTCCACTCGGATTTTATGTTTTGTGTGTGAATTTGGGTCCATTGTGTAAATTCAGTATGTCAACATGATAAAATAACTGTAAATTCGCACAGGTGAGGTTGTGCTGAAAAAAATGATACCAGGCAAGGCATGTGATTGTCAAATTTTGTGTCAATATGACAAAGCGTATAGGCGTGAATCTCAACAATATGTATTTTCACCTTAGGGGACAAGAAAAAATGGACTTTTTTCTCCTGCCATGGGGGGGGCGCTCTTTTGGGGAGTAAAAATTCCTTCACAAATGTGTTGATGGCTGGACATTGCATCATCCTAGAAAACTTGGAGGCCAGTGAGGACAAAAATAAAAAGTTATAAGACTTTTAAATATGTGGATTTTAGGGTTATCTTTGGCGCCCCCTAGAACCTAAACCGTGGGGTGCAGTGTCATGATTTGAATAACTTTTAATGGCCATGGGGTGTAGATTGGCCTGAGCAAATGTGGTGCCGGTGGAACGAAAGCCTTAGGAGGAGTTAGCCACATTCCAATGTGTGCGGATCGGCAAAAAATGCGGAATAACCCTTTAACCGTACATTTGACAGATACGCGCGCATTGACTTTTTCGTAGATCTTATTGAGTTACATGTGTGTGTCAATTTTTGTGTCATTTTGACAAAGCGTATAGGCGTGACACTCAACAATGTGTATTTTCACCTTAGGGGACAAGAAAAAATGGACTTTTTTCTCCTGCCATGGGGGGGCGCTCTTTTGGGGAGTAAAAATTCCTTCACAAATGTGTTGATGGCTGGACATTGCATCATCCTAGAAAATTTGGGGGCCAGTGAGGGCAAAAATAAAAAGTTATAAGACTTTTAAATATGTGGATCTTAGGGTTATCTTTGGCGCCCCCTAGAACCTAAACCGTGGGGTACAGCATCATGATTTGAATAACTTTTAATGGCCATGGGGTGTAGATTGGCCTGAGCAAATGTGGTGCCGGTGGAACGAAAGCCTTCGGAGGAGTTAGCGAAATTGCAATGTGTGCGGATCGGCAAAAAATGCGAAATAACCCTTTAACCGTACATTTGACAGATACGCCCGCACTGACTTTTTTGTAGATCTTATTGAGATACATGTGTGTGTCAATTTTTGTGTCATTTTGACAAAGCGTACAGGCGTGACAGTCAATAGTGTGAATTTTCACCTTAGGGGGCGCTATGGAGCCATTTTGCATTTTCTTGTTTGGGCGACTTCGGAATATCAAATTTTTCACCAGGCCCGGTCGTCCTGCCAAATTTCATGAGTTTTCGCCAGTGGGAAGTGGGCCATTTTCCAGTTCAAAGGGGAGGAAAAATAATAACTAGGGCCCCGTTGGGGCACTGGCGGGCCCGAGCCGTGTCACGCCGCCCCCAGCGCGACCGCCTCCCCCACCCGATCGCGTCACACTCAAGGTCCAAAGATGGTGTGCGCACTTGTTTGTGGTCATTTACCATTATAATGAACGGGATGCGCAGTTTCTACCAAAGCGCTCGCTGCAGAAAAACTCCATGTCCTATTTGAAAAAAGTCTGGACCATGAGTGAGGGCACAAACACAGCTAAGATGTATCCAAATGGCAAGTTGCTCCTCCTTTCGCTTTTGCCGAGAGAGCAGTGCGTTTGAGCCATTGAATGATGAACAGGAAAAACTTGACTTTATTCTCCTGCCATGGGGGGGCGCTCTTTTAACGAGAAAAAACTCCTTCACAAATGTGTTGATGGCTGGACATTGCATCATCCTAGAAAACATGGAGGCCAGTGAGGACAAAAATAAAAAGTTATAAGACTTTTAAATATGTGGATTTTAGGGTTATCTTTGGCGCCCCCTAGAACCTAAACCGTGGGGTGCAGCGTCATGATTTGAATAACTTTTAATGGCCATGGGGTGTAGATTGGCCTGAGCAAATGTGGTGCCGGTGGAACAAAAGCCTTCGGAGGAGTTAGCGAAATTCCAATGTGTGCGAATCTGCAAAAAATGCAAAATAACCCTTTAACCGTACATTTTACAGATACGTGGCCATTGACTTTTTCGAAGATCTTATTGAAATACACGTGTATGTAAAATTTTGTGTCAATACGACAAAACATACAGGCGTAGCACTCAACAATGTGTATTTTCACCTTAGTGGACAAGAAAAAATGGACTTTTTTCTCCTGCCATGGGGGGGCGCTCTTTTGGCGAGTAAAAATTCCTTCACAAATGTGTTGATGGCTGGACATTGCATCATCCTAGAAAACTTGGAGGCCAGTGGGGACAAAAATAAAAAGTTATAAGACTTTTAAATATGTGGATTTTACGGTTATCTTTGGCGCCCCCTAGAACCTAAACCGTGGGGTGCAGCGTCATGATTTGAATAACTTTTAATGGCCATGGGGTGTAGATTGGCCTGAGCAAATGTGGTGCCGGTGGAACGAAAGCCTTCGGAGGAGTTAGCGAAATTCCAATGTGTGCGGATCGGCAAAAAATGCGGAATAACCCTTTAACCGTACATGTAACAGATACGCGCGCATTGACTTTTTCGTAGATCTTATTGAGATACATGTGTGTGTCAATTTTTGTGTCATTTTGCCAAAGCGTACAGGTGTTACACTCAACAATGTGTATTTTCACCTTAGAGGACAAGAAAAAGTGGACTTTTTTCTCCTGCCATGGGGGGGCGCTCTTTTGGGGAGTAAAAATTCCTTCACAAATGTGTTGATGGCTGGACATTGCATCATCCTAGAAAACTTGGAGGCCAGTGAGGGCAAAAATAAAAAGTTATAAGACTTTTAAATATGTGGATCTTAGGGTTATCTTTGGCGCCCCCTAGAACCTAAACCGTGGGGTGCAGCGTCATGATTTGAATAACTTTTAATGGCCATGGGGTGTAGATTGGCCTGAGCAAATGTGGTGCCGGTGGAACGAAAGCCTTCGGAGGAGTTAGCGAAATTCCAATGTGTGCGGATCGGCAAAAAATGCGAAATAACCCTTTAACCGTACATTTGACAGATACGCCCGCACTGACTTTTTTGTAGATCTTATTGAGATACATGTGTGTGTCAATTTTTGTGTCATTTTGACAAAGCGTACAGGCGTCAGGTGAATTTTTCACCTTAGGGGGCGCTATGGAGCCATTTTGCATTGTATTGTTTGGGCGACTTCAGAATATCAAATTTTTCACCAGGCCCGGTCGTCCTGCCAAATTTCATGAGTTTTCGCCAGTGGGAAGTGGGCCATTTTCCAGTTCAAAGGGGAGGAAAAATAATAATAACAAAAGAAGGAAACATGCAGGAACAAGAGGGCTCTCGCAGCTGCTTAGCAGCTACGCTCGGGCCCTAACTAGGACCCCGTTGGGGCACTGGCGGGCCCGAGCCGTGTCGCGTCCCCCCCCCAACGTGCTGCCTCCCCGTCCCATTTGTGTCCTCTGGCCATCGCCCTCTCTGGTAACGCCCATCACTGCAAAGACCCTTTTCCTTCATCGGCGTTTGCTGTTCTTCCTGCCAGTGCGTGTTGCTTTCACTTACACTTGCCACAGCCAGCCTCGTGAGTGCCTAGCCTATTGGATATCACTGTCACCTACACAGGACAGTCATTACCTTTCTATTAATACTTTGTGTTTTAATTTCACATTAATTTCCATATTGTATAAACGACTGGAAAAAACTTGAGCCCCTGCCCCTGTATAATCATGTGCATGTCTCTGTTCTAGCTCCAAGGTGAATCTTCACTGCTCATGTTCTCCTCAGAAGCAGTCACCTCACTCCCCTCAGGTTACTGTACACATGCACCAACTGCCTGCTTCAGGTTTGGATGGAGCTTCATGGTTGTCTTTTGGAGAAATGACCAGTCAAGTTGTGTTTGAAATTTGATTTTTTTCAGGGGCAAAAGGAGCCTCTGCATTCTTGTCAAATATGTAAATAGCATGTTTTTGCAGGTGCTAAAAACCAGACTCTGAGTGTGTGTGTGTGTGTGTGTGTGTGTGTGTGTGTGTGTGTGTGTATGTGTGTGTGTGTGTCTGTGTGTGCGTTCAAGTCACATGACATATTTAACCGGATGTAGCTGCAAGACGGAGCCTCGTTGACTCTCCGTTTCAACTTATCTCAAAAGTGAGGACCTCAACCTATATACCAGTTTTTAAATTGTGTTGATAGGCCAAATAAAACCAGAGTTATGATAAATTATGTCCGCGATACTTTTTTTCTGCTTATTTTGATCACGTTCGGCGCTCGATCGCGCTGTATGAGACAGGAAAACATAGCATGCAGACATTAGCGACAGGTCTTACAGGCGGAAAAGGCTTGCCAAAAGAAAAAAAAAACACACCACAACATCTCTCCTATTGGTGGAAAACTTCACCACAACAACCAATCCAAAATTATATGGTGACTGATTGACAAGGGGCGGGCGCTTACGTTCTTCCTGCAACATGAGAAGGGAGGGAGGGACTCTCAGCAGGGATGCAGTCTGGGACACGTAGTTGCAAACCTAGCGACTTTGTTGTTAGATTCAATGACTTTTCAGACCCCCTAACGACTTTTTTTTTAGAAAGAAAGGGACTTTTATCGACTTCTTCTGGAGTTTAGAGACTCTGACATGAAGCAGGCTTTCCTTACTGAGGAGTTAGCAACGCTGCTAAGGGTGCAGAGCCACACATGCGCTCAGAGCTCTGCATGGGAGACTGAAGCTGACAGAGCTGCAGCAGTTAGCAGGTTTCACCCTCAGAGACCACCAGGGGTTCATGTTGAGGCATTTTAAATTTTTATTTTTTTTTGTGCCATAGACACTGTCAGCACAATCTGCAGTTACACTAACAAAAATGCTGCAAAAAACAAAGAATTATGGAAAAATTACACATGGACTGACATAGAGGAGGATCTACACAAGTTTTTTACATCATGTTTTACATCATGCATCATTTACATCATGTTTTTTTGTAGTGGCATAAATAAAAAGTGACATTTGTGAGACTATACAGTGTTTTGTAAATAATTTTACAAAGAACGCCTGGGCCATTGCCTGCATTTTGATGTAAATAGAGGTAAATCACTATGTTCTTTGTTAAAAATTTGCATATGTTTTGAAGTTTACAATTTTTATTTGAAGTTTAAGTTTTAAAAACAGTTCATCACACATATTTGTGGTTTTCACAGTAAAAATGTTACTTTTTTCCACTTGGATTTTATGTTTTGTGTTTGAATTTGGGTCCATTGTGTAAATTCAGTATGTCAACATGATAAAATAACTGTAAATTCGCACAGGTGAGGTTGTGCTGAAAAAAATGATACCAGGCAAGGCACGTGATTGTCAAATTTTGTGTCAATATGACAAAGCGTATAGGCGTGAATCTCAACAATATGTATTTTCACCTTAGGGGACAAGAAAAAATTGACTTTTTTTCCCTGCCATGGGGGGGCGCTCTTTTGGGGAGTAAAAATTCCTTCACAAATGTGTTGATGGCTGGACATTGCATCATCCTAGAAAACTTGGAGGCCAGTGAGGACAAAAATAAAAAGTTATAAGACTTTTAAATATGTGGATTTTAGGGTTATCTTTGGCGCCCCCTAGAACCTAAACCGTGGGGTGCAGTGTCATGATTTGAATAACTTTTAATGGCCATGGGGTGTAGATTGGCCTGAGCAAATGTGGTGCCGGTGGAACGAAAGCCTTAGGAGGAGTTAGCCACATTCCAATGTGTGCGGATCGGCAAAAAATGCGGAATAACCCTTTAACCGTACATTTGACAGATACGCGCGCATTGACTTTTTCGTAGATCTTATTGAGTTACATGTGTGTGTCAATTTTTGTGTCATTTTGACAAAGCGTATAGGCGTGACACTCAACAATGTGTATTTTCACCTTAGGGGACAAGAAAAAATGGACTTTTTTCTCCTGCCATGGGGGGGCGCTCTTTTGGGGAGTAAAAATTCCTTCACAAATGTGTTGATGGCTGGACATTGCATCATCCTAGAAAACTTGGGGGCCAGTGAGGGCAAAAATAAAAAGTTATAAGACTTTTAAATATGTGGATCTTAGGGTTATCTTTGGCGCCCCCTAGAACCTAAACCGTGGGGTACAGCATCATGATTTGAATAACTTTTAATGGCCATGGGGTGTAGATTGGCCTGAGCAAATGTGGTGCCGGTGGAACGAAAGCCTTCGGAGGAGTTAGCGAAATTGCAATGTGTGCGGATCGGCAAAAAATGCGAAATAACCCTTTAACCGTACATTTGACAGATACGCCCGCACTGACTTTTTTGTAGATCTTATTGAGATACATGTGTGTGTCAATTTTTGTGTCATTTTGACAAAGCGTACAGGCGTGACAGTCAATAGTGTGAATTTTCACCTTAGGGGGCGCTATGGAGCCATTTTGCATTTTCTTGTTTGGGCGACTTCGGAATATCAAATTTTTCACCAGGCCCGGTCGTCCTGCCAAATTTCATGAGTTTTCGCCAGTGGGAAGTGGGCCATTTTCCAGTTCAAAGGGGAGGAAAAATAATAATAATAACAAACTAGGACCCCGTTGGGGCACTGGCGGGCCCGAGCCGTGTCGCGTCCCCCCCCCAAACGTGCTGCCTCCCCGTCCCATTTGTGTCCTCTGGCCATCGCCCTCTCTGGTAACGCCCATCACTGCAAAGACCCTTTTCCTTCATCGGCGTTTGCTGTTCTTCTTGCCAGTGCGTGTTGCTTTCACTTACACTTGCCACAGCCAGCCTCGTGAGTGCCTAGCCTATTGGATATCACTGTCACCTACACAGGACAGTCATTACCTTTCTATTAATACTTTGTGTTTTAATTTCACATTAATTTCCATATTGTATAAACGACTGGAAAAAACTTGAGCCCCTGCCCCTGTATAATCATGTGCATGTCTCTGTTCTAGCTCCAAGGTGAATCTTCACAGCTCATGTTCTCCTCAGAAGCACTCACCTCACTCCCCTCAGGTTACTGTACACATGCACCAACTGCCTGCTTCAGGTTTGGATGGAGCTTCATGGTTGTCTTTTGGAGAAATGACCAGTCAAGTTGTGTTTGAAATTTGATTTTTTTCAGGGGCAAAAGGAGCCTCTGCATTCTTGTCAAATATGTAAATAGCATGTTTTTGCAGGTGCTAAAAACCAGACTCTGAGTGTGTGTGTGTGTGTGTGTGTGCGTGTGTGTGTGCGTGTGTGTGTGTCTGTGTGTGCGTTCAAGTCACATGACATATTTAACCGGATGTAGCTGCAAGACGGAGCCTCGTTGACTCTCCGTTTCAACTTATCTCAAAAGTGAGGACCTCAACCTATATACCAGTTTTTAAATTGTGTTGATAGGCCAAATAAAACCAGAGTTATGATAAATTATGTCCGCGATACTTTTTTTCTGCTTATTTTGATCACGTTCGGCGCTCGATCGCGCTGTATGAGACAGGAATACATAGCATGCAGACATTAGCGACAGGTCTTACAGGCGGAAAAGGCTTGCCAAAAGAAAAAAAAAACACACCACAACATCTCTCCTATTGGTGGAAAACTTCACCACAACAACCAATCCAAAATTATATGGTGACTGATTGACAAGGGGCGGGCGCTTACGTTCTTCCTGCAACATGAGAAGCGAGGGAGGGACTCTCAGCAGGGATGCAGTCTGGGACACGTAGTTGCAAACCTAGCGACTTTGTTGTTAGATTCAATGACTTTTCAGACCCCCTAACGACTTTTTTTTAGAAAGAAAGGGACTTTTATCGACTTCTTCTGGAGTTTAGAGACTCTGACATGAAGCAGGCTTTCCTTACTGAGGAGTTAGCAACGCTGCTAAGGGTGCAGAGCCACACATGCGCTCAGAGCTCTGCATGGGAGACTGAAGCTGACAGAGCTGCAGCAGTTAGCAGGTTTCACCCTCAGAGACCACCAGGGGTTCATGTTGAGGCATTTTAAATTTTTATTTTTTTTTGTGCCATAGACACTGTCAGCACAATCTGCAGTTACACTAACAAAAATGCTGCAAAAAACAAAGAATTATGGAAAAATTACACATGGACTGACATAGAGGAGGATCTACACAAGTTTTTTACATCATGTTTTACATCATGCATCATTTACATCATGTTTTTTTGTAGTGGCATAAATAAAAAGTGACATTTGTGAGACTATACAGTGTTTTGTAAATAATTTTACAAAGAACGCCTGGGCCATTGCCTGCATTTTGATGTAAATAGAGGTAAATCACTATGTTCTTTGTTAAAAATTTGCATATGTTTTGAAGTTTACAATTTTTATTTGAAGTTTAAGTTTTAAAAACAGTTCATCACACATATTTGTGGTTTTCACAGTAAAAATGTTACTTTTTTCCACTTGGATTTTATGTTTTGTGTTTGAATTTGGGTCCATTGTGTAAATTCAGTATGTCAACATGATAAAATAACTGTAAATTCGCACAGGTGAGGTTGTGCTGAAAAAAATGATACCAGGCAAGGCACGTGATTGTCAAATTTTGTGTCAATATGACAAAGCGTATAGGCGTGAATCTCAACAATATGTATTTTCACCTTAGGGGACAAGAAAAAATTGACTTTTTTTCCCTGCCATGGGGGGGCGCTCTTTTGGGGAGTAAAAATTCCTTCACAAATGTGTTGATGGCTGGACATTGCATCATCCTAGAAAACTTGGAGGCCAGTGAGGACAAAAATAAAAAGTTATAAGACTTTTAAATATGTGGATTTTAGGGTTATCTTTGGCGCCCCCTAGAACCTAAACCGTGGGGTGCAGTGTCATGATTTGAATAACTTTTAATGGCCATGGGGTGTAGATTGGCCTGAGCAAATGTGGTGCCGGTGGAACGAAAGCCTTAGGAGGAGTTAGCCACATTCCAATGTGTGCGGATCGGCAAAAAATGCGGAATAACCCTTTAACCGTACATTTGACAGATACGCGCGCATTGACTTTTTCGTAGATCTTATTGAGTTACATGTGTGTGTCAATTTTTGTGTCATTTTGACAAAGCGTATAGGCGTGACACTCAACAATGTGTATTTTCACCTTAGGGGACAAGAAAAAATGGACTTTTTTCTCCTGCCATGGGGGGGCGCTCTTTTGGGGAGTAAAAATTCCTTCACAAATGTGTTGATGGCTGGACATTGCATCATCCTAGAAAACTTGGGGGCCAGTGAGGGCAAAAATAAAAAGTTATAAGACTTTTAAATATGTGGATCTTAGGGTTATCTTTGGCGCCCCCTAGAACCTAAACCGTGGGGTACAGCATCATGATTTGAATAACTTTTAATGGCCATGGGGTGTAGATTGGCCTGAGCAAATGTGGTGCCGGTGGAACGAAAGCCTTCGGAGGAGTTAGCGAAATTGCAATGTGTGCGGATCGGCAAAAAATGCGAAATAACCCTTTAACCGTACATTTGACAGATACGCCCGCACTGACTTTTTTGTAGATCTTATTGAGATACATGTGTGTGTCAATTTTTGTGTCATTTTGACAAAGCGTACAGGCGTGACAGTCAATAGTGTGAATTTTCACCTTAGGGGGCGCTATGGAGCCATTTTGCATTTTCTTGTTTGGGCGACTTCGGAATATCAAATTTTTCACCAGGCCCGGTCGTCCTGCCAAATTTCATGAGTTTTCGCCAGTGGGAAGTGGGCCATTTTCCAGTTCAAAGGGGAGGAAAAATAATAATAATAACAAACTAGGACCCCGTTGGGGCACTGGCGGGCCCGAGCTGTGTCGCGTCCCCCCCCAACGCGCTGCCTCCCCGTCCCATTTGTGTCCTCTGGCCATCGCCCTCTTTGGTAACGCCCATCACTGCAAAGACCCTTTTCCTTCATCGGCGTTTGCTGTTCTTCCTGCCAGTGCGTGTTGCTTTCACTTACACTTGCCACAGCCAGCCTCGTGAGTGCCTAGCCTATTGGATATCACTGTCACCTACACAGGACAGTCATTACCTTTCTATTAATACTTTGTTTTTTAATTTCACATTAATTTCCAAATTGTATAAACGACTGGAAAAAACTTGAGCCCCTGCCCCTGTATAATCATGTGCACGTCTCTGTTCTAGCTCTAAGGTAAATCTTCACTGCTCATGTTCTCCTCAGAAGATGTCACCTCACTCCCCTCAGGTTACTGTACACATGCACCAACTGCCTGCTTCAGGTTTGGATGGAGCTTCATGGTTGTCTTTTGGAGAAATGACCAGTCAAGTTGTGTTTGAAATTTGATTTTTTTCAGGGGCAAAAGGAGCCTCTGCATTCTTGTCAAATATGTAAATAGCATGTTTTTGCAGGTGCTACAAACCAGACTCTGAGTGTGTGTGTGTGCGTGTGTGTGTGTGTCTGTGTGTGTGTGTGTATGTGCGTTCAAGTCACATGACATATTTAACCGGATGTAGCTGCAAGACGGAGCCTCGTTGACTCTCCGTTTCAATTTATCTCAAAAGTGAGGACCTCAACCTATATACCAGTTTTTAAATTGTGTTGATAGGCCAAATAAAACCAGAGTTATGATAAATTATGTCCGCGATACTTGTTTTCTGCTTATTTTGATCACGTTCGGCGCTCGATCGCGCTGTATGAGACAGGAAAACATAGCATGCAGACATTAGCGACAGGTCTTACAGGCGGAAAAGGCTTGCCAAAGGAAAAAAAATACACACCACAACATCTCTCCTATTGGTGGAAAACTTCACCACAACAACCAATCCAAAATTATATGGTGACTGATTGACAAGGGGCGGGAACTTACGTTCTTCCTGCAATATGAGAAGGGAGGGAGGGACTCTCAGCAGGGATGCAGTCTGGGACACGTAGTTGCAAACCTAGCGACTTTGTTGTTAGATTCAATGACTTTTCAGACCCCCTAACGACTTTTTTTTAGAAAGAAAGTGACTTTTATCGACTTCTTCTGGAGTTTAGAGACTCTGACATGAAGCAGGCTTTCCTTACTGAGGAGTTAGCAACGCTGCTAAGGGTGCAGAGCCACACATGCGCTCCGAGCTCTGCATGGGAGACTGAAGCTGACAGAGCTGCAGCAGTTAGCAGGTTTCACCCTCAGAGACCACCAGGGGTTCATGTTGAGGCATTTTCAGTTTTTTTTTTTTTTTTTTGCCATAGACACTGTCAGCACAATCTGCAGTTACACTAACAAAAATGCTGCAAAAAACAAAGAATTATGGAAAAATTACACATGGACTAACATAGAGGAGGATCTACACAAGTTTTTTACATCATGTTTTACATCATGCATCATTTACATCATGTTTTTTTGTAGTGGCATAAATAAAAAGTGACATTTGTGAGACTATACAGTGTTTTGTAAATAATTTTACAAAGAACGCCTGGGCCATTGCCTGCATTTTGATGTAAATAGAGGTAAATCACTATGTTCTTTGTTTAAAATTTGCATATGTTTTGAAGTTTACAATTTTTATTTGAAGTTTAAGTTTTAAAAACAGTTCATCACACATATTTGTGGTTTTCACAGTAAAAATGTTACTTTTTTCCACTCGGATTTTATGTTTTGTGTGTGAATTTGGGTCCATTGTGTAAATTCAGTATGTCAACATGATAAAATAACTGTAAATTCGCACAGGTGAGGTTGTGCTGAAAAAAATGATACCAGGCAAGGCATGTGATTGTCAAATTTTGTGTCAATATGACAAAGCGTATAGGCGTGAATCTCAACAATATGTATTTTCACCTTAGGGGACAAGAAAAAATGGACTTTTTTCTCCTGCCATGGGGGGGCGCTCTTTTGGGGAGTAAAAATTCCTTCACAAATGTGTTGATGGCTGGACATTGCATCATCCTAGAAAACTTGGAGGCCAGTGAGGACAAAAATAAAAAGTTATAAGACTTTTAAATATGTGGATTTTAGTGTTATCTTTGGCGCCCCCTAGAACCTAAACCTTGGGGTGCAGCGTCATGATTTTGATAACTTTTAATGGCCACGGGGTGTAGATTGGCCTGAGCAAATGTGGTGCCGGTGGAACGAAAGCCTTCGGAGGAGTTAGCCACATTCCAATGTGTGCGGATCGGCAAAAAATGCGGAATAACCCTTTAACCGTACATTTGACAGATACGCGCGCATTGACTTTTTCGTAGATCTTATTTAGTTACATGTGTGTGTCAATTTTTGTGTCATTTTGACAAAGCGTATAGGCGTGACACTCAACAATGTGTATTTTCACCTTAGGGGACAAGAAAAAATTGACTTTTTTCTCCTGCCATGGGGGGGCGCTCTTTTGGGGAGTAAAAATTCCTTCACAAATGTGTTGATGGCTGGACATTGCATCATCCTAGAAAACTTGGAGGCCAGTGAGGACAAAAATAAAAAGTTATAAGACTTTTAAATATGTGGATTTTAGTGTTATCTTTGGCGCCCCCTAGAACCTAAACCTTGGGGTGCAGCGTCATGATTTTGATAACTTTTAATGGCCACGGGGTGTAGATTGGCCTGAGCAAATGTGGTGCCGGTGGAACGAAAGCCTTCGGAGGAGTTAGCGAAATTCCAATGTGTGCGGATCGGCAAAAAATGCGAAATAACCCTTTAACCGTACATTTGACAGATACGGCCGCACTGACTTTTTTGTAGATCTTATTGAGATACATATGTGTGTCAATTTTTGTGTCAATATGACAAAGCGTACAGGCGTGACAGTCAATAGTGTGAATTTCCACCTTAGGGGGCGCTATGGAGCCATTTTGCATTTTATTGTTTGGGCGACTTCAGAATATCGAATTTTTCACCAGGCCCGGTCGTCCTGCCAAATTTCATGAGTTTTCGCCAGTGGGAAGTGGGCCATTTTCCAGTTCAAAGGGGAGGAAAAAGAAGAAAGAAAGAAAGAACTAGGGCCCCGTTGGGGCACTGGCGGGCCCGAGCCGCGTTGCGCCGCCCCCAGTGCGACCGCCTCCCCCTCCCGATCGCGTCACACTCAAGGTCCAAAGATGGTGTGCGCACTTGTCTGTGGTCATTTCCCATTATAATGAATGGGAGGCGCAGTTTCTACCAAAACACTCGCTGCAGACAAACTACATGTCCTATTTGAAAAAAGTCTGGACCATGAGTGAGGGCACAAACACAGCTAGGATATATCCAAACGGCAAGTTGCTCCTCGTTACGGTGTTGCCGGGAGAGCGATGCGATTGAGCCATTGAGTGATGGGCAGGAAAAACTTGACTGTTTCTCCTGCCATGGGGGATGGGGGATGGGAGGGGGGGGAAAGGGATGTGGATTCTTTTAAGAATGTGGATATTTGGGTCATCTTTGGCGCCCCCTAGAACGTAAACCGTGGGGTGCAGCGTCATGATTTTTAAAACTTTGAATGGCCATGGGGTGTAGATTGGCCTGAGCAAATTTGGTGTCAGTGGGACGAAAGCCTTAGGAGGAGTTAGCCACATTCCAATGTGTGCTAATCAGCAAAAAATGCAAAATAGCCCTTTAACCGTACATTTTACAGATACGCGCGCATTGACTTTTTCGTAGATCTTATTGAGATACATGTGTGTGTCAAATTTTGTGTCAATATGACAAAGCATACAGGTATGACAGTCAACAATGTGTATTTTCACCTTATGGGACAAGAAAAAATGGACTTTTTTCTCCTGCCATGGGGGGGCGCTCTTTTAGGGAGTAAAAATTCCTTCACAAATGTGTTGATGGCTGGACATTGCATCATCCTAGAAAACTTGGAGGCCAGAGAGGACAAAAATAAAAAGTTATAAGACTTTTAAATATGTGGATTTTAGGGTTATCTTTGGCGCCCCCTAGAACCTAAACCGTGGGGTGCAGCGTCATGATTTGAATAACTTTTAATGGCCATGGGGTGTAGATTGGCCTGAGCAAATGTGGTGCCGGTGGAACGAAAGCCTTCGGAGGAGTTAGCGAAATTCCAATGTGTGCGGATCGGCAAAAAATGCGCAATAACCCTTTAACCGTACATTTGACAGATACGCCCGCACTGACTTTTTTGTAGATCTTATTGAGATACATGTGTGTGTCAATTTTTGTGTAATTTTGACAAAGCGTACAGGCGTGACAGTCAATAGTGTGAATTTTCACCTTATGGAACAAGAAAAAATGGACTTTTTTCTCCTGCCATGGGGGGGCGCTCTTTTGGGGAGTAAAAATTCCTTCACAAATGTGTTGATGGCTGGACATTGCATCATCCTAGAAAACTTGGAGGCCAGTGAGGGCAAAAATAAAAAGTTATAAGACTTTGAAATATGTGGATTTTAGGGTTATCTTTGGCGCCCCCTAGAACATAAACCGTGGGGTGCAGCGTCATGATTTGAATAACTTTTAATGGCCATGGGGTGTAGATTGGCCTGAGCAAATGTGGTGCCGGTGGAACGAAAGCCTTCGGAGGAGTTAGCGAAATTCCAATGTGTGCGGATCGGCAAAAAATGCGAAATAACCCTTTAACCGTACATTTGACAGATACGCCCGCACTGACTTTTTTGTAGATCTTATTGAGATACATGTGTGTGTCAATTTTTGTGTCATTTTGACAAAGCGTACAGGCGTCAGGTGAATTTTTCACCTTAGGGGGCGCTATGGAGCCATTTTGCATTGTATTGTTTGGGCGACTTCAGAATATCAAATTTTTCACCAGGCCCGGTCGTCCTGCCAAATTTCATGAGTTTTCGCCAGTGGGAAGTGGGCCATTTTCCAGTTCAAAGGGGAGGAAAAATAATAATAACAAAAGAAGGAAACATGCAGGAACAAGAGGGCTCTCGCAGCTGCTTAGCAGCTACGCTCGGGCCCTAACTAGGACCCCGTTGGGGCACTGGCGGGCCCGAGCCGTGTCGCGTCCCCCCCAACGTGCTGCCTCCCCGTCCCATTTGTGTCCTCTGGCCATCGCCCTCTCTGGTAACGCCCATCACTGCAAAGACCCTTTTCCTTCATCGGCGTTTGCTGTTCTTCCTGCCAGTGCGTGTTGCTTTCACTTACACTTGCCACAGCCAGCCTCGTGAGTGCCTAGCCTATTGGATATCACTGTCACCTACACAGGACAGTCATTACCTTTCTATTAATACTTTGTGTTTTAATTTCACATTAATTTCCATATTGTATAAACGACTGGAAAAAACTTGAGCCCCTGCCCCTGTATAATCATGTGCATGTCTCTGTTCTAGCTCCAAGGTGAATCTTCACTGCTCATGTTCTCCTCAGAAGCAGTCACCTCACTCCCCTCAGGTTACTGTACACATGCACCAACTGCCTGCTTCAGGTTTGGATGGAGCTTCATGGTTGTCTTTTGGAGAAATGACCAGTCAAGTTGTGTTTGAAATTTGATTTTTTTCAGGGGCAAAAGGAGCCTCTGCATTCTTGTCAAATATGTAAATAGCATGTTTTTGCAGGTGCTAAAAACCAGACTCTGAGTGTGTGTGTGTGTGTGTGTGTGTGTGTGTGTGTGTGTGTATGTGTGTGTGTGTGTCTGTGTGTGCGTTCAAGTCACATGACATATTTAACCGGATGTAGCTGCAAGACGGAGCCTCGTTGACTCTCCGTTTCAACTTATCTCAAAAGTGAGGACCTCAACCTATATACCAGTTTTTAAATTGTGTTGATAGGCCAAATAAAACCAGAGTTATGATAAATTATGTCCGCGATACTTTTTTTCTGCTTATTTTGATCACGTTCGGCGCTCGATCGCGCTGTATGAGACAGGAAAACATAGCATGCAGACATTAGCGACAGGTCTTACAGGCGGAAAAGGCTTGCCAAAAGAAAAAAAAAACACACCACAACATCTCTCCTATTGGTGGAAAACTTCACCACAACAACCAATCCAAAATTATATGGTGACTGATTGACAAGGGGCGGGCGCTTACGTTCTTCCTGCAACATGAGAAGGGAGGGAGGGACTCTCAGCAGGGATGCAGTCTGGGACACGTAGTTGCAAACCTAGCGACTTTGTTGTTAGATTCAATGACTTTTCAGACCCCCTAACGACTTTTTTTTAGAAAGAAAGGGACTTTTATCGACTTCTTCTGGAGTTTAGAGACTCTGACATGAAGCAGGCTTTCCTTACTGAGGAGTTAGCAACGCTGCTAAGGGTGCAGAGCCACACATGCGCTCAGAGCTCTGCATGGGAGACTGAAGCTGACAGAGCTGCAGCAGTTAGCAGGTTTCACCCTCAGAGACCACCAGGGGTTCATGTTGAGGCATTTTAAATTTTTATTTTTTTTTGTGCCATAGACACTGTCAGCACAATCTGCAGTTACACTAACAAAAATGCTGCAAAAAACAAAGAATTATGGAAAAATTACACATGGACTGACATAGAGGAGGATCTACACAAGTTTTTTACATCATGTTTTACATCATGCATCATTTACATCATGTTTTTTTGTAGTGGCATAAATAAAAAGTGACATTTGTGAGACTATACAGTGTTTTGTAAATAATTTTACAAAGAACGCCTGGGCCATTGCCTGCATTTTGATGTAAATAGAGGTAAATCACTATGTTCTTTGTTAAAAATTTGCATATGTTTTGAAGTTTACAATTTTTATTTGAAGTTTAAGTTTTAAAAACAGTTCATCACACATATTTGTGGTTTTCACAGTAAAAATGTTACTTTTTTCCACTTGGATTTTATGTTTTGTGTTTGAATTTGGGTCCATTGTGTAAATTCAGTATGTCAACATGATAAAATAACTGTAAATTCGCACAGGTGAGGTTGTGCTGAAAAAAATGATACCAGGCAAGGCACGTGATTGTCAAATTTTGTGTCAATATGACAAAGCGTATAGGCGTGAATCTCAACAATATGTATTTTCACCTTAGGGGACAAGAAAAAATTGACTTTTTTTCCCTGCCATGGGGGGGCGCTCTTTTGGGGAGTAAAAATTCCTTCACAAATGTGTTGATGGCTGGACATTGCATCATCCTAGAAAACTTGGAGGCCAGTGAGGACAAAAATAAAAAGTTATAAGACTTTTAAATATGTGGATTTTAGGGTTATCTTTGGCGCCCCCTAGAACCTAAACCGTGGGGTGCAGTGTCATGATTTGAATAACTTTTAATGGCCATGGGGTGTAGATTGGCCTGAGCAAATGTGGTGCCGGTGGAACGAAAGCCTTAGGAGGAGTTAGCCACATTCCAATGTGTGCGGATCGGCAAAAAATGCGGAATAACCCTTTAACCGTACATTTGACAGATACGCGCGCATTGACTTTTTCGTAGATCTTATTGAGTTACATGTGTGTGTCAATTTTTGTGTCATTTTGACAAAGCGTATAGGCGTGACACTCAACAATGTGTATTTTCACCTTAGGGGACAAGAAAAAATGGACTTTTTTCTCCTGCCATGGGGGGCGCTCTTTTGGGGAGTAAAAATTCCTTCACAAATGTGTTGATGGCTGGACATTGCATCATCCTAGAAAACTTGGGGGCCAGTGAGGGCAAAAATAAAAAGTTATAAGACTTTTAAATATGTGGATCTTAGGGTTATCTTTGGCGCCCCCTAGAACCTAAACCGTGGGGTACAGCATCATGATTTGAATAACTTTTAATGGCCATGGGGTGTAGATTGGCCTGAGCAAATGTGGTGCCGGTGGAACGAAAGCCTTCGGAGGAGTTAGCGAAATTGCAATGTGTGCGGATCGGCAAAAAATGCGAAATAACCCTTTAACCGTACATTTGACAGATACGCCCGCACTGACTTTTTTGTAGATCTTATTGAGATACATGTGTGTGTCAATTTTTGTGTCATTTTGACAAAGCGTACAGGCGTGACAGTCAATAGTGTGAATTTTCACCTTAGGGGGCGCTATGGAGCCATTTTGCATTTTCTTGTTTGGGCGACTTCGGAATATCAAATTTTTCACCAGGCCCGGTCGTCCTGCCAAATTTCATGAGTTTTCGCCAGTGGGAAGTGGGCCATTTTCCAGTTCAAAGGGGAGGAAAAATAATAATAATAACAAACTAGGACCCCGTTGGGGCACTGGCGGGCCCGAGCCGTGTCGCGTCCCCCCCCCAAACGTGCTGCCTCCCCGTCCCATTTGTGTCCTCTGGCCATCGCCCTCTCTGGTAACGCCCATCACTGCAAAGACCCTTTTCCTTCATCGGCGTTTGCTGTTCTTCTTGCCAGTGCGTGTTGCTTTCACTTACACTTGCCACAGCCAGCCTCGTGAGTGCCTAGCCTATTGGATATCACTGTCACCTACACAGGACAGTCATTACCTTTCTATTAATACTTTGTGTTTTAATTTCACATTAATTTCCATATTGTATAAACGACTGGAAAAAACTTGAGCCCCTGCCCCTGTATAATCATGTGCATGTCTCTGTTCTAGCTCCAAGGTGAATCTTCACAGCTCATGTTCTCCTCAGAAGCACTCACCTCACTCCCCTCAGGTTACTGTACACATGCACCAACTGCCTGCTTCAGGTTTGGATGGAGCTTCATGGTTGTCTTTTGGAGAAATGACCAGTCAAGTTGTGTTTGAAATTTGATTTTTTTCAGGGGCAAAAGGAGCCTCTGCATTCTTGTCAAATATGTAAATAGCATGTTTTTGCAGGTGCTAAAAACCAGACTCTGAGTGTGTGTGTGTGTGTGTGTGTGCGTGTGTGTGTGCGTGTGTGTGTGTCTGTGTGTGCGTTCAAGTCACATGACATATTTAACCGGATGTAGCTGCAAGACGGAGCCTCGTTGACTCTCCGTTTCAACTTATCTCAAAAGTGAGGACCTCAACCTATATACCAGTTTTTAAATTGTGTTGATAGGCCAAATAAAACCAGAGTTATGATAAATTATGTCCGCGATACTTTTTTTCTGCTTATTTTGATCACGTTCGGCGCTCGATCGCGCTGTATGAGACAGGAATACATAGCATGCAGACATTAGCGACAGGTCTTACAGGCGGAAAAGGCTTGCCAAAAGAAAAAAAAAACACACCACAACATCTCTCCTATTGGTGGAAAACTTCACCACAACAACCAATCCAAAATTATATGGTGACTGATTGACAAGGGGCGGGCGCTTACGTTCTTCCTGCAACATGAGAAGCGAGGGAGGGACTCTCAGCAGGGATGCAGTCTGGGACACGTAGTTGCAAACCTAGCGACTTTGTTGTTAGATTCAATGACTTTTCAGACCCCCTAACGACTTTTTTTTAGAAAGAAAGGGACTTTTATCGACTTCTTCTGGAGTTTAGAGACTCTGACATGAAGCAGGCTTTCCTTACTGAGGAGTTAGCAACGCTGCTAAGGGTGCAGAGCCACACATGCGCTCAGAGCTCTGCATGGGAGACTGAAGCTGACAGAGCTGCAGCAGTTAGCAGGTTTCACCCTCAGAGACCACCAGGGGTTCATGTTGAGGCATTTTAAATTTTTATTTTTTTTTGTGCCATAGACACTGTCAGCACAATCTGCAGTTACACTAACAAAAATGCTGCAAAAAACAAAGAATTATGGAAAAATTACACATGGACTGACATAGAGGAGGATCTACACAAGTTTTTTACATCATGTTTTACATCATGCATCATTTACATCATGTTTTTTTGTAGTGGCATAAATAAAAAGTGACATTTGTGAGACTATACAGTGTTTTGTAAATAATTTTACAAAGAACGCCTGGGCCATTGCCTGCATTTTGATGTAAATAGAGGTAAATCACTATGTTCTTTGTTAAAAATTTGCATATGTTTTGAAGTTTACAATTTTTATTTGAAGTTTAAGTTTTAAAAACAGTTCATCACACATATTTGTGGTTTTCACAGTAAAAATGTTACTTTTTTCCACTTGGATTTTATGTTTTGTGTTTGAATTTGGGTCCATTGTGTAAATTCAGTATGTCAACATGATAAAATAACTGTAAATTCGCACAGGTGAGGTTGTGCTGAAAAAAATGATACCAGGCAAGGCACGTGATTGTCAAATTTTGTGTCAATATGACAAAGCGTATAGGCGTGAATCTCAACAATATGTATTTTCACCTTAGGGGACAAGAAAAAATTGACTTTTTTTCCCTGCCATGGGGGGGCGCTCTTTTGGGGAGTAAAAATTCCTTCACAAATGTGTTGATGGCTGGACATTGCATCATCCTAGAAAACTTGGAGGCCAGTGAGGACAAAAATAAAAAGTTATAAGACTTTTAAATATGTGGATTTTAGGGTTATCTTTGGCGCCCCCTAGAACCTAAACCGTGGGGTGCAGTGTCATGATTTGAATAACTTTTAATGGCCATGGGGTGTAGATTGGCCTGAGCAAATGTGGTGCCGGTGGAACGAAAGCCTTAGGAGGAGTTAGCCACATTCCAATGTGTGCGGATCGGCAAAAAATGCGGAATAACCCTTTAACCGTACATTTGACAGATACGCGCGCATTGACTTTTTCGTAGATCTTATTGAGTTACATGTGTGTGTCAATTTTTGTGTCATTTTGACAAAGCGTATAGGCGTGACACTCAACAATGTGTATTTTCACCTTAGGGGACAAGAAAAAATGGACTTTTTTCTCCTGCCATGGGGGGGCGCTCTTTTGGGGAGTAAAAATTCCTTCACAAATGTGTTGATGGCTGGACATTGCATCATCCTAGAAAACTTGGGGGCCAGTGAGGGCAAAAATAAAAAGTTATAAGACTTTTAAATATGTGGATCTTAGGGTTATCTTTGGCGCCCCCTAGAACCTAAACCGTGGGGTACAGCATCATGATTTGAATAACTTTTAATGGCCATGGGGTGTAGATTGGCCTGAGCAAATGTGGTGCCGGTGGAACGAAAGCCTTCGGAGGAGTTAGCGAAATTCCAATGTGTGCGGATCGGCAAAAAATGCGAAATAACCCTTTAACCGTACATTTGACAGATACGCCCGCACTGACTTTTTTGTAGATCTTATTGAGATACATGTGTGTGTCAATTTTTGTGTCATTTTGACAAAGCGTACAGGCGTGACAGTCAATAGTGTGAATTTTCACCTTAGGGGGCGCTATGGAGCCATTTTGCATTTTCTTGTTTGGGCGACTTCGGAATATCAAATTTTTCACCAGGCCCGGTCGTCCTGCCAAATTTCATGAGTTTTCGCCAGTGGGAAGTGGGCCATTTTCCAGTTCAAAGGGGAGGAAAAATAATAATAATAACAAACTAGGACCCCGTTGGGGCACTGGCGGGCCCGAGCTGTGTCGCGTCCCCCCCCCAACGCGCTGCCTCCCCGTCCCATTTGTGTCCTCTGGCCATCGCCCTCTTTGGTAACGCCCATCACTGCAAAGACCCTTTTCCTTCATCGGCGTTTGCTGTTCTTCCTGCCAGTGCGTGTTGCTTTCACTTACACTTGCCACAGCCAGCCTCGTGAGTGCCTAGCCTATTGGATATCACTGTCACCTACACAGGACAGTCATTACCTTTCTATTAATACTTTGTTTTTTAATTTCACATTAATTTCCAAATTGTATAAACGACTGGAAAAAACTTGAGCCCCTGCCCCTGTATAATCATGTGCACGTCTCTGTTCTAGCTCTAAGGTAAATCTTCACTGCTCATGTTCTCCTCAGAAGATGTCACCTCACTCCCCTCAGGTTACTGTACACATGCACCAACTGCCTGCTTCAGGTTTGGATGGAGCTTCATGGTTGTCTTTTGGAGAAATGACCAGTCAAGTTGTGTTTGAAATTTGATTTTTTTCAGGGGCAAAAGGAGCCTCTGCATTCTTGTCAAATATGTAAATAGCATGTTTTTGCAGGTGCTACAAACCAGACTCTGAGTGTGTGTGTGTGCGTGTGTGTGTGTGTCTGTGTGTGTGTGTGTATGTGCGTTCAAGTCACATGACATATTTAACCGGATGTAGCTGCAAGACGGAGCCTCGTTGACTCTCCGTTTCAATTTATCTCAAAAGTGAGGACCTCAACCTATATACCAGTTTTTAAATTGTGTTGATAGGCCAAATAAAACCAGAGTTATGATAAATTATGTCCGCGATACTTGTTTTCTGCTTATTTTGATCACGTTCGGCGCTCGATCGCGCTGTATGAGACAGGAAAACATAGCATGCAGACATTAGCGACAGGTCTTACAGGCGGAAAAGGCTTGCCAAAGGAAAAAAAATACACACCACAACATCTCTCCTATTGGTGGAAAACTTCACCACAACAACCAATCCAAAATTATATGGTGACTGATTGACAAGGGGCGGGAACTTACGTTCTTCCTGCAATATGAGAAGGGAGGGAGGGACTCTCAGCAGGGATGCAGTCTGGGACACGTAGTTGCAAACCTAGCGACTTTGTTGTTAGATTCAATGACTTTTCAGACCCCCTAACGACTTTTTTTTAGAAAGAAAGTGACTTTTATCGACTTCTTCTGGAGTTTAGAGACTCTGACATGAAGCAGGCTTTCCTTACTGAGGAGTTAGCAACGCTGCTAAGGGTGCAGAGCCACACATGCGCTCCGAGCTCTGCATGGGAGACTGAAGCTGACAGAGCTGCAGCAGTTAGCAGGTTTCACCCTCAGAGACCACCAGGGGTTCATGTTGAGGCATTTTCAGTTTTTTTTTTTTTTTTTTGCCATAGACACTGTCAGCACAATCTGCAGTTACACTAACAAAAATGCTGCAAAAAACAAAGAATTATGGAAAAATTACACATGGACTAACATAGAGGAGGATCTACACAAGTTTTTTACATCATGTTTTACATCATGCATCATTTACATCATGTTTTTTTGTAGTGGCATAAATAAAAAGTGACATTTGTGAGACTATACAGTGTTTTGTAAATAATTTTACAAAGAACACCTGGGCCATTGCCTGCATTTTGATGTCAATAGAGGTAAATTACTATGTTCTTTGTTAAAAATTTGCATATGTTTTGAAGTTTACAATTTTTATTTGAAGTTTAAGTTTTAAAAACAGTTCATCACACATATTTGTGGTTTAATTTCACATTAATTTCCATATTGTATAAATGACTGGAAAAAACTTGAGCCCCTGCCCCTGTATAATCATGTGCACGTCCCTGTTCTAGCTCCAAGGTGAATCTTCACTGCTCATGTTCTCCTCAGAAATAGTCACCTCACTCCCCTCAGGTTACTGTACACATGCACCAACTATCTGCTTCAGGTTTGAAATGGAGCTTCATGGTTGTCTTTTGGAGAAATGAACAGTCAAGTTGTGTTTGAAATTTGATTTTTTTCAGGGGCAAAAGGAAGCCTCTGCATTCTTGTCAAATATGTAAACAGCATGTTTTTGCAGGTGCTAAAAAACAGACTCTGAGTGTGTGTGTGTGTGTGTGTGTGTGTGTGTGTGTGTGTGTGTGTGTGTGTGTGTTGGCGTGTGTGTATATGTGTGTGTATCCTGCAGTACTCTGTACTCCTGCAGTGGCCAAAAAGACTTTTAAGAATGTGGATTTTTGGGTCATCTTTGGCGCCCCCTAGAACTGCAGTACTCTGTACTCCTGCAGTGGCCAAAATGACTTTTAAGAATGTGGATTTTTGGGTCATCTTTGGCGCCCCCTAGAACGTAAACCGTGGGGTGCAGCGTCATGATTTTTACAACTTTGAATGGGCATGGGGTGTAGATTGCCCTGAGCAAATTTGGTATCGGTGGGACGAAAGCCTTAGGAGGAGATAGCCACATTCCAATGTGTCCTAATCGGCAAAAAATGCAAAATAGCCCTTTAACCGTACATTATACAGATACGCGCTCTTTGACTTTTTCGTAGATCTAATTGAGATACACATGATTGTCAATTTTTGTGTCAATATGACAAAGCGTTCAGGCGTGACACTCAACAATGTGTATTTTTATGTAAGGGGACAAGAAAAAATTGACTTTTTTCTCCTACCATGGGGGGGCGCTCTTTTGGGGAGTAAAAATTCCTTCACAAATGTGTTGATGGCTGGACATTGCATCATCCTAGAAAACTTGGAGGCCAGTGAGGACAAAAATAAAAAGTTATAAAACATTTAAGAATGTGGATTTTTGGGTTATTTTTGGCGCCCCCTAGAACCTAAACCATGGGGTGCAGCATCATGATTTGAATAACTTTTAATGGCCATGGGGTGTAGATTGGCCTGAGCAAATGTGGTGCCGGTGGAACGAAAGCCTTCGGAGGAGTTAGCGAAATTCCAATGTGTGCGTATCGGCAAAAAATGCGGAATAACCCTTTAACTGTACATTTGACAGATACGCGCGCATGGACTTTTTTGTAGATCTTATTGAGTTACATGTGTGTGTCAATTTTTGTGTCATTTTGACAAAGCGTATAGGCGTGACACTCAACAATGTGTATTTTCACCTTAGGGGACAAGAAAAAATGGAGTTTTTTCTCCTGCCATGGGGGGGCGCTCTTTTGGGGAGTAAAAATTCCTTCACAAATGTGTTGATGGCTGGACATTGCATCATCCTAGAAAACTTGGAGGCCAGTGAGGACAAAAATAAAAAGTTATAAGACTTTTAAATATGTGGATTTTAGTGTTATCTTTGGCGCCCCCTAGAACCTAAACCTTGGGGTGCAGCGTCATGATTTTGATAACTTTTAATGGCCACGGGGTGTAGATTGGCCTGAGCAAATGTGGTGCCGGTGGAACGAAAGCCTTCGGAGGAGTTAGCGAAATTCCAATGTGTGCGGATCGGCAAAAAATGCGAAATAACCCTTTAACCGTAATTTTGACAGATACGGCCGCACTGACTTTTTTGTAGATCTTATTGAGATACATATGTGTGTCAATTTTTGTGTCAATATGACAAAGCGTACAGGCGTGACAGTCAATAGTGTGAATTTCCACCTTAGGGGGCGCTATGGAGCCATTTTGCATTTTATTGTTTGGGCGACTTCAGAATATCGAATTTTTCACCAGGCCCGGTCGTCCTGCCAAATTTCATGAGTTTTCGCCAGTGGGAAGTGGGCCATTTTCCAGTTCAAAGGGGAGGAAAAAGAAGAAAGAAAGAACTAGGACCCCGTTGGGGCACTGGCGGGCCCGAGCCGTGTCGCGTCTCCCCCCCCCGCCCCCCAACGTGCTGCCTCCCCGTCCCATTTGTGTCCTCTGGCCATCGCCCTCTCTGTTAACGCCCATCACTGCAAAGACCCTTTCCCTTCATCGGCGTTTGCTGTTCTTCCTGCCAGTGCGTGTTGCTTTCACTTACACTTGCCACAGCCAGCCTCGTGAGTGCCTAGCCTATTGGATATCACTGTCACCTACACAGGACAGTCATTACCTTTCTATTAATACTTTGTGTTTTAATTTCACATTAATTTCCATATTGTATAAACGACTGGAAAAAACTTGAGCCCCTGCCCCTGTATAATCATGTGCATGTCTCTGTTCTAGCTCCAAGGTGAATCTTCACTGCTCATGTTCTCCTCAGAAGCACTCACCTCACTCCCCTCAGGTTACTGTACACATGCACCAACTGCCTGCTTCAGGTTTGGATGGAGCTTCATGGTTGTCTTTTGGAGAAATGACCAGTCAAGTTGTGTTTGAAATTTGATTTTTTTCAGGGGCAAAAGGAGCCTCTGCATTCTTGTCAAATATGTAAATAGCATGTTTTTGCAGGTGCTAAAAACCAGACTCTGAGTGTGTGTGTGTGTGTGTGTGTGTGTGTGTGTGTGTGTGTGTGTGTGTGTGTGTGTGTGTGTGTGTGTGCGTGTGTGTGTCTGTGTGTGCGTTCAAGTCACATGACATATTTAACCGGATGTAGCTGCAAGACGGAGCCTCGTTGACTCTCCGTTTCAACTTATCTCAAAAGTGAGGACCTCAACCTATATACCAGTTTTTAAATTGTGTTGATAGGCCAAATAAAACCAGAGTTATGATAAATTATGTCCGCGATACTTTTTTTCTGCTTATTTTGATCACGTTCGGCGCTCGATCGCGCTGTATGAGACAGGAAAACATAGCATGCAGACATTAGCGACAGCTCTTACAGGCGGAAAAGGCTTGCCAAAAGAAAAAAAAAACACACCACAACATCTCTCCTATTGGTGGAAAACTTCACCACAACAACCAATCCAAAATTATATGGTGACTGATTGACAAGGGGCGGGCGCTTACGTTCTTCCTGCAACATGAGAAGGGAGGGAGGGACTCTCAGCACGGATGCAGTCTGGGACACGTAGTTGCAAACCTAGCGACTTTGTTGTTAGATTCAATGACTTTTCAGACCCCCTAACTACTTTTTTTTTGAAACAAAGGGACTTTTATCGACTTCTTCTGGAGTTTAGAGACTCTGACATGAAGCAGGCTTTCCTTACTGAGGAGTTAGCAACGCTGCTAAGGGTGCAGAGCCACACATGCGCTCCGAGCTCTGCATGGGAGACTGAAGCTGACAGAGCTGCAGCAGTTAGCAGGTTTCACCCTCAGAGACCACCAGGGGTTCATGTTGAGGCATTTTAAATTTTTTTTTTTTTTTGTGCCATAGACACTGTCAGCACAATCTGCAGTTACACTAACAAAAATGCTGCAAAAAACAAAGAATTATGGAAAAATTACACATGGACTGACATAGAGGAGGATCTACACAAGTTTTTTACATCATGTTTTACATCATGCATCATTTACATCATGTTTTTTTGTAGTGGCATAAATAAAAAGTGACATTTGTGAGACTATACAGTGTTTTGTAAATAATTTTACAAAGAACGCCTGGGCCATTGCCTGCATTTTGATGTAAATAGAGGTAAATCACTATGTTCTTTGTTAAAAATTTGCATATGTTTTGAAGTTTACAATTTTTATTTGAAGTTTAAGTTTTAAAAACAGTTCATCACACATATTTGTGGTTTTCACAGTAAAAATGTTACTTTTTTCCACTCGGATTTTATGTTTTGTGTGTGAATTTGGGTCCATTGTGTAAATTCAGTATGTCAACATGATAAAATAACTGTAAATTCGCACAGGTGAGGTTGTGCTGAAAAAAATGATACCAGGCAAGGCACGTGATTGTCAAATCTTGTGTCAATATGACAAAGCGTATAGGCGTGAATCTCAACAATATGTATTTTCACCTTAGGGGACAAGAAAAAATGGACTTTTTTCTCCTGCCATGGGGGGGCGCTCTTTTGGGGAGTAAAAATTCCTTCACAAATGTGTTGATGGCTGGACATTGCATCATCCTAGAAAACTTGGAGGCCAGTGAGGACAAAAATAAAAAGTTATAAGACTTTGAAATATGTGGATTTTAGGGTTATTTTTGGCGCCCCCTAGAACCTAAACCATGGGGTGCAGCGTCATGATTTGAATAACTTTTAATGGCCATGGGGTGTAGATTGGCCTGAGCAAATGTGGTGCCGGTGGAACGAAAGCCTTCGGAGGAGTTAGCCACATTCCAATGTGTGCGTATCGGCAAAAAATGCGGAATAACCCTTTAACCGTACATTTGACAGATACGCGCTCATAGACTTTTTTGTAGATCTTATTGAGATACATGTGTGTGTCAATTTTTGTGTCATTTTGCCAAAGCGTAAAGGCGTGAATCTCAACAATGTGTATTTTCACCTTAGGGGACAAGAAAAAATGGACTTTTTTCTCCTGCCATGGGGGGCGCTCTTTTGGGGAGTAAAAATTCCTTCACAAATGTGTTGATGGCTGGACATTGCATCATCCTAGAAAACTTGGAGGCCAGTGAGGACAGAAATAAAAAGTTATAAGACTTTGAAATATGTGGATTTTAGGGTTATTTTTGGCGCCCCCTAGAACCTAAACCGTGGGGTGCAGCGTCATGATTTGAATAACTTTTAATGGCCATGGGGTGTAGATTGGCCTGAGCAAATGTGGTGCCGGTGGAACGAAAGCCTTCGGAGGAGTTAGCGAAATTCCAATGTGTGCAGATCTGCAAAAAATGCAAAATAACCCATTAACCGTACATTTGACAGATACGCCCGCACTGACTTTTTTGTAGATCTTATTGAGATACATGTGTGTGTCAATTTTTGTGTCAATATGACAAAGCGTACAGCCGTCATGTGAATTTTCACCTTAGGGGGCGCTATGGAGCCATTTTGCATTTTATTGTTTGGGCGACTTCGGAATATCAAATTTTTCACCAGGCCCGGTCGTCCTGCCAAATTTCATGAGTTTTCGCCAGTGGGAAGTGGGCCATTTTCCAGTTCAAAGGGGAGGAAAAAGAAAAAAGAAACAAAGAAAAACCACTTGGGGAATAATAGGGCTCTCGCAGCTGCTTAGCAGCTACGCTCGGGCCCTAACTAGGACCCCGTTGGGGCACTGGCGGGCCCGAGCTGTGTCGCGTCCCCCCCCCCAACGCGCTGCCTCCCCGTCCCATTTGTGTCCTCTGGCCATCGCCCTCTCTGGTAACGCCCATCACTGCAAAGACCCTTTTCCTTCATCGGCGTTTGCTGTTCTTCCTGCCAGTGCGTGTTGCTTTCACTTACACTTGCCACAGCCAGCCTCTTGAGTGCCTAGCCTATTGGATATCACTGTCACCTACTCAGGACAGTCATTACCTTTCTATTAATACTTTGTTTTTTAATTTCACATTAATTTCCATATTGTATAAACAACTGGAAAAAACTTGAGCCCCTGCCCCTGTATAATCATGTGCACGTCTCTGTTCTAGCTGTAAGGTGAATCTTCACTGCTCATGTTCTCCTCAGAAGCACTCACCTCACTCCCCTCAGGTTACTGTACACATGCACCAACTGCCTGCTTCAGGTTTGGATGGAGCTTCATGGTTGTCTTTTGGAGAAATGACCAGTCAAGTTGTGTTTGAAATTTGATTTTTTTCAGGGGCAAAAGGAGCCTCTGCATTCTTGTCATATATGTAAATAGCATGTTTTTGCAGGTGCTAAAAACCAGACTCTGAGTGTGTGTGTGTGCGTGTGTCTGTGTGTGTGTGTGTGTGTGTGTGCGTTCAAGTCACATGACATATTTAACCGGATGTAGCTGCAAGACGGAGCCTCGTTGACTCCGTTTCAACTTATCTCAAAAGTGAGGACCTCAACCTATATACCAGTTTTTAAATTGTGTTGATAGGCCAAATAAAACCAGAGTTATGATAAATTATGTCCGCGATACTTTTTTTCTGCTTATTTTGATCACGTTCGGCGCTCGATCGCGCTGTATGAGACAGGAAAACATAGCATGCAGACATTAGCGACAGGTCTTACAGGCGGAAAAGGCTTGCCAAAGGAAAAAAAAAACACACCACAACATCTCTCCTATTGGTGGAAAACTTCACCACAACAACCAATCCAAAATTATATGGTGACTGATTGACAAGGGGCGGGCGCTTACGTTCTTCCTGCAATATGAGAAGGGAGGGAGGGACTCTCAGCAGGGATGCAGTCTGGGACACGTAGTTGCAAACCTAGCGACTTTGTTGTTAGATTCAATGACTTTTCAGACCCCCTAACGACTTTTTTTTTAGAAAGAAAGGGACTTTTATCGACTTCTTCTGGAGTTTAGAGACTCTGACATGAAGCAGGCTTTCCTTACTGAGGAGTTAGCAACGCTGCTAAGGGTGCAGAGCCACACATGCGCTCCGAGCTCTGCATGGGAGACTGAAGCTGACAGAGCTGCAGCAGTTAGCAGGTTTCACCCTCAGAGACCACCAGGGGTTCATGTTGAGGCATTTTCAGTTTTTTTTTTTTTTTTTGCCATAGACACTGTCAGCACAATCTGCAGTTACACTAACAAAAATGCTGCAAAAAACAAAGAATTATGGAAAAATTACACATGGACTAACATAGAGGAGGATCTACACAAGTTTTTTACATCATGTTTTACATCATGCATCATTTACATCATGTTTTTTTGTAGTGGCATAAATAAAAAGTGACATTTGTGAGACTATACAGTGTTTTGTAAATAATTTTACAAAGAACACCTGGGCCATTGCCTGCATTTTTATGTAAATAGAGGTAAATTACTATGTTCTTTGTTAAAAATTTGCATATGTTTTGAAGTTTACAATTTTTATTTGAAGTTTAAGTTTTAAAAACAGTTCATCACACATATTTGTGGTTTTCACAGTAAAAACGTTACTTTTTTCCACTCGGATTTTATGTTTTGTGTGTGAATTTGGGTCCAATGTGTAAATATAGTATGTCAAAATGATAAAATAACTGTAAATTGACACAGGTGAGGTTGTGCTGAAAAAAATGATACCAGGCAAGGCAAGGTAAAAATTTTGTAAGAGGAAATATAAAGGTAAAATCTAAAGTAGTCAAAAACGGCCAATAGTGACTCACAGACTCCACAGACAAGTACCTTTGGCGCCACTCAGTGGGCAAAACTACTTTGTCTACTGTAATGTATATTTGGGTCATCTTTGGCGCCCCCTAAAACGTAAACCGTGGGGTGCAGCGTCATGATTTTTACAACTTTGAATGGCCATGGAGTGTAGATTGGCCTGAGCAAATTTGGTGTCAGTGGGACGAAAGCCTTAGGAGGAGTTAGCGAAATTCCAATGTGTGCGAATCGGCAAAAAATGCAAAATAGCCCTTTTACCGTACATTATACAGATACGCGCTCTTTGACTTTTTCGTAGATCTAATTGAGATACACATGATTGTCAATTTTTGTGTCATTTTGCCAAAGCGTACAGGCGTGACAGTCAACAATGTGTATTTTCACCTTAGGGGACAAGAAAAAATGGACTTTTTTCTCCTGCCATGGGGGGCGCTCTTTTAGGGAGTAAAAATTCCTTCACAAATGTGTTGATGGCTGGACATTGCATCATCCTAGAAAACTTGGAGGCCAGTGAGGACAAAAATAAAAAGTTATAAGACTTTTAAAAATGTGGATTTTTGGGTTATCTTTGGCGCCCCCTAGAACGTAAACCGTGGGGTGCAGCGTCATGATTTGAATAACTTTTAATGGCCATGGGGTGTAGATTGGCCTGACCAAACATGGTGCCGGTGGAACGAAAGCCTTCGGAGGAGTTAGCGAAATTCCAATGTGTGCGAATCGGCAAAAAATGCGGAATAACCCTTTAACCGTACATTTGACAGATACGCGCGCATGGACTTTTTTGTAGATCTTATTGAGATACATGTGTGTGTCAATTTTTGTGTCATTTTGACAAAGCGTACAGGCGTGACACTCAACAATGTGTATTTTCACCTTAGGGGACAAGAAAAAATGGACTTTTTTCTCCTTCCATGGGGGGGCGCTCTTTTGGGGAGTAAAAATTCCTTCACAAATGTGTTGATGGCTGGACATTGCATCATCCTAGAAAACTTGGAGGCCAGTGAGGGCAAAAATAAAAAGTTATAAGACTTTTAAATATGTGGATTTTAGGGTTATCTTTGGCGCCCCCTAGAACCTAAACCGTGGGGTGCAGCGTCATGATTTGAATAACTTTTAATGGCCATGGGGTGTAGATTGGCCTGAGCAAATGTGGTGCCGGTGGAACGAAAGCCTTCGGAGGAGTTAGCGAAATTCCAATGTGTGCGGATCGGCAAAAAATGCGAAATAACCCTTTAACCGTACATTTGACAGATACGGCCGCACTGACTTTTTTGTAGATCTTATTGAGATACATGTGTGTGTCAATTTTTGTGTCATTTTGACAAAGCGTACAGGCGTGACAGTCAATAGTGTGAATTTTCACCTTAGGGGGCGCTATGGAGCCATTTTGCATTTTCTTGTTTGGGCGACTTCGGAATATCAAATTTTTCACCAGGCCCGGTCGTCCTGCCAAATTTCATGAGTTTTCGCCAGTGGGAAGTGGGCCATTTTCCAGTTCAAAGGGGAGGAAAAAGAAAAAAGAAACAAAGAAAAACCACTTGGGGAATAATAGGGCTCTCGCAGCTGCTTAGCAGCTGAGTGTGTGTGTGTGCGTGTGTCTGTGTGTGTGTGTGTGTGTGTGTGCGTTCAAGTCACATGACATATTTAACCGGATGTAGCTGCAAGACGGAGCCTCGTTGACTCCGTTTCAACTTATCTCAAAAGTGAGGACCTCAACCTATATACCAGTTTTTAAATTGTGTTGATAGGCCAAATAAAACCAGAGTTATGATAAATTATGTCCGCGATACTTTTTTTCTGCTTATTTTGATCACGTTCGGCGCTCGATCGCGCTGTATGAGACAGGAAAACATAGCATGCAGACATTAGCGACAGGTCTTACAGGCGGAAAAGGCTTGCCAAAGGAAAAAAAAAACACACCACAACATCTCTCCTATTGGTGGAAAACTTCACCACAACAACCAATCCAAAATTATATGGTGACTGATTGACAAGGGGCGGGCGCTTACGTTCTTCCTGCAATATGAGAAGGGAGGGAGGGACTCTCAGCAGGGATGCAGTCTGGGACACGTAGTTGCAAACCTAGCGACTTTGTTGTTAGATTCAATGACTTTTCAGACCCCCTAACGACTTTTTTTAGAAAGAAAGGGACTTTTATCGACTTCTTCTGGAGTTTAGAGACTCTGACATGAAGCAGGCTTTCCTTACTGAGGAGTTAGCAACGCTGCTAAGGGTGCAGAGCCACACATGCGCTCCGAGCTCTGCATGGGAGACTGAAGCTGACAGAGCTGCAGCAGTTAGCAGGTTTCACCCTCAGAGACCACCAGGGGTTCATGTTGAGGCATTTTCAGTTTTTTTTTTTTTTTTTGCCATAGACACTGTCAGCACAATCTGCAGTTACACTAACAAAAATGCTGCAAAAAACAAAGAATTATGGAAAAATTACACATGGACTAACATAGAGGAGGATCTACACAAGTTTTTTACATCATGTTTTACATCATGCATCATTTACATCATGTTTTTTTGTAGTGGCATAAATAAAAAGTGACATTTGTGAGACTATACAGTGTTTTGTAAATAATTTTACAAAGAACACCTGGGCCATTGCCTGCATTTTTATGTAAATAGAGGTAAATTACTATGTTCTTTGTTAAAAATTTGCATATGTTTTGAAGTTTACAATTTTTATTTGAAGTTTAAGTTTTAAAAACAGTTCATCACACATATTTGTGGTTTTCACAGTAAAAACGTTACTTTTTTCCACTCGGATTTTATGTTTTGTGTGTGAATTTGGGTCCAATGTGTAAATATAGTATGTCAAAATGATAAAATAACTGTAAATTGACACAGGTGAGGTTGTGCTGAAAAAAATGATACCAGGCAAGGCAAGGTAAAAATTTTGTAAGAGGAAATATAAAGGTAAAATCTAAAGTAGTCAAAAACGGCCAATAGTGACTCACAGACTCCACAGACAAGTACCTTTGGCGCCACTCAGTGGGCAAAACTACTTTGTCTACTGTAATGTATATTTGGGTCATCTTTGGCGCCCCCTAAAACGTAAACCGTGGGGTGCAGCGTCATGATTTTTACAACTTTGAATGGCCATGGAGTGTAGATTGGCCTGAGCAAATTTGGTGTCAGTGGGACGAAAGCCTTAGGAGGAGTTAGCGAAATTCCAATGTGTGCGAATCGGCAAAAAATGCAAAATAGCCCTTTTACCGTACATTATACAGATACGCGCTCTTTGACTTTTTCGTAGATCTAATTGAGATACACATGATTGTCAATTTTTGTGTCATTTTGCCAAAGCGTACAGGCGTGACAGTCAACAATGTGTATTTTCACCTTAGGGGACAAGAAAAAATGGACTTTTTTCTCCTGCCATGGGGGGGCGCTCTTTTAGGGAGTAAAAATTCCTTCACAAATGTGTTGATGGCTGGACATTGCATCATCCTAGAAAACTTGGAGGCCAGTGAGGACAAAAATAAAAAGTTATAAGACTTTTAAAAATGTGGATTTTTGGGTTATCTTTGGCGCCCCCTAGAACGTAAACCGTGGGGTGCAGCGTCATGATTTGAATAACTTTTAATGGCCATGGGGTGTAGATTGGCCTGACCAAACATGGTGCCGGTGGAACGAAAGCCTTCGGAGGAGTTAGCGAAATTCCAATGTGTGCGAATCGGCAAAAAATGCGGAATAACCCTTTAACCGTACATTTGACAGATACGCGCGCATGGACTTTTTTGTAGATCTTATTGAGATACATGTGTGTGTCAATTTTTGTGTCATTTTGACAAAGCGTACAGGCGTGACACTCAACAATGTGTATTTTCACCTTAGGGGACAAGAAAAAATGGACTTTTTTCTCCTTCCATGGGGGGGCGCTCTTTTGGGGAGTAAAAATTCCTTCACAAATGTGTTGATGGCTGGACATTGCATCATCCTAGAAAACTTGGAGGCCAGTGAGGGCAAAAATAAAAAGTTATAAGACTTTTAAATATGTGGATTTTAGGGTTATCTTTGGCGCCCCCTAGAACCTAAACCGTGGGGTGCAGCGTCATGATTTGAATAACTTTTAATGGCCATGGGGTGTAGATTGGCCTGAGCAAATGTGGTGCCGGTGGAACGAAAGCCTTCGGAGGAGTTAGCGAAATTCCAATGTGTGCGGATCGGCAAAAAATGCGAAATAACCCTTTAACCGTACATTTGACAGATACGGCCGCACTGACTTTTTTGTAGATCTTATTGAGATACATGTGTGTGTCAATTTTTGTGTCATTTTGACAAAGCGTACAGGCGTGACAGTCAATAGTGTGAATTTTCACCTTAGGGGGCGCTATGGAGCCATTTTGCATTTTCTTGTTTGGGCGACTTCGGAATATCAAATTTTTCACCAGGCCCGGTCGTCCTGCCAAATTTCATGAGTTTTCGCCAGTGGGAAGTGGGCCATTTTCCAGTTCAAAGGGGAGGAAAAAGAAAAAAGAAACAAAGAAAAACCACTTGGGGAATAATAGGGCTCTCGCAGCTGCTTAGCAGCTACGCTCGGGCCCTAAAGAAAGAAACAAAGAAAAACCACTTGGGGAATAATAGGGCCTACGCCCGGCTGCTCTGCATCTGGCTCGGGCCCTAACTAGGGCCCCGTTGGGGCACTGGCGGGCCCGAGCCGTGTCGCACCCCCCCCCCCCCCCCAACGCGCTGCCTCCCCGTCCCATTCGTGTCCTCTGGCCATCGCCCTCTCTGGTAACGCCCATCACTGCAAAGACCCTTTTCCTTCATCGGCGTTTGCTGTTCTTCCTGCCAGTGCGTGTTGCTTTCACTTACACTTGCCACAGCCAGCCTCGTGAGTGCCTAGCCTATTGGATATCACTGTCACCTACACAGGACAGTCATACTTTGTTTTTTAATTTAACATTAATTTCCATATTGTATAAACGACTGGAAAAAACTTGAGCCCCTGCCCCTGTATTATCATGTGCACGTCCCTGTTCTAGCTCCAAGGTGAATCTTCACTGCTCATGTTCTCCTCAGAAGCAGTCACCTCACTCCCCTCAGGTTACTGTACACATGCACCAACTGCCTGCTTCAGGTTTGGATGGAGCTTCATGGTTGTCTTTTGGAGAAATGAGCAGTCAATTTGTGTTTGAAATTTGATTTTTTTCAGGGGCAAAAGGAAGCCTCTGCATTCTTGTCAAATATGTAAATAGCATGTTTTAGCAGGTGCTAAAAAACAGACTCTGAGTGTGTGTGTGTGTGTGTGTGTGCGTGTGTGTGTGTGTGTGTATCCTGCAGTACTCTGAGAAGAATAATAAGCATATTTCTGAGGTGAATTTTGAAGATTCATCTGAGAGTTAGGTTTGATTCGATTCGATTGACGCTCCCCAGCGTTCAAGTCACATGACATATTTAACCGGATGTAGCTGCAAGACGGAGCCTCGTTGACTCTCCGTTTCAACTTATCTCAAAAGTGAGGACCTCAACCTATATACCAGTTTTTAAATTGTGTTGATAGGCCAAATAAAACCAGAGTTATGATAAATTATGTCCGCGATACTTTTTTTCTGCTTATTTTGATCACGTTCGGCGCTCGATCGCGCTGTATGAGACAGGAAAACATAGCATGCACACATTAGCGACAGGTCTTACAGGCGGAAAAGGCTTGCCAAAAGAAAAAAAAAACACACCACAACATCTCTCCTATTGGTGGAAAACTTCACCACAACAACCAATCCAAAATTATATGGTGACTGATTGACAAGGGGCGGGCGCTTACGTTCTTCCTGCAACATGAGAAGGGAGGGAGGGACTCTCAGCAGGGATGCAGTCTGGGACACGTAGTTGCAAACCTAGCGACTTTGTTGTTAGATTCAATGACTTTTCAGACCCCCTAACGACTTTTTTTAGAAAGAAAGGGACTTTTATCGACTTCTTCTGGAGTTTAGAGACTCTGACATGAAGCAGGCTTTCCTTACTGAGGAGTTAGCAACGCTGCTAAGGGTGCAGAGCCACACATGCGCTCCGAGCTCTGCATGGGAGACTGAAGCTGACAGAGCTGCAGCAGTTAGCAGGTTTCACCCTCAGAGACCACCAGGGGTTCATGTTGAGGCATTTTCAGTTTTTGTTTTTTTTGCCATAGACTGTCAGCACAATCTGCAGTTACACTAACAAAAATGCTGCAAAAAACAAAGAATTATGGAAAAATTACACATGGACTGACATAGAGGAGGATCTACACAAGTTTTTTACATCATGTTTTACATCATGCATCATTTACATCATGTTTTTTTGTAGTGGCATAAATAAAAAGTGACATTTGTGAGACTATACAGTGTTTTGTAAATAATTTTACAAAGAACGCCTGGGCCATTGCCTGCATTTTGATGTAAATAGAGGTAAATTACTATGTTCTTTGTTAAAAATTTGCATATGTTTTGAAGTTTACAATTTTTATTTGAAGTTTAAGTTTTAAAAACAGTTCATCACACATATTTGTGGTTTAATTTCACATTAATTTCCATATTGTATAAATGACTGGAAAAAACTTGAGCCCCTGCCCCTGTATAATCATGTGCACGTCCCTGTTCTAGCTCCAAGGTGAATCTTCACTGCTCATGTTCTCCTCAGAAATAGTCACCTCACTCCCCTCAGGTTACTGTACACATGCACCAACTATCTGCTTCAGGTTTGAAATGGAGCTTCATGGTTGTCTTTTGGAGAAATGAACAGTCAAGTTGTGTTTGAAATCTGATTTTTTTCAGGGGCAAAAGGAAGCCTCTGCATTCTTGTCAAATATGTAAACAGCATGTTTTTGCAGGTGCTAAAAAACAGACTCTGAGTGTGTGTGTGTGTCTGTGTGTGTGTGTGTGTGTGTGTGTGTGTGTGTGTGTGTGTGTATATGTGTGTGTATCCTGCAGTGGCCAAAAAGACTTTTAAGAATGTGGATTTTTGGGTCATCTTTGGCGCCCCCTAGAACTGCAGTACTCTGTACTCCTGCAGTGGCCAAAATGACTTTTAAGAATGTGGATTTTTGGGTCATCTTTGGCGCCCCCTAGAACGTAAACCGTGGGGTGCAGCGTCATGATTTTTACAACTTTGAATGGCCATGGGGTGTAGATTGCCCTGAGCAAATTTGGTATCGGTGGGACGAAAGACTTAGGAGGAGATAGCCACATTCCAATGTGTGCGAATCGGCAAAAAATGCGAAATAGCCCTTTAACCATACATTTGACAGATACGTGCCTATTGACTTTTTTGTAGATCTTATTGAGATACACGTGATTGTCAAATTGTGTGTCAATATGACAAAGTGTATAGGCGTGACACTCAACAATGTGTATTTTTACCTTAGGAGACAAGAAAAAATGGACTTTTTTCTCCTGCCATGGGGGGGCGCTCTTTTGGGGAGTAAAAATTCCTTCACAAATGTGTTGATGGCTGGACATTGCATCATCCTAGAAAACTTGGAGGCCAGTGAGGACAAAAATAAAAAGTTATAAGACTTTTAAGAATGTGGATTTTGGGTTATCTTTGGCGCCCCCTAGAAAGTAAACCGTGGGGTGCAGCATCATGATTTGTACAACTTTTAATGGCCATGGGGTGTAGATTGGCCTGAGCAAATTTGGTGCCGGTGGAACGAAAGCCTTCGGAGGAGTTAGCGAAATTCCAATGTGTGCGGATCGGCAAAAAAAGCAAAATAGCCCTTTAACCGTACATTTGGCAGATACGCCCGCACTGACTTTTTTGTAGATCTTATTGAGATACACATGTGTGTCAAATTTTGTGTCATTTTGACAAAGCGTACAGGCATCAGGTGAGTTTTCACCATAGGGGGCGCTATGGAGCCATTTTTCATTTTTTTGTTTGGACGACTTCAGAATATCAAATTTTTCACCAGGCCCGGTTGTCCTGCCAAATTTCCTGAGTTTTCGCCAGTGGGAAGTGGGCCATTTTCCAGTTTAAAGCGGAGGAAAAATAACGAAAGAAGAATCCATCAGGAACAAGAGGGCTCTCGCAGCTGCTTAGCAGCTACGCTCGGGCCCTAATAATAACAAAAGAAGGAAACATGCAGGAACAAGAGGGCTCTCGCAGCTGCTTAGCAGCTACGCTCGGGCCCTAACAAGAGGGCTCTCGCAGCTGCTTAGCAGCTACGCTCGGGCCCTAAAGAAGAAAGAAAAACCCATACAGGAACAATAGGGCTCTCGCAGCTGCTTAGCAGCTACGCTCGGGCCCTAAAAAGGCCCTGAGCTTTCTGTCTATGCTGTCGCTCATAACATCATGCCCTTCTCAGCCAATGCCACGCCCCCCACGCCAGAAAGGGCCAGAAGCTTGAAACTGAAAAAATACAATCTGAAAGTGAAAACAAAGTTCTTAAAATAAAAATTAAAAAAATTAAAACCTAAAAACATTAAATGTGAAAAGAAATTAACCCTAATCTGAAAACATTTAACCTGCAACTCAAAAAAATAACCTTGAATTTAAAAGATATATTTAAGAGTGAAAAATTAAAATAAATGATTTTATCAGAATAATTCTAGAGCTGACTCAATACAATATTTCAGTTTAAAAAAAAACTTTTGTACACTTAAAAAAAAAATGTAAATACAGTGCTTTTAATTTTTCAAAATTCAAGATCAAACCTCAAACTTTCTTTTTGATATAATTTTCTGGAACTATTTCCTTTTTTTTTTTTTCAAATTAACAAACCTTTTGGCCTGGATTTAGTTTTATAAAGCCACTGATCTCCCAAACAGAAACAATTTCTGGTTGACCCACATGGTGGTGCCAGCACATCAATAATGGGGAAATTCAAAGCAAGAACTGTGTTTACAGCACAGTCTGTCAATCCTGCAGCATGAACTGAGAGTGTGTGAAGACTTCCTTCTAAAGCAGAACCTGGCACCTGTCCACAAAGCCAAAACCACCATAAACTGATATAATGGCCGTGGTCTTACTGTGCTTGATTGACTGAACCCCATCGTGGATCCGTGACGCATCATCAGGAGCCGGATGAGAGACACCAGAGCAACAATACAATTTGCACTTCCACTCCTCTACCATTCTGTCAGGTTTGTTTTTTTGCTGACATGGAACATTTTGTGATGCTTTTTGTGGAGAGTGCTGAAGAAATAAAGCATAATCAGAAAACTTTTTCACACATACACACACACTCGCACACACACGTGCCACAGCTAGCTGTTCATACCGACCACAAACCTGGCAAATGTGGAAGCAATTACCTGGGGGCCACAAGGATCAAGTCTGTGGTGAGGGGCTCTGAATCTACATACTGTAGGTGGACTCTCACACATACACATACACACTCTGTTGCAACACTAATATTGACACAGTGCTCATATTTATTCCAGCTCAGACTTTTGTAAATGTTCTTCACTGTTGACCCTGGTCTGAAATGCAGCATAAACCTGTTTACAGAGAGAATAACCCTGACCCGCTATTTAAAAGATATGGAAGAGTTAAGGGTGAGAGGAAACAAAAAAAATAGAGGAGGGCATTTATCTTACTTTTGTACTTTGAGAATAAAGTGAAAAATGTCAAGTACATAGTCACAATTTTAAGCAGAGGTCCAAAGCCTGCACATGCTGCAGAGTTCACAGGCAGGGCTTTCATCTGGGAGATGAACAGTATGGATGTGTTGCAAGGAACCCCAACAGACCAAGAGAGGACACAAAAAAAAAGCCAAACTTTACAAACAAACAAACTGTACAGAGCTGTTAAGGGACTGCTCATCGTCCTGCATACACCCTGTTTGCTTCTTGCTGACATGCTTTGTCAATTGTTTTGATGCATAATATGTCAACCAGGAGATAACCCAAGCTGGAAGGGGGAATATCGGCACCTATATGTTGATTCTTGCTCAGCACTTGTAAACTGGGACAAAGACAGTCCAGTTAAATTTGCCTTATTTAGTTGTGGATGTAGCTTTAACTGCACATGTTAAACTTGATAATAGACTGCAGCTGAGTAGAAAATCCAAACCCTGTGTTTTAATAATTAACTTTTCATTCACAAGTGAGGAAACACAGCAAGAAAAAGTAAGTGAATTTGACTTTTTTTTCCTCCAAATTACAGTTTAAAACACCACATCATTCATTTTATTTTGGAAATTTTGACTCCTATGTGATCTGAATTATTTTTTCTCGTCCTTCAGGTTCCTAAAGACCAAAAACTAAGCTTCAGAAAGTAAACAATTCAGCTGCAGCTTTTTAAAGAAAGGACAAAATTAATCTGCAAAATGCTCGGTGTTCACCCATCTCTCTTGAATAAAACGTCGGAGGGCGAGAGGATGGGGAATTTTCTACAGGTATTACTCCAGCATGGGTATGTGATAAGTGTGTGTGTGTGTGTGTGTGTGTGTGTGTGTGTGTGTGTGTGTGTGTGTGTGTTGAAAGCTGTTTGAAGATTTGAAGGTAAGAAATACACACACACACACACATGTTCTGAGGCATGGAGAGGAAGTGAGGAGGAACTTTCATTTGAAAGAGAAACAGACTCAACATCTGGAAGCTCTTTAACCCTTTGACCCCCCCATCCACCCCCCACCATAAACACACGCACACACACTTAAACCCTCCTCCCTCCATTCTTTCCTCTGGCCTCCTCCACCTCAGTGCAGCTGCGTCTGGAAGGAGTTAAAACCTAAGTGAATACACACACACACACAGACACACTGTACACGTACACATACAGAATTGTATTCTACTGTATGTTTTTACGTCGTTCTGTAAACACAACAATGTTCTGATCTCAAACTCACCTGTTGTCTTTACACTCTAAATCATACAGCTGACGAAGGACCAGCTGGGACATACAGACAGTCCAGCCCACAATCATCAGAGTGGAGACAGAGCGCCCTGCTAACAGTGTCACCATGCTTCAGTCTCAAGTCAAGATACAATCCAGGACATCACAATACCTCTCAGTCTGTTCATTTATTGAGCTTGTCACTTCTTGTTGCAACTAATGAAAGAGTTAGGCTGAATTCATAAAAAGGACAATAAAACAAAAACAGAGAGAAAACTAAGATGCTGAAAGAGGAGATCTTTGTCAGAGAAACTAAAAACGAGGTCACTTGTAAGAGGATCTTTGCAGAAGAAGATATAAAGGTGTCCCATAAGGAGAGATCTTTGCAGGGAAAAGCTAAACATGTAATTGAGAGAAAGACTTTGAAAGAAAAGTTGAAAATACTTACACATGAGAGAAGATCTTTGCAGGAGAAGCTAAAGATAATGGTTCTTTGGAATATTTTGGCAGGAGAGGTTAAAAATAACATCAAGAGAGAGTCTTTGTAGGAGAAGCTACAATGATCCTATCTCTATATAAATAGGATACTCTGCATTTTCTTTTCCCTAAAAATACCCCCCCCCAAAAAAAAAAAAAAAATGAATGAATGAATGAATGAATGAAATAAAATAAAATACAATAAAATAAAAATAAACAAGACAGAGCACTTTTGAATTTTAGAAACTTTACTAAATAACTTCTCTGCTAAAGCAGAACTTTCTCTGTATTATCCTGGATAAGAAAATAAATTCAAGCAGTTTGAAGAGTTTCTTCACAGTCATCTTCAGACTTTAGCCAGAGGTAGTAGGTTACTAAAGGGCACCAACCCACTGCTTATGACAATAATGGTATTACACTATTTACCGAGTAAGTTAAACAAATGATGTGCCTTGTAAATTTACCAAATGAATAAATTCATGTAAAATGTTGATTTAAAATGTTTTACGTGTCTACATTTACTGATTAGTTTTGTACTTTTGGTCTTGGGTCCAGCCATTCTTCCTCAGGTAAAATATTGTCTTTTGTTATATATTTCACGTGAGCATTCTGGTGCAAAAAGAAAAAGGCCTTATGAGAAAGTAATTGTGCCCAAAACACATAAACACCATGAGCCAGCAGGTGGCAGCAAAGAGGCTACATCCTTATCGTTGACAGAAAGTGCAAGGCATGAGTGTCACTCTTTGTGAATGGGTGAATGTGAAAGCACTCTAAAGGTCCTTACACGCCAGGCGCGAATTCGCCAGGTGAATTATTCGCCTTTTCACGCCTTTTTTTTAAAACAGCATGAAGTCAATGCAAGCTTCCACACCGGCTGCAATTTTTCCGCGGGGCGAAAAGCGTCTTTTATTTTTTCACTCTTGTGTCTAATTTTTCAGAGATTCGCAGGCGAATATCTGGACCTGCTAGACCTCTGGCCAATCAAAAGTCATGTTGTTGATGATATTCATTTATCAAGCACGCTATGGCAAAACCATCCAGCTCCTCTTGGAGACGAGTGAGCTATAGATGAGCTATTATGTGCTTATATACATTATAACGGGGCTGGGGGCCCGGAGCTTTCAAGAAAACGGGACTTTGTCTCATTCATATAGAATATTGCCTATTATTTTAATCTTACCTCAGACATGTGGCTAGCCGCTCCTCTGGACCAATTGGCTCTCTTTAGTTAGTTGTCTGCTTCTCCAGCCGTGGGGTCAGCTGCTCGAGGAGGTCATTAAATTGCCAGAGGGACATTCTAAAATACTGGCGGAATTTTGAGGGGTAGAACTTCGCTTTGCAAAATTTATACACATATTCGCTTCGCGCCCGGTGTATATAGGCGAAAGTAATTTTTCGGACCGGCAAATATTTTCGCATTTTCGTCTCGCTTTTTTGCTTCGCTCCGCAAATTCGCCGGTGTGTAAGGACCTTAAGAGAGAGGGCAGATGACGAGAGAAAGACAGATAAACATGGTACATTTATCATTATTTGAGGAAGCTGACAGTAATGCAGCTTGAAAACTGAATGTTAAATTTTCAATGTTTGAAATGAGATCTTTGCAGGAGAAGCTGGGGGTTAGAGAGCTTTTCTGCTGGACATCAATATACAACTGTGATCCAAAGCTGGAGACTCATGTTTTCAAGTCTTATATTAGAAGTTGAAATGATTCTTCGTACTGTTTTTCATCCATTAACAATAAACTTGAACACAGAGCCGTTTTAAGTCTCTGAAATAAATGAGTTTTGATGTCTTAAACAGAAATCACAGGTCTTGTATCACTGGTACAACTTACATGGATAAATCATACACAACGTTTACATTGTTTAAATGTTGTGGATAAATGAAAATCTCTCCTAAATATCTGAGTAAATTTTTGAATCCTCCTCTGGCAGAAACAGATGATCTGAGTTTTAAATCTTTAGCTTCACATATTTTGTTGGATTGAAACCCCCATGACGTCAAACTGGGCGGGGCGAGGGGGGTTGGGTGGGTTGAGAGGCTCGTACACACTGATCTGCAAACAGACGGGTAGATAACGGGGCTGATCAGAGGTGCTGAAGACCTAAGAGAGACTTTGTACGGTTTAAGTTTGACCTCGGGAAACTGATCGAGGTTTCAGCTCTCAGCTTTGTAGCAGATCTTCAGATGGAAGTCCACAGAGGAGAAAGATCTGCTTTCCGGTTTGATTTGCGTGGAAAATGTCTGTGAAATGATCAGAGAGACAGAAGAGATTAATCTTCATGTTATCGGTCCTCACTGGAGGGAGCTGCAAGAGCGTAGAGTCAGGAACGCAGATCAATGGGGGATCTCCAGTTTGCTGATTTACTCTAAAGACTCCCGCAAAGTCTAGGGACGCAGTCTGCAGGATCTGCGGGGTTCTGGAGGATTTACTGAGATCCGTGGGATTTGAAGGTGTTTTAAAGGATCTGAGGTACCTTATAGGATTCTGCGGGATCGCTGTCGTGGAGTTTCGGACCGATGGAGCGGAGGAAAGCGTTTCCTCTGCGGCTGCTGGCCGTCTCTCTGCTGTCGGTCTCGGTGTGCGGGTTTCCAGCAAACACACAGAGGCACTCCACAGAGTCTGATCCTCAGGTAAACCCTCACCTGTACTGCTCTTACCTGCAGGTCCCTCTCAGTTAAGGACGTTAAACTGACTGTTGACCCCCCAAACTTTCCCTGTACCAGTGTGTGAGTGTAGAAATAACCTGAACAGATTCCTGCTGGTCTGAAAACGTTTTCTGCTCACATTAAACTCTAATAATTCCGTTTCAGCTTCAAATCATGATACAAACTCTCTCAATCTGTAATCCGTCTTCTTCAACCTTCAGCATCCAAAAAGTAAAATAAGGAAACCTTTTGATATGTGGGGAACAAAAGAGATGCAGCAAACAAACAAATCTATGAGAAAATTTAATCTGCAAATAATCCAGCAAAATGTACTCACTGTTCTATACTAAGGTATTTTATTCTTGAATATTCATAATCAGGTAAGCAGTTATAATTAGACATAAAACAAACCATGTAAACACAAAAACTGACATCTATTAACAGATTTATAACAGTAATCTCATGCAAATAACCAGATTAACAAATTAAATCCAAAAAAAGCTAATTAAACCATGTTAATGGTACTATTATACACAGTGAAGGCACGTAATAATTATCTTTTGTAAATAAACACGTTTACGATTATAATTTAACATATATAAACATGTCAGCAGTTATAATCTTATGTAAATGTCTTATCCTCTGCTGTAAAACCCTCCGTCCCAAACCTGGGTGTCCAAATGGGTCAGGCCCAAAGTCTGGAGCAGCATGTAAATTGTCTGGTTCACTGTAAATGGTCTGGTTCGCTAAGAAATGTATCCAAGCTCAGACCCATAGTGTCTAGGAATGAGTTTGAGATGATTGTTCGTGCCTTGGTCTCTTCTCATCTGGACTATTGCAATTCTTTGTTTACTTGTTTAAATACCTCTTATTTGAACCGCCTGCAAGTGGGTTCAAAATGCTGCAGCTAAGCTCCTGACGAGATCACCCAAATGGTCTCATGTCACATCCATCCTCAGGTCTTTACACTGGCTCCCCAATCAATTCAGAATCCAATTTAAATTACTTGTTCTTGTGTTCAGAGCTTTGCATGGACAAGCTCCAGCATATATCAGAGACCTGCTGAAGCCTCAAAGGTCCTCTGACCAGGGCTTTTGCTGGTTCTCCCCCAGACTAGACTACGAACTTAAAGGAGACTGTGCATTTGAGTTTTTTGCTCCGAAACTTTGGAGATCTCTCCTTTAAGAACTAAGATATGTGGACACTGGATACTATCAAAAAGCAGTTGAAAACCCATTTGTTTACACTTGCCTTTGTATAAACAAGAACTTTGGCTGCTAGTGCACTTTTTGTTGATGTTTATGTCTTGTTGTCTCACCCTTTAAATTTGATGACTGTGAAGCACTTTGTGCAGGAGGAGGAAAAAGAAGAGCAGGGAGAGGAGCAGGGGAAGGAGAGAGGAGAGTGGGGAGAGGAGCAGAAGGAGGAGAGCAGGAGGAGGAGAGAGGAGCAGGTAGAGGAAAAAGAAGAGCAGGGAGAGGAGCAGGGGAAGGAGAGAGGAGAGTGGGGAGAGGAGCAGAAGGAGGAGAGAGGAGAGTGGGGCGAGGAGCAGAGGGAGGAGAGAGGAAAGCAGGGAGAGGAGGAGGAGAGAGGAGCAGGAGGAGGAAAAAGAAGAGCAGGGAGAGGAGCAGGTGGAGGAGAGACGACAGCAGGAAGAGGAGCAGGAGGAGTAAAAAGGAGAGCAGGGAGAGGAGAAGGAGGAGAGAGGAGAACAGGAGGAGGGAGAGGAGCAGAAGGATACAGGAGAGCAGGGAGAGGAGGAGAGCAGGGAGAGGAGTAGGAGGAGACAGGAGAGCAAGGAGAGAAGCAGGAGGAGGACAGAAGAGAGCAGGGAAAGGAGAGCAGGAAGAAAGATGAGAGCAGGGAGAGGAGAGCGGGGAGCGGGAGGAGAGAGGGAAGAGGAGCAGGAGGATTCAGGTGTGTGGATCTTGTTTGTCTGAATAGCAGAAGGACAGAATAGTCCTGAGGAGAGAGAGGCTGCAGCTATCATGAGCCTGTAGCAGCATTATTGAGCACTCACAAACTAATGACTGTTGGTCTTGAAAGTGAGAGACATACTTTATAATAATATTAAAATAAAAGCCTGAGTCATATTGTTTTATAATGGATGTTTTATAAAAACTGAAATTACTGAATGATTTATTAGATATCCAGTCTGTGATGAAATGTAAGGAGCTCAAATTCTTCAGTTGGCTGTGTAAAGATACTTTGATTTGATAATTATTTCGACTTTTTGTTTTTGGCCATGATCAAGCAGATAAACTTTGTGTGTTTCTGTGACATTGGGAGCTTTTCTATCCTACAGAGAAGGTATGTTAAACATAAGAGACTGTTCAGATCCAGTCCCTCAAAGGTGAAAGTCATTAGTGAACATTTATGTTTATATGAAAGTGAAACAGTCTCCTTTCTATAAGCTGACTGTGCTCACGGAAGGCTGCTATCTTTGCATTAGTTTGTTGGTCAGTAAGAGACTGTATGTACCATCAGCTGATCTTTTCAAGCCTAATCAGAATCTGTTCAGCCCACTCAGCTTTTAACTCATCCCAACGTCTCTTGTCTTCATCTTTTTTAAACCTACCCTTCATTTTTGCTCTTCACCTCTTTTTAACCTCACTCTCTTTTTTAACTCTCTCCTCTCTCTTTCCTCTCAGTCCTGCACCTTTCTCCTCTCTAACTGTTTTGAAGTTAAATCCATCAGTCTGGTCTCAGGTTGCTCTCCTGCAGCCTGACTGGGTCCAGGGTAAAATATGAAAACAAACCTTGTCTTTGCTGGTCCAGACTGCTGGGCAGGGAGGAGGACAGGGAGATATTGAATTTGTTTCAGAGGAAACATTCATACAGATTCTCAGAGGAGGTGGAGGAGGAGTTACTGCAGCTTTAAAACGTTATGTGGATGGATGACCGTCTCTCTCAGCACAGTAGACGCTGAAGCCACATTTGGCACAGGGCGTCAAATTCTTCAGCCAGTTCAAGTTTAACTTGAGTGCTTTTATTGTGAAAGGGTCTGCTGGGCTGAGCTCTCTCAAATGTCCTGCACCCTGTCAGTGTGTGTGTGTGTGTGTGTGTGTGTGTGTGTGTGTGTGTGTGTGTGTGTGTGTGTGTGTGCGTGCGCCCGTGCGTGTGTGTGTGTTTGCTGGATTGTATTCCTCTAGGGGTTTATAATGAAGAGATGTGAGCCTCCACTGCACAGATAGATATGTAACACACACATACATACACACACACACACACACACACACACACAAATTATGTGACAGAAGTGTCACTGCCTAGCTCCGTCTCTGATTCTAGTGTATAGGGTGACACAGGTGTGTGCTTACGATGCTTGGCTAAAGATCTGATATCTACAGCTATAAAAACACCCAAACATACACAAACACAAACCTGTCTTTGGTACTTAATGAAGGCAACATTATATACGCTCATTATGGGGACTCCTGTTCCCAATGTGGCAGAAACAGGACAATAATGAACCTGCCACACAGAAAAGAGAGTGAAATGTCACTTTAGAATAAAAAATATCTATCGATACCATTTTATATGTCCAGACTTTGCAGGCAGAAGGAGAGAGGAAAGCAAGGAGAGGAGTAAGAGGAGAAGAGCAGGGAGAGGAGCAAGAGGAGGAGAGAGGAGCAGAGAGAGAAGCCAGAGGAGCAGAGTAAAGAGTGGGGAGAGGAGCAGAGAAGAGAAGCTGAAAAAGAGAGTAGAGCAGGGGGATGAGCAGGAGGAGAGAGAGGGACTGCACAGTCACAAGCATGAATGGTTTTGTGTGTGTGTGTGTGTGTGTTATAATAATATAATAATATTATAATTATGTTTCTCCATATTACTACAGACCATTCATACCAAGGTTTTTTCATGATGAAGCAACCCTAGCCTCATGTGAAGGTAAATTACTTCCCTGAAATAACAGGAATGAATCATAATTTCTAAAAATGACCTTTGAGGGATGATGAGGGTAAATCCTGGACCCCAAACACACGGTGTTCTGCTGCACATCAGGAGAGTTTTCTGACTGACCTGTTTTATCATGTATCTGCTTTCAAATTTTGTTGTTTAAATGAAATCATAGCGCCTCTCCATATGTTTCCTGTCTTAACCTCTAAATTGATCTGAACTGGACTTAGGACATTCTCTGGATGACACAGATTTCTGTGCAGGCTGGAAGAAGGGTGATAATTCTCCGCTCTTCTCAGATAACAGTTAAAGCATCATGTGGCTGTTGAGTTATTCAGCTGTTATTGTTCTTAATATTACATTTACTGAATGCTCCAACATGAAATTTTAATTTTTACTCTTTATTCATGACCCCTGTTAAGTTTCTTTCTCTGCAGTTAGAGGAGACTGTGATGTTTTCACCTGCACAGTCTTCACCACATGCAGCCAGCAGGGAGGGGTTTACTGCAATTAATTAAATCAGTGAGCTTGTTAAGTAATAGTTTACAAATAAAAATAATTAACTGAATAATTAAATTAATGTCATTTATCTGTGTGTGTGTGTGTGTGTGTGTGTGTGTGTGTGTGTGTGTGTGTGTGTGTGTGTGTGTGTGTGTGTGTGTTCAACGGGACAAACACACACACTTCAATGGGACAATTTTCTCCAGGCCACCGGTTTTTCAATAGTTATTTTTTCATGCTATTTCTGCAAAGCACTAATGTGTCTTTTAAAATCTCTCAGGTGAAGCCAGAGTATCGCCATGGCGACCATCTTCAGTCTCTCCAGGAGCTCCAGCAGGAGAACCTGCTGCAAACTGGTCTGTCTTCTCCAAGGTCAGCACACCGCTGGTCCCTGCATCATCAGCAGGGTGTCCTTCCCCTACCTGAGCCTGAGAAAGACCCCGAATCCTTCATCCTGGACCTGAGGAACTTTCCAGAGCTGGCAAATGCAGATGTGGGCTCTCAGAACCCCAACATCCAGGTAGGACATAATCTTATCTAATCCAGGTAGATGATACTTCTGTGGTTAGAATTTTTTTTTATTCTTCTCTCCTTACAGTCGTGAAAGGGTTAACATATAATCCATGAAGTGCAGGTGTTTTAGCTTAAGCCATCAGTCATAAGAGGAGGGTGTTACAGAGTCCTCTTCAATTGCTCTCTGTCTTCACCATCACGTCTCCCTCTTTCTTCATACTTCTCATCTGGCTTAACAGCTGGTTTGAGTCAGAGCAGCGTCTAAAGTTTCCACATGCAGGACCTCAAACAGCAGGGCGCTTCGTCCAGCCCTTGAACCTCAGACATCTCTACAGTGTTCAGAGAAATACAACAAAACAGAGACAAGTGAAAATAAAACACACATGAGGGTTGAATAGGAAGGGTCAAAAGGGTGTTTCTCAGTCAGATCATAAAGTCCAATCCTGATGGACTTTTGAAAACTGTTGGCTTTTGGACTGCCTTAAAACTGAAATTAAGTTTGACTCTGCAGCTGTGGATTTCACTGCCCACCATCAGGAGCTAAAGTAGGAGCAGGACTGATTTCACCAAGTAGGAAACATCAGACATGAACAAAGAAGTCACCAGATTCTGAAGAAACTTAAGGTGTTTCCTTTCTGAAGCCTGAGAATCTTTTTTATCCTCAGTGTCCTCATCAGTCTGTGCCTTTACTGTAAAACCAGTTCAGACCCATCCAGGTCAGGGTTGGACCGGTGGATGTAGGATTTCAGCTGCTCAACAGTTCAGGGTCCTCTTTGTCCTGTTTTTGGTGTCATAATGCTCCAAACGTTTTTAATGGGGAACAAGTCAGGACTGCAGACAGACCAGTTTCTCAGCAGAACTCTTCGACTACAGAGCCATGCTGTTGTAATCCCTGTTGTCAGAATGTGGTTTGTCATTGTCCTCCTGAAATATGAAGGTGTTCACTGAAAAAGTCGTCTGGTAGGCAGAAGATGTTGCTCCTAAACCTGTAGATATCGATGGAGCCCATGCAGTGATTTCCACTCCAGAGTCCTGTCTGTTTTACAGTAATGCAGTGCTGCCTGAGGGCCTGAAGATCAGGACAATCCAGTCTTGGTTTTGCTCCTTGTCCCTTTAGTACAAAGATTTCTCCAGAGTCTCCAGAGAATGATATGATGTTCTGTAGATGATGAAATTCACTTATTCTTTCACATTTGACATTCAGGAACATTATTCTGAAACTGTTCAACTATTAGCTCACACAGTCTCTCACACAGTGGTGAACCTCTTCCATCTTTCCTTCTGACAGACTCAGCCTCTCTGAATGTCCTTTTTATACACAGTCATGTTACTAACCTGTTGGAAACTCACAACACGAGTTAGAGATGTTCTTTCTTTTTTCTTTTTTTAGCATTGCACAACATTTAAACTTGTTTGGTTGTTCCTCTCGAAACTTTTGACCTGTTTGGTTGTTTTTAGATAACAGCTTTTCAGAAACGTGTTGCAGACATCAAAATTAAAATGATTGTATATCCTTTATAAAACTTCTTAAAACTACCTGATCTTAAAAAGTATTTGCTGTTTTTAATGCTTAATGTTTTAGTCTCAGCTGATGCCTTCCTTGTGTAAACTGTTGCTGTTGTAATCAGGGTATCTGGGCTCTGTCAGGACTTGTGCATGTGTTAATGTGTGTGTGTGTGTGTGTGTGTGTGTGTGTGTGTGTGTGTGTGTGTGTGTGTGTGTGTGTGTGTGACTATGCTTGTCTGTGTGAGTTAAAGAGAGATAGTCAGCGGCAGTTCATCAGTTCATCTTTCCATCCCACCATCATTGCCCTTCCTCTGTCCCAAACAATCAACTCTTTTATAAAAGTTTATTTCTCATCTGATCTTTATGTAAACAGACAGCAGTGACTTCACTCTTCTTATCAGCCCTTATTCAGAGTATGGCATTGTCCTTTACAAACACCTTGATTCATTTATTTATTTATTTTTTAAAGATGTAGAGGTATTATAAGATGAATCAGAATGAATCACCCTAGTGAGTTTCAAGAAACAAAGTCAGGTTTCTGTTTTCAGGGCTTTACCAGTGATTAAAAAAGTCAGACTTAGGTATCATAAATCATTTCAAATGTGTATTTCAATGTTTTTTCAACTCTTTATCTCATTCTCTATAAACAAACAGGAACCCTCAGTACCAGCTGGAAGTTCAGGAATCATGTGGGTTACAATCAGACTGAACATCAGGACGTTCTCTGCAGATCAGGGTTGAGCTGTGCACTGTTACACATTGAAGACATTGTTTTATATCTCACTCTGACTGAATTTTACTGAGCACAATGTTAGTTCAGGCGTGCCACAAAGTTAAGCTCAGCCCACAGTGCATCAGCTGATGTTAACACCAGCTAACACTTCGGCTGATTACCGTCTATATATCCAGTTATTAAATGTCATAGTAATCGTTCTGTAAAAACAACTTTGGCTTGCTTCCTATGCAAGCTGCCTTTGCTGCCGCTCTCCTTGCCTCCACTCAGGCTTCTCCTTTTTGTGCTGGTTCTGAGTCTACCAGTGTCAAATGGATGTCCACCAATGCTTGTTTTGCTCTGTACCCTTGGGTCTTTGCTGCTGCTCTTCTAGCCTCCACCAAAACTTTTAATGCTGTGTCTGATTAAACCAATATCAAAGACCTGTCACTGTTGTCTCCTATGTTCTGTATCTCAAGGTCTTGGCTGCTTCTCTTCCTGCCTCCACTCAGGCTCCTCCTTTTTGTGTAGCCTTACATAAGGTGTGGGTGGGCCTAGGGATAAACAGGTTCAGACCCTGTGGGATAAAGGAAGCAGCCACAGCTCCATTTGTGTCTCACTGTGTATCTGTACAAGCGTAACACCTTTGCATTTGTGTCAGGTGACTATCGAGGTGGTGGAGGACTCTCAGGCTGAGGTGGAGATGGATCTGGCCAAAGACGCCCAGCGTAACGACTGGTCAGTGACATCATCAGAGTGGGCCAACAGCCACAGGAAGCTGTTCTGGCCTCTGTTCTGGGAGTACCCAGATCAGCTGGGGACTGGGAGGGCCAGTCTTGAGGAACAACCAGAGGACTACAACTATGACCTTGAACAGCCCATTCTGAGTGGGGTTGGGGGAGACTGGGGGGGTCACTGGAACAAAAACTGGGATTCCAAGAATAACTACGGTAAGAGTAAGGTATGGTAAAATAAATAATCAGAGTGACAGTCTTTGTACTGTCGTCTGAACCTCAGTGCTGCTTTAAGCTGCTAAAATCTCCTTTAAACTTGAATTGGAACCCTCTAAAAGCTCTAGAACGCTCTGCAGGAGCCAACTGTTCCCACCCAAACAGGTTCTGTGAAGGAAGCTGGTCCACTCTGAAGTTCTCTCGTCATATCCTATATTTGCCTTTAATTTCTACCACATCAATAACGTAAACGAGGGATGTATGTTTATTGATTTGTGCTACTTTGTGATACCCCAATATTTTGAAACGCTCTCCTGTAATAGAGTTGACTTGTTAGTCTTGCTGTGACAGTCTCCTTGTTTTGTGTCGTGTGTCTGCTGACTGCTTACAGCCCTTCATACAGTCATGAATTGAAAATATAGTCTGTGCTTTCATTTGCAGGTTAATGCTTCACTTAATTGTATCAGCGGGACTTTTCATAAATACAGATGACTACCTTTTGAAGCTGTTATATGCTGATTCCAACACTGTGCCTGTATTATTGTGCGTACCTTATAATAACTGAATTAGACCTTCAGGTTTTTACACAGTGCTAATTCCTGCTCGATATAATCAGTCATTTTAACATTATTATTTTAATAGACTCAGCTTCATTTCACATGGTTTGGCTTTGCTGGCTCAGTTTGAAGCTCAGAGCAGGGTTTTCCTCCTCAACAGCTTCCATCAGTCTCTCTCTCTCTGAGCCTCCCTCCCTCCTTCCTCCCTCTGATGTAGTTTAAACACAGAGCAGCATGACTCAGAGGTCCCACACTGTTGTTACTCGCTGCTTTAATGGCATAACTCACATGCACCAGCTGGGTGAGGAATTCACAGCCGACTTCAAAGCGCTGAAGTTTTTACTTCAAAACCCAACGTTTCCATTTCTGCTGTCCCCCATTTTTTTTAAAACATTTTTTTACTACTCTATTCGTACTTTTCGCTGTTTCTCCTCCTCTTCATCTTTCTCTCAGTTTTTTGCTCATCTCGGTTTTTCCCCACTCTTCATGCTTTTTCTCTGGTTTCAGAGTTTGAAGAGGACTGGAGTGACTGGGCTCCTTGCAGCGCCACCTGTGGACACGGCACTCAGAAGCGCACTCGCTCCTGCGGTCATACCTGCATCGCCACCGAGTCGCGGTCATGTGACCTGGAGGCGTGCACAGGTAAGACACTGAGAGTCTGAGATGTGGTGTGATATGAAAAATAAATGCCATCATACTTTAATAAAATATTTGTCACATATCTGCATTATGGCCCGTCATGAATAAAAAGTGAATCTCAAAAATGAAAAATTCTGAACAGGTACAAAAAGTCCATAAAATCGGTTTGACTTTAAAATCAACATTTCAAAATATTTTTTGTAAGTGTTCATATAAAAATGACAAACCAGCACCATCTTAAAAAAAAATTAAACGTTCAATTATAAGGGCTACATCCATCCATCCATCCATCCATCCATTGGTGAATTTATCCATCTGCTAATTCATCTGTTTTTCCATCCATCCAAACTCATCTCAGGAGCTATAAAGAATGACTTAGCAGGCTCATCAAAACAAAAACTTGAAAATAACAGAGAACACATAATGAACAGGCTTGTTGCTGACTCACAGGTGTACAGGGTCACAAACACACCTGATCTGTGGCTCCCTCTGTCTCTCATACAGACTCTGTTGTCTCAGTGACCCAACATCCGACCATCAGAACGACCAACAGCTCTGACTCTCTCCAAATAAGTGAGTATGAAAACTGATCTATACAGCCTTATCACACATATCTAAATGTTTTCATTATTCATTATATCATTTATTATTATTATAGTCTAATTTATTTGTTCTCGTTGTGATTCTCCTCCAGATGTGGACAGTTGTGAGAAGTGGCTGAGCTGTAAAAATGACTTCCTGCAGAAGTACCTGCATCAGGTGCTGACTGAATTACCCAGCTGCCCCTGCTCCTACCCATCAGAGGCTGTGTACAGCACTGTCAACATCGCCGACACAACCCTGAGGAAGACGTATCGCTGGAGGGACGCCAGTGGACCCAAAGAGCGCCTCGACATCTACAAACCATCAGCCAGATTCTGCATCCGCTCCATGCTGTCCTATCACAGCACTACGCTTGCTGCCCAGCACTGCTGTTATGACGACCACATGAGGCTGATCACGCGGGGCAAAGGGGCTGGAGCCCCCAACCTAATCAGCACTGAGTTCTCACCTGAGCTGCACTACAAGGTGGATGTCTTGCCCTGGATCCTCTGCAAGGGGGACTGGACTTTGTTTCACTCTGTAAGACCCCCCAACAATGGCCTAAGCTGTGAGGAGAACCCCCCTGATTCAGAGTTTCAGATCGAACTGAGAGAGGCCAGAGAGTATTGAGGACTGACAACAGGGCTGGACAGTATGGAAAAGAAGGCAATAAAGGGGGCAACAGGAAAACTGGACTCTGCTCCACCCTGTCAGACCCAAACCAAACTGTGAGAGAGCGGCAAATGGGACACAGACATGCTGGAACTCTGTCCTTACCTGCACAGACTCCGTTGTTTCACTATGTTTGTGAGGACATATAACTGTTAGACACCCTGCAGCTGAAGAACTGCCTCCCGCCATTTGTCCTGGTTTAAGTTTATTTCTGCGGCTTTGAAGAACATCAGTCTTCAGTTTAACTCTGAGACAATCAATAATGTGAAAATGATAAAACAGAGACTTTCAGACTGAAGATTTATTCAAGTTTAAACAGACCATCCAAAAACACACACACATCATCAGAGGATATCAGCTGATCTCTGTTTATGATGTGTGTGTGTGTGTGTGTGTGTGTGTGTGTGTGTGTGTGTGTGTGTGTGTGTGTGTGTGTGTGTGTGTGTGTGTGTTTATTTATTAGCCTCTAATTGTTATAACTGGATTTCTTTTTTTTGTAAAGTGAATAAACTTTATTACTGTTAACTGTATTTTTTCCATTTTCACTCACCTATGAATTAGTTTGGGACACAGATACTGTCTGCATGTCCCAAATTTGGAATAAAAATAAATAAATGAATAATGCTGCTGAGCCTCATGCATAAATCTACATGTGTGTTAATTTGAAAGTCCCAGATTAGTTTCACAGGACACAGCTCACACCTCACACCAAGAGCTGCAGGCTGTTTTCATGCATCAAACTGAGACGTGGTCAGCTCTACTCTGCACCATGTGCCTTGGACCGTCAGTGTGGGACCCTCTGTGTTTATCTGAGCAGTGGGGGATCTCAGATGATCATTGAAGACGCATGACTGATAGAGTGAACACTGATCTCATCACCCAGAAGACATGTTAACATCTGGTTCAACCTCTGAGGAACAAAGAGTGTGTTTACAGCAGGCTGACCTTTGAATTCTCAGACACACTGATGTTTACTGAGTCAATAACCCTCCTACACTGAAGATCCTTATCTGTCCAGACGACTGTTTACACCGTCAAACACACACACAAACACAGAGTTATCTGTGTGGTTTACAGCAGTCAGGGGTTGCAGTGAGACAAAGTGAGGAGGAGCAGAGGAGATGAGATTTTTCCAAACCATTAAGTGACAAACATCAGTCATAAATATTTATGTTAATATATAAAACTGTTCCAAACCAAAAGATACAAAAAATTAAACATTTCAGTCAAAAAATGTGTGAAAAATTTAGTGACCCTGCAAAAAAAAAGTATGTTTGAGTGTTGTTGAAATCATTTTTAAGAAGCTGTTAAATAAGAGAAGAAAATGAAGTTTGGGAAAAAAGTAAACTTTCAGTTAATTGTTCTGTATCCTGCAGGACTGACCCGCCAAAATAAAGGCATCGTGATGAAGAACAGTATAAATCCACCAGAAGAAAGGACTAAGAGGCTTAAAAATATCTCATCTGTAGATTCAGTGATGCTGAGTCACCGGAGAAGTTCACCATCAACTTAATATAAAAACATTTAAATCAATTTTTAAAAGTCTGAACTAATAAAACCTCAATTACATTTCTGTTTTATTTTCTGAGCAGATTCAAACAAACTTCAATAAAGATCCCTCACAAGATAATTAATGAAGTGTTCATGACAACTTTGACATACTTTACAATCCTCTAAACATTCCTAATGAGCAGATGTAACCATACTGCCACCTGCTGTTACGTCACGAACACTGCATCAAATCAACATATAACAGTGCAATTTGATTTAAATAATTGCTCATTTGAAATAAAATGTTGCATGTGTTAATGTCATGTTCTGTTTATATAATATTGGAGGGTTTTTCTAAGTATTAAAAAAAATATTTTACTGCTGTTATGTACTTTTTTATGCTGTTCAGGAAGGGTCCACCAGGTATCAGCATGGAGCTGTTGTAACGATGTAGTACGATAAGGCGGAGTTGTTCCAGCTTTAGCAAAAAACATTTTTACCAAAGTATCCTGTAAATAAATTACCTCGACTTCAAAAAGAAACCTTTACTCATCAGGCCCCAGCGAGGATCGAACTCGCGACCCCTGGTTTACAAGACCAGTGCTCTAACCACTGAGCTATGGAGCCAGACGGCGCTGGCAGATGACATGTCAAAACTTATATGTAAATGGTAACGTCTTTTTTCAATCTGTCGTCAGATTAAGGACCTGATAGCAGCTATTTTTAGAATAGAATAGAATAGAATATTCCTTTATTGATCCCCAATGGGAGAAATTATTTTGTCACAGCAGCATCACAGACAAAAATAGTGCAAAAATGCAGTTATAAGAATAGAGCTCGTTATATTAAGAACTTAAATAAATGTTATAATTGAGAAAATTTTTAGAAAAGGAGAAAGGAAGACGTAGAACTATATACAATATACACAATTTTAATGCCAGAAAAAAAGTGGTGGTGTGAGTCCAGTTTTATTACAGTTCGTTGTAAAGTCAAATTGCAGAAGGGAGGAATGACCTGCGGTAGCGCTCCGTCTTACAATGTGGGAGTCTAAATCTGCTGCTCAACGAGCTGCTTCAGGCCCCCACAGTCTGGTGCAGTGGGTGAGAGGGATTGTCCATGATGGATACAAGCTTTGCTTACATCCTCCTCTCACCTACCTCCTCCAGGGAGTCCAAGGGGAAGTCCAGGACAGAACTGGCCCTCCTGACCAGTCTGTTCAGTCTCTTCCTGTCCCTCTCGGTGCTCCCTGCCCCCCAGCAGACAACTGCATAGATAAGTGCAGATGCTACCACAGAGTCATAGAAAGTCCTGAGCAGAGTCCTGCATACTCCAGAGGACCTCAGTCTCCTCAGCAGGTGGAGACGACTGGCCCTTCTAGTACAGGACGTCTGTGTTGGTTGATCAGTCCAGTTTATTGTTGAGTTGGACACCCAGGAATCTGTGGGACTTCACCATCTTGATGTCCAGACCCTGGATGTTCACTGGAACAGTCTTAGGTGTCCTCCTCCTGCGGAAATCCACGACCATCTCCTTTGTCTTACTGGCGTTGAGCTGGAGGTGGTTTGTGCCACACCAGTTGACTAAGTCAGTGATGACAGTCCTGTATTCCCGCTCATCCCCTGACGATACACATCCGACGATGGCTGTGTCATCAGAGAACTTCTGGAGGTGACAGGTAACATATTCTAGTTCAGTTAAAGTTTGGGTTCTTTGGTGACATTTTAGTCTTCGTAAGCAAAAGTAAAAAACAATGTTATGTCTGATATGGGTCATTTTTGTCCACAACATTATGAAGACTATCAAATAAGTTGAAGATGACATTGAGGGCTCTATTTTCGTGCGCGCCGGTGAGGCGACGGAGGGTGGCGGACCCTGCCCAGTTGTATTTTCGTCTAGCGGAGCCCGGCGTAAGGCCAGTTTGGTATTTTCGTGGACTGAGCCGCACGGAGGCGAGCCGAGATCCGCCAAGCTGGGCGTGGTGGCGTGGCAGGGGCAGGTGTCGACAGAATCAGCAGGCGCAGTGACATTTTCGTGCTCGCCACCGGCGTGTAAAGTGCGCTGAAAGCTCGCCGATTCAAACCTGGTCAGCTTTCAGCGCATGGCGGAGCGCAGCTGGTCTAGTAGTATTTTGGTAGACCTGCAGCGTATCGACATACGTCACTGATGCCTCACCGGCAGGTTTCCACAGTGTCAGGCACATTTCAGTGCAATAAATAATCAACAACAACTATTAATCTGAGTCAGCACAGACATTTAGATCTATATAGATATATTCTGATCTATATCTGATCTGATGAGCGCGTTTGGCACGCGTTTGGACACACAACCTGACCGAATCAACACAGCTGAAACCGCATCAAATTAAATTAAATATCTAGTAAATAAACACACATGATGAAGTTAACAAAATATGTAATTCGTCTCCCTCCTTTTCTTTCTTCCTCCTCCTCTTATTTCTCGCACAGCTCGACCTGGACACGTCTCCGTGTCCTCTGTCCGTCTTGCTGCTGCTGCGGCTGAACAGATGATTTGTTTCAGTGCTCAGATGCGTGATCTACTTTAAGCCTATATACGGATATTATAATATTCAGTTTTGTGGGCCAAATTTATTTTATATGCCAACATCTATGAAAGAAAGAGCCAGGCCACGGAGCGCGATGCGTCATTTATGCACAGATGGTTCCGAATTTAATGCCATTATTGGAATTTATGTTGTGATCTGTGCGCTCAACCCACCTTTGTCACGTTAGGTTTGAATATATGCAACTTTATGTGAGTGTCTTTATTTGTGGAAAAGGGTGCTTGTCTTACTTGTGGGTCCAACATTACACACACCAAATCCATCTGTGCTCATATGAGACAGTGTGAAGGACGCCCAATGCAGCGCTTACAGTGACACTTGTTGAGGAGCTGCCCTCTGTCGCCATCTTGTGGCATTACTGTCTTAGGACATCTCTTGATCTCTGACTACTTCATGAAAATAGTAATACGCCTCGCCTGTGGCGGATTTAAAGGCAAGGAGAGGAGCTTATGTGATTGGTGAAAACAGGTCTCGGCTGTGTTAAATCCACTAGACGCCCTCTCTCCTCCCTCGCTACGACTTATGCTGCTGGGAGGAGCTGAGTTAGGGAGGGGGGATACTTACGCCGGGCTGCGCGGCTCACCAAAATACCAAAATGTGCTTGGACACGCCATGTCAGCGCAGCGGATCTGACTGACGCTGCGCTTGCGGCATGTCTCCGGCGAGGCACGAAAATAGAGCCCCTAGTGTTACTTGGGAATGTTACTATGGGTTTCCCAAATATTAGAAATAATAATAAAAAAAAAGATAAAAACCTTATTTGAAATTTAAAGTAATAGTGTTAGCAGGTGCCCTCTTGAGTGATAAGCTCTGGGACAATTAAAGAAACAAAATAGTTAGCTTAATTGCTAAGATAGCTGAAAAGAGAGCAAACTTTTCTCAAAGGTGAAGTAAAACAACACCTGCACCAAAAATGATCAAGTAATAACATTTGACCTGTCAGATCAAACAGACTACCTGGTCGCAGACACAAGACAGGTGTAGTTAGATGTTACTGGGAAATCAGGTGATCTCAACAGCTAATGCCATTCCTCATTCCATCTTTTCCTTGATGTTAACACACATTTAGAGCTTGATAAGTGAGTGAAGAACAGGTTCAGATATCTCAGGTACCTCACACATACACATAGCTCAGGCTAATATTGACACTGCCGCTACAAACCCAACAACAAACACACACTGCACTCTGCACACTCGAGCTTTGCACACTACGCACACATATGAACCCAACACACACACGAGTAAGTCTGTGTACTTTCCCCTCAATCACAGCAGTTGTGTCACAGTTCAGTCAGAGCAAACGTGGACCTGAAATCAAAACATTTTCTCCTACCTTAGTGGATCTAGCTTCTCTTTGTTTCCTCCCCAGTATCCAAGAGTCAATGTCCTGTTTTAATCCAGGATCTCAAAAACTGCCCTGCATCATATTTGTCCACAGGTGCTCCATTTATGGAAACAAGTGATGATCAGTAAGTTTGGACCCATAGAAAACTCTAATTAAAGTTGTTAAAAATACCAACCACATTTCTTTTAAACAAAACCTTAATCTGATTTATTTTTGAAAAATATTATTCAATAATGGTCCACCATGGGTCTCTGGGTCGAGTGGGTTGAGCAAAGCCCTAGCACCCCTTATTGACCTGTTACCACGGAGCACACACAGGCTGAGGACTGGAACCTACAAGACTATAAATCCTTTATTAAAATCATTGAGACAGTGATCATGTGACATTCATTCAGAGTAGTAAACATTCATCATGTGAGAAAACATTACACTGAAATGTGTTTCTGTCATAAATCACTGAGATGATTTTGAGCAAAAGTGCAAAAAAAACCCCATTCAATTAAATTCTCAAGTGAAGCATAAAAATAGAGCTTAATATAAACATTCCTCTGAGATGAATTTCACTAATATACACTATTATAACTGAAACATTGCTGTAGAATGAGACCTGATGTGTTAGAGATGATCTGTACATTCAGCTGATTAATGATCAATAACATGAAATTGATCCACTGTGTGTTCAGTCTGTAAAAATATTATCATTCTATGAGGTTAAACTGTGTTGTTATTGTGATGGCAGAGATAACAGATGATTTTGTTATTGGATATTTTTCTCTGTTTCACCTCTCAGGAAGTCTGGCTGTAGGTTTATCACCAGCTCAGAGCGTCAATATCTCCACGGTCTGTTTTAAACAGATCAATGTTGAATTTCTTTTCGTTGTTTCTGATCATTTTTTTTCTGACTGTGAAATTCAGACATGGACCACGTAGTCTGAGTTTCCACAGATAACTCCAGCATCCTCATAGTGGGCGCAGTTATGGGTCCCCACGCCGGCGTGTTTGCAGTCGAGCAGGGTGCTCTCATTTCCGTCACACTGAACATCATCCAGAAGGATCCGCAAGCCCCGCCCCTCACCAAACTCTGAGTTTTTTGCTGCTTTTAAAGCGAACCTGAAGCCCAGCTGTTGGCAGACCACTGCCGCATTGTTGGTGGTCCACAGGTCATCACACACGGTGCCCCACTCCCCTCCCACAAACACCTCCACCCGTCCCCTGTCGCCCCGCCCCTCTTCATCACCCACCAGCCTCACCGCTCCCTCCCTGATCTCTGGACGACTCTCTGTTCTGGACTTTCCCTTCCTGCGGCGGCCCTTCCTCCTTGGGTGTCTGGGGGGTTTGGGGGTGCTGGTGGTGGGCAGAGCCGTGGTTTGGTCTTGTCCCAGCTCCCCCAAACGGTCTATGAGCTCCTGGAGCCAGTCATAGGACTCTGTGGATGGAGCCTCTGTCCTGTGTCTGCTGGGAGGTTCTTCCCCAATTAATGCTGGAGATCGATAAAATCAAGAGAGCAGTTATTAATCAATTTTAGTGATCAATAAGAAACAAAGGCCCGAATCTTCAGTATTTGGACCACCTTTGTGACCTGAGCCATCTATGGCTTCTGTTTACAGGCTTTGTGATCTTGTCTGATCTGGTGTTTACATGCTTAGGACACCAATATACCCTCACTGACCTGACATCATAGCAATGCTACTTAGTGAGTAGTTGACAAGTTGTTATATACTTCATACTTCTTTCTCCTTTTTTTGCATAAATCTGTTAAGCAACCTCAGTCCTGATCAAAACTACTAAATATATATATATTAAAAAAAAAAAAGGATTTTAACCCTTTAAGTGCCAATTTAGAAGATGAAGTCACTGATTTTAGGAGGGGAAAAACACAAAATTACATATTTTCATTACAAAAAATGATCAGAGACACAATTTTTTTAACCTGCTATCACAGTCTTGGACATGTAAAAGATTAGTAACATAATTGGTTTTGATGCATATATAGTGTTTGTGCAGCCCTAAGTATTTTGCACATGCTCAAGACTTGGCATGCTGGTTAATAACCAAAACTTGAGTAGCATCAGTGCATGTTGAGGAATCCAGAAAGTAAAGAAAACCTCTCTCTAGGAAGAAAAGGAGTAGTCAGTGGAATCATACAAACAAAGGCCCAGAGCTGTCGAAGTGACAGTGTTTTCATCGTCTGACATTTATCCATTTAACCACCTGCACACGCTTGAGTTGACTGTTTTTCTACACAAATAAAAGTAATCCATCAGGGGACTGCACTGGAGTTGTGGCCCTACTCCCTTTTTTGGGTGAGAGCAGTGGCTGCTCTCACCCATAATGTAGTAGTTCAACCAGAAGAGGAACCTGCAGTAATGAGCTGAAAGGGGGCTCTCACTTTTTACCAAAATAGGAAAAATTAATGGTTTTACTCTCAGACAGAGAGAGTTTGGCACAAACTCTAATTCAAACCTGCATCATATAAAAGCCCGGTACCTTCTAAAGTAAAAGCAAACAGTGACTCACTCTCTTGGGGGACAAACTTGATGAGGTTGCTCTTTACTCTGACTGGCAGAGGGTCGTAGTGACAGTGTCGTGGTGGAGCTCGTCTGAAACATAAAGAACAATAAAAATTTTAAAAAGCAAATATAATTAAATACAGTCAGATGGAAGAGCTGGACTGGTTATCATTTTAAACTGACTCCTCGTTTAACACAGAAACACAGACAAAGATCTTCAGACTGCAGAGAGAACCAGACTCATCTGCTCCTTGAGTCTTTGACAGAAAAATGGTTGTCAGTCATAGATACACTTCTGTTTCTGTATATGTCTGATGAACTAGCTTGCTGTGATGAAACTGGTCAAAAGACAATGATTTTTCATCACACTTATATTAAAAACTGTCTGTTAATAACAAAAAAAATCAGATTCACTGTGCAAAAGACCCCAGAATCCAGAGACGACTTTGCCCAGATATGATGAGCTCTGTGCTAAATATATAAAAGTGTAAAATGTCATATCCAGAGCATATCAGATCTCCAGATTAGGACCACTTTGATGCCATCAGTATATGGAGCAAAGATATGTTTTTGATATGACTGACACCATGTTTTAAATGCAGAACATGTTGCATTTCTCATGTTTGGGAATAAATAAATCTCCACATAAACCCCAGATATGATCCAGACCTCGGCAGGAATGTAAAGTTAATCTTTGGTTTCAGTGATGATTGATCATATTTATATCACATAGTTATTTTAATCACCTTGATGGATCAACGACTTTATAAACAACCCCTGACGGGGACGTGGCACTCGGGACTCCAGTGGACAGGAAATACAGCTCACCTGGTGGACACGATTACATCACAGGATGACATCACACCACAACTACGAGTGTATGGGTGCATGTGTTAATGTGTGTGCATGTGTTAATGTGTGTGTGTGTGTGTGTGTGTGTGTGTGTGTGTGTGTGTGTGTGTGTGTGTGCGTGTGTGTGTGTGTGTGTGTGTGTTATACCGGCCTCGTCCTCTGCGAAGGAGATGATGTACTGCTGATAGTTGTTGATGAGTCCAGGGAAGGTACAGGTGAGACCCTTCCCCATACAGATCTCATTATACCTCCACACACCTGAGCCCCTCTCCTCACGCAGACTCATCAGACGCCTGCAACACACAGACATTAAGGTAAAATGCGTTAAAAATATTTTATAAATATGTTTAAATTTGTTATGAATGCACTTCAAACTTTGCAGATCATCATATTTTTTGTACAGCTTCCAAATAGTTTGGATTCTGTGTAAAATGTTGATAAAAACTGTGAATTAGATTGGCATATGTGCAAAGATAATGTATCGTTTCATGAAAAATATCTACTCACTTAAACATGAGGGCAGCAACATGTGTCGAGAAAGTTTTTAGAGGATCAGACAGACAGGATTATGTTGTTGAAATCACCGCATGGGCTCAAAATAACTTCCAAAACCATTGTGTGTAAACACGGTTCATTACTACATCCATAAATGAAGTTAAAACTGAACCATGCAAAGAGGAAACGGGATAGAAACAGGATCCAGAAACACCAGAGTCTTCTCTGGACTTGAGTCATTTTTTGTGGAAATCACAGATGCCACATCCTCTGCATCAAGAAATAGAGGGACCACCTGGCTTGTTCTCAGATGGCAACATTCCTGTCCCAACTTATTAAAATTTGTTTTTTGTTTAACTTGGGATTAAACCAGAGTTTTTCATATTCTGATAATTATTTTATGTTTCAACATTGTATACGTCCCCTATCCTATTTAAAATTAAATAGAGACTTTCTGTTTTCTCAACATTTTACAGTGTTGCAGTTATACGATAGCTAATGTAGATGCTGTTTTATCTGTGTTTGTCTGTAGATAGGCTCACCCGCTCATGAAGTCTCCAAAGATGTACATGCCGTTCAGATTGGGGTATTCACAGCCTCTGTACACGTAACCTCCAGTAACTGACTTTCCCATCTTATGAGGATAGGCATAGATCGGCAGGACGTCGTCTAGTGCAGCAGCAGAGAGCAAGAATCATTAAAAAATAACTATCATAGATACAATGATTTTATTTGAACTACCACAGAATCAAGCTTATCATTCTGTAGGTTTGATATCTATAACAATGAACCCCAGGCCTAGGAAAGGCAGGAGACCACCCACCATAAAACTGAGACTTCTTAACATGAATCACCTTAAAGCTGTGAGGCAGGTTAGCAGGTAAGATGTGGTCACCATGAAACTAAGACAAACAAGGCATGTGCCATCAGTAACCAAGAAACTAAGACCCATCAGAAGTTTGACATTAATTACCACAAAACCAAGACTCGTGAGAGTAAGACATAAATGACAGTGATAATGACGAGGCATGTGGGATACACATAACCTACAATCCTAAAACTCAGACAAATGAGAGGTAAACATAAAAAACCATGAAACTGAGGCCCATGTGAGGTTTGACACCAATCACCATGAAAATGTGACTCTTGGGATGTAAGATGTGGACTACCATGAAACTAAGGCTAATGAGGGGTATGAGAGTTACCATCAAACTGAGCCTTGTAAAAAGAACTGTAATCACTGTGAAACTGAGACTCATGGGAAGCATCAACAATCATAAAGCTGAGACAAATGAGCGTTATGACTCTATTCTTCATGAAACTGAAACCTATGAGAAGAACACACATTTTCCACAAAATTCTCACCCGTGACAGGTCTAATATCAATCAGCATGAAACTGAGACTCACAGATACTAAATCAAAATTTAAAAGAAAAAACTGCAGAGATCACACCCACCCAGGGAGCTGTTGGTGCACAGCTTCTTATCATAACAGGAGAATCCCTCTTTGGCTCTCCAGCCATAATTCCGTCCTTTCTCAATGATGTCAATCTCTTCAAACTTGTTCTGACCCACATCCCCGCAGAAGATCCGACCTTTGCCCTCTTTGGTCAGCGGGTCACCCCTGTCCACTGAACACCTCCACATGTTGCGGACACCGTATGCATAAACTTCTGGACGAGCGCTGCGCTCACGTATGAAGGGATTGTTGGGAGGAATTCTGTATAATGGACCTCTTTCATTATCATCCACATCGATGCGCAGAACTTTGCCCAACAGAGCTGACCTGAGTTAGAAGAGAAGGATGAAAATATGGACACACACAATCATTTGTTTTGAGTAACTCCAGATTAAAACATGAACACAACATGAGACGTTTATCTGGGTCATCTTTTGAAGCCCTCACTTGTTCTGGGCGTTTCCATATTTCCCAAAGGGGTCTCCGGCCATCCCCCCATCCCCGGTGAAAATGTACAAGTAACCGTCATCAGCAAAGAGAAGCTGTCCCCCGTTATGGTTTGAGGCTGGCTCATCAATCTCTAGAATGACCCTGAACACAAAACAAACAGGAAAAACAGAATCTAAACGGACCGTGGATAGTACCTGGATACCAGGTGTAACAGTTCATTTCTGTGTTTCAGTGTAAATGTAATTCTGGTTTCTAAGTCATTTATGTACCGCTCTGAGGTGTGATCCACCAGGTTCATATCATTGGTGGACACCCGAAACTCACTGATCCGGATCCGTTCGTCAAAGCCGACTTCCACAGAGTAATAAACATAGAGTTTCCCATTGTACTTGTGGTTTGGGTGAAAGGTGAGCCCCAGGAACCCTCTCTCATCTCCCTCCCAGGATGAAGTCAAGACCGCCTTTGTGATGTTCAGGAACGGTCTCTCCAGTTTGGATCGGTCTGGCAGGTATGCCCACACCAGGCCCAACTGCTCAGCTACAAAGAAACGGTGTGTGCCGTCGTTGGCGTGCACCATGGCAAGCGGGTTCCGCAGCCCGTTAGCGACTTCCTCCAGACAGAGCTGCAGACAGCCTTCAGAGTCTGACTGGACCCGACCAAGGTTCTTGGTCAGTTTTTGGTTACTGAGGAGGTGGGGGTAGCAGTAGTCAGGGTCATCCAGCTGCAGGTAATGACAGAGGCGTGACTCGTCATCTCTGATTCGAGTGATGACCGGGTCATCAGACAGCAGGGGGAGGGTGGAGATACACTTTCCCCAGAACATGGAGCAGTAATCTGGGCAGAGTCCAGGAATGGTCCTGGTTGGGGTGCTGGGGTCTTCGGTGTCAAACAAGTGAGCTGCAAATGGAGAACACTCCTGCACAGAGAAAGAGGAGAGAGGAGTGAGGCAGACTGAGGGACAGGTGTAGAGTGTAATAGGTTGACACCTGCAGGTCAGTGAGGGAGAACATGGAGCAGCATACAGACACACAGGGCTCTATTTTGGTGCCTCGCCGGAGACGTGCCGCAAGCGCAGCGTCAGTCAGATCCACCGCGCTGACAAGGCGTTCCCAAGCACATTTTGGTATCTCGGTGAGCCGCACAGCCCGGCGTAAGTATCCCCCCTCCCTAACTCAGCTCCTCCCAGCACCATAAGTCGTAGATGGGGAGGAGAGAGGGCGTGGAGTGGGTTTAACACAGCCGAGACCTGTTTCCACCAATCACATAAGCTCCTCTCCTTGCCTTTAAATCCGCCACAGGCAAGGCATATTACTATTTTCATGAAGTAGTCAAAGAGATCAAGAGATGTCTTAAGACAGTAATGCCACAAGATGGCGACAGAGGGCAGCTCCTCAACAAGTGTCCTCCACACCCTCTCATATGAGCACAGATGGATTTGGTGTGTGTAATGTTGGACCCAGTGGTAAGACAAACACCCTTTTCCACAAATAAAGACACTCAAATAAAGTTGCTCATATTCAAACCTCACGTGACAAAGGTGGGTTGAGCGCACAGATCACAACATAAACTCCAAAAATGGCATTAAAATCAGAACCATCTGTGCGTAAATGACGCATCGCGCTCCGTGGCCTGGCTCTGTCTTTCATAGATGTTGGCATATAAAATAAATTTGGCCCACAAAACTGAATATTATAATATCCGTATGTCGGCTTAAAGTAGATCACGCATCTGAGCAGTGAAACAAATCATCTGTTCAGCCGCAGCAGCAGCAAGACGGACAGAGGACACGGAGACGTGTCCAGGTCGAGCTGTGCGAGAAATAAGAGGAAGAGGAAGAAAGAGAAGGAGGGAGACGAATTACATATCTTGTTAACTTCATCATGTGAGTATATTTACTAGATATTTAATTTAATTTGATGCGGTTTCAGCTGTGTTGATTCGGTCAGGTTGTGTGTCCAACACGTGCCAAACGCGCTCATCAGATCAGATATAGATCAGAATATATCTATATAGATCTAAATGTATGTTCTGACTCAGATTAATAGTTGATGATGATTATTTATTGCACTGAAATGTGCCTGACACGGTGGAAACCTGCCGGTGAGGCATCAGTGACGTATGTCGATACGCCGCCGGTCTACCAAAATACTACTGGACCAGCTGCGTTCCGCCTTGCGCTGAAAGATGACCAGGTTTGAATCGGCGAGCTTTCAGCGCACTTAAACGCCGGTGGCGAGCACGAAAATGTCACTGCGCCAGCTGATTTTGTCGACACCTCCCCCTGCCACGCCACCACGCCCAGCTTGGCGGATCTCGGCTCGCCTCTGTGCGGCTCAGTCCACGAAAATACCAAACTGGCCTTACGCCAGGCTCCGCCAGACGAAAATACAACTGCGCGGGGCTCGCCGCCCTCCGCCGCCTCACCGGTGCGCACGAAAATAGAGCCCACAGAGTTTAGCATTTACTGCAGATTTAGAGAAGAACAGAAAAGGGAGAAACAGAGAAACAGAAATCTGTGATCACATAAGGCTACAAAGAACTCCACATTCATCTCAGTTTATATGAAGGAGAAAATAATGGATGGCTCAGACTGAAAACAATGAATGTTACAACTCAGATACAGGACTGTGTAAAAGCTGATAAAAACTTTTTTTGATTGTTAAAAATTATTTAAAATCATATTTGATTAAAAAAAAGCAAAGATAACTTATCAAAGGTACGAAAAAAATGCCTACTGAAAAAAATGCTTTTGTATTATAAAAAAAGAGGTTTGTTTTAAATTTGATGCAAGTGCAGAAGGTTCTTGCAGAGAAACAACCAGACAGGTATAAAGTTGTTATACAAAAAAAAAAAGAAAAAATGAGGAACATCTCCAATTAATTAAGTGAATTTCCAACAGTTTAGTAAAATGACTGTGTATAAAAAGGACATTTAGAGAGGCTGAGTCTGTCAGAAGGAAAGATGGGAAGAAGTTCACCAGTCTGTGAGAGACTGTGTGAGCTAATAGTTGAACAGTTTCAGAAAAATGTTCCTGAGTGTCAAATCTGAAACAATGAGTGGATCTCATCATCTACAGAACATCATATAATTAAAAGATTCAGAGCCACTTTCAAATTGCCCATAGGTGTGGATGGGTGTTTGTCTCTATTTGTCAGCCCTGCAATGAACTGGTGACTTGTCCAGGGTGTCCCCTGCCTTCGCCTGAAGATGCTGGGATAGGCTTCAGCCCCCCCACAACCCCGGGAACAGGAATAAGTGGTAGAAAATGGATGGATGGAGACTCTGGACTAAAGGGGCAAGGAGCAAAATTAAGACTGGATGGTCCTGATCATCAGGCCCTCAGGCAGCACTGCATTAAAAACAGACAGGACTCTGGAGTGGAAATCACTGCATGGGCTCAAAATCACTTCCAAAAACTATTATCTGTGAACACAGTTCATTATTGCATCCACAAATGCAGCTTGTTATCAACTCCCAGTCCAAATCTAGCATCCCTGATGGTATGGGGATCACAGAGTCCATGTCATGGGTATCTTCCACATCTGTGAGGGCTCCAGTAATGCTGAACAATATCTACAGGTTTAGGAGCAACATCTGCTGTAATCCAGACAAAGACTTTTTCAGGGAAGACCTTCATATTTCAGCAAGACCATGACAAATCATATTCTGACAACAGGGATTACAACAGCATGGCTCTGTAGGAGAAGAGTCCTGTTGAGAAACTGGTCTGTCTGCAGTCCTGACTTGTCCCCAATTGAAAACATTTGGAGCATCATGACACCAAAAACAGGACAAAGAGGACCCTAAACTGTTGAGCAGCTGAAATCCTTGATTAGGTAGATAGCCAAAGCCTGGTCTGTTGGGTTCATTAAGGTTTACAGTCATTTAAACAGAGAAAAGAGATTATGTAATAAAACAGTAAATATGACCTATGTTAAACTCTGGTTTAACATGTCACTGGCATCAAATCCAACAGTATTAAAGGGTCATCTACAGTGTCAATATGTAATATGTTGTCTTTGCATTATCCTTAATCAAATATTGGATTACTTATTTGCTAGTTCTGCTTTTCACACAGGGTCTGAAGTTTTCTGGATTTGGGGTTGCATAGAAAAATTGTGATGAAAAAATGTTGACAAAATGTAGCTTGAAGCACCAGGTGACAGGTGTTTCTCCTGTCACCTGTCTGTCTGTGTCAGGTGTGCCTGTCGGTGTACAAATCAGAAATATATGACAGACTTATTAATGATTTAACAGCTCTCTCTCCCTCTCTCTCTCTCTCTCACACACACACGCACGCACGCACGCACGCACGCACGCACGCACGCACACACACACACACACACACACACACACACACACACACATATATATATTCATATATATATATATATGTTAGTATCACACTTTAATTCACTCAGTGTGTGTGTGTGTTCCTATCTCTGTGTCTGAGTCCCGGTGCCCTTGTTCTCGTCCCTACCTGACAAAGCAGGTCGTGGACGAAGCTGGCGCAGTTGGCGTAGCCCTGGTAGTCGAATTGGTCCATGATAGAGTAGTATCTGGTCATCAGCTGCTGGTCCTTGTCGAAATCACAGCAGCCGAACTCTCGGTACATGGCGCAGAACTGCAGCTCTCTGAGTGGCCTGAAAGGAGGCTTAAAGTCCAGACACTGAGGGTGAGACTGCACTGGAACCGAACACCAAATCAAGACACCCAGGACCCACATCAGACCCGGGGCAGAACCAGAACCCCGCTCCATGATGGCGCTGATCCTGGAGCAGCAGCAACAGCTTCCTGTCTGCACTTTGACTTCGTTCATCAATGTGTCCTCTGACGTGTGATCCGCTCTGCCCTCTGGACCATGCACCGAGTCCTCCCCGTTCCGAGTGCCCCATGCACCGAGTCCTGCACGCACCAAGTCTTCCGAGGAACGTCTGCGAGAAGACTTGGAGTTTCAGACTGGAACCATCTGTCTCGGATCAGCAGCTGACCCGGTTTTCACGGGGAAAGGGAGGACCAGCTGCAGAGACAGCCTGTGTGTGTGTGTGTGTGTGTGTGTGTGTGTGTGTGTGTGTGTGTGTGTGTGTGTGTGTGTGTGTGTGTTAACAATTATAAACAGCAGTAAACTCTCTCACCTCCAGCTGATCTATAAACTCTGGCTCTGTCCTCGGTTTATGTTTGCTTTCTGTCTGTTGGGTTCGGTTTAGGGGCGCGGTGCATTGTGGGTAAGCGAGCTCTTCCGTTATTGTCGTTTTTTGTACCAAAGTGTCATCTTTGGTAATAAATTGATGTTAAATAACTGTGTTTACCCATATTGGCCGGCAGATGCCGCACTGACACAAACTCAGTCTGCTGCAGGTTTACAATTGTCAAGGGAATGACTACCAACACTACAAATAGTTTTACTATTGCACAAAACTAATAATAAAAATAATAATAACAATTTTCCTTCTTTACTTGGCAATAATACTCTGCTATAATCCTGGATATTTCCAGAGTTTGTATTTGTAAGTGACTGTTTTTTGATGAATTTAATCATAGATTTTGATCATAAAAGGAAATAAGATATAACCAGGATAAGATTTAAATAAAAGTGAACTCTGTTAGTGTTGGAGTGTTTTTATTTACAGCTGTTATAAAATGAACATTAAATTAAAGATGATCCTTTAAAAACAGTGTCTATTTAAACATGTTGAACCTGTAAACCGATTATATTTACGACACATTTACACTTGCCTCTTTGAACCAGATTAATTCCAGTGTGAAACTGAGAAAAAGAGGGAAACAGACAAACATCCTGGTGACTGATCTTTAATCAGACATTTCTGATCTAAGTTTGGTGTCGGGGTTTATAAAAACCATCTGATCTAACTATTAAGAAATCCTTTTTTTTTTTTTTTTTTTTTTTTGATGGTTGGATAAATCTGATCTAAGATCAGGTGTTTCTGGTTAAAACTGTGTGTCCTTATAGTTCTCATCTCATCCAGGTGCGTTGGTTCAGTCCGCTAAGGGGGGGCATCCCAGGAGGCGGAGGGGGAGGCAGCTGGTGTTGTCCTGGGTTAGGGGGTGGGGGGTACCCTCCACCCATCACTGAGGGGGGTGGAGCCAGCAGATAGCTATAGGATGAAAGAGGGGGGGTGTGGTATGAGGTGGAGCCGGGGGGATAGGGGTGGTAGGTGAGGGGAGGGGCACAGGTGTGAGGCACAGAGCTGTTCATAAGGGACTGGATCTTCTGGTAACCCTCACTGGATATCAGGGAGCTGGAGGGAGGGGGCAGGTCTGTGGGGGGAGGAGGAGGGGGAGGGGGGCAGTGGGGTAAAGGAGGGGGAGGTGGCTTGGAGGGGGGGTCAAGGGCAAGTGGGTAAGAGGAAGGAGCTACAGGGTCTGTGGGTAAAAAAGAGAGTCAGGAATGAAATATAGAGAAAACTCACATGCACACACAAACATGGAAACACACGAATAGAAAAACACACACACACCTTCACTGTTCAAACAATTTTAATCAGCTATCTGATTGGACCAGTGCTGATGAAGATGTGTTTTCATCAATGCACAAAATCGGGATGACTAAACAGAGACACTGAGTAAGCTGACTGTGTCAAATTCTCTGTTTATGAAGGCTCTGAGAAATGATTATGAGACCCTGCTGTTGGCTCTCTGTTTCCCTTTGTTTGTTTATCTGATGTGGTGAAAATGATGATAAAGAGCCTCCGGTAACAAACATCAAATACTGACATTAGTGCATGACACATCATGTGCAGATACTAACATTCAAAGGAAACATTGAAGCATCTTTTAAAGGTACGCTTGACTGTCAAAAGAAAGCAGGATGAGACTTTGGGCTCTATTTTCGTGCCTCGCCGGAGACGTGCCGCAAGCACAGCGTCAGTCAGATCCGCCGCGCTGACAAGGCGTTCCCAAGCACATTTTGGTATTTTGGTGAGCCGCACAGCCCGGCGTAAGTATCCCCCCTCCCTAACTCAGCTCCTCCCAGCAGCATAAGTCGTAGACGGGGAGGAGAGAGGGCGTGGAGTGGGTTTAACACAGCCGAGACCTGTTTTCACCAATCACATAAGCTCCTCTCCTTGCCTTTAAATCCGCCACAGGCGAGGCATATTACTATTTTCATGAAGTAGTCAAAGAGATCAAGAGATGTCTTAAGACAGTAATGCCACAAGATGGCGACAGAGGGCAGCTCCTCAACAAGCGTCCTCCACACTCTCTCATATGAGCACAGACGGATTTGGTGTGTGTAATGTTGGACCCACTGGTAAGACAAACACCCCTTTCCACAAATAAAGACACTCACATAAAGTTGCTCATATTCAAACCTCACGTGACAAAGGTGGGTTGAGCGCACAGATCACAACATAAACTCCAAAAATGGCATTAAAATCAGAACCATCTGTGCGTAAATGACGCATCGCGCTCCGTGGCCTGGCTCTTTCTTTCATAGATGTTGGCATATAAAATAAATTTGGCCCACAAAACTGAATATTATAATATCCGTATGTTGGCTTAAAGTAGATAACGCATCTGATCACTGAAACAAATCATCTGTTCAGCCGCAGCAGCAGCAAGACGGACAGAGGACACAGAGACATGTCCAGGTCGAGAAATAAGAGGAAGAGGAAGAAAGAAAAGGAGGAAGACGAATTACATATCTTGTTAACTTCATCATGTTTGTTTATTTACTAGATATTTAATTTAATTTGATGCGGTTTCAGCTGTGTTGATTCGGTCAGGTTGTGTGTCCAAACGCGTGCCAAACATATAGATCAGAATATATCTATATAGATCTAAATGTATGTGCTGACTCAGATTATTAGTTGATGATGATTATTTAATGCACTGAAATGTGCCTGACACTATGGAAACCTGCCGGTGAGGCATCAGTGACGTATGACAATAGGCCACCGGTCTACCAAAATACCACTAGACCAGCTGCGCTCCGCCATGCGCTGAAAGCTGACCAGTTTTGAATCGGCCAGCTTTCAGCGCACTTTACACGCCGGTGGCGAGCATGAAAATGTCACTGCACCTGCTGATTCTGTAGACACCTCCCCCTGCCACGCCACCATGCCCAGCTTGGCGGATCTCGGCTCGCCTCCGTGCGGCTCAGTCCACGAGAATACCAAACTGGCCTACATACAACTGCGCGGGGCTCGCCGCCCTCCGCCGCCTCACCGGCGCACACGAAAATAGAGCCCTTTGGGTCAAGACATAGCAACCACAGGTGTAAAGGATCAAATCAGCATCAACAGTTTTGTCCACAGTTGGCGCTAAAATCACAAACTGAATGCCTATCACAGCAGCTTTAACCACATCCACCCTGATGTTAGTGGAGGTGAGCTGAGTTTGCAGGTGTACGCAATGAGAGTGTTGAGGAGACACTCACCTGTAATCATGGAGACAGGTGGGGGAGGAGGAGGAAGAGGAGGTGGAGGAGGGGGAGGCTCTGGATTAGCGAGTTCTGTGAAAGACAAACTTAATAGTGTGAGTTTCTCCAGATCTACACAGTGATGTCTGTGTGTGTGTGTGTGTGTGTGTGTGTGTGTGTGTGTGTGTGTGTGTGTGTGTGTGTGTGTGTGTCAATGCTAAGTAAGTAGATTGACTCACTGACTGATTTGCTGTCTTCTTTGGGAGACGGCTGAAAAAAGACAATAAAATCAGCAAGAGTTAGAGTTCACACTAACTGGAAACAGTAAGAGAGACATTTACAAACCTGCTGCAAATTATTGTTGATAAAGCCTGACTCTACCAGGCTCTCATGGATTGTCACTGATGCCTTTATTTTTTTATGAAAGGGGTCTTTGCTACTGCACTCCCTGCCACAGGATCTGAAATTCCACATATAATCACACAGGCAAACAGGGAGCTCTCATCCTACCAAATACAACTTAAAGCACGTAAATGTAATTCTTTCCACATTTACCCACTATGTTTTACCTGTCTATTTCAGGTACCCTCTGTCTAAATCCTCCCTTGCTTTCTGGTCTCTTTGAACATTAGCTGGACCATAAATTATGAAATGAACTGTTTAATGCCGTTTTGAAGAGGACTTGAAACTGGAGATTGGGTCCATAACCTCATGGGGAAACTGTTACCTGAGGTTATAAACCAACTGAAGTGGGAAACCTTTGCCTCTCTACAATCTAACCTGTGCAGGTCTGGGGGGTCGAGGGCTGGTCTGAGGGGAGGTCTTCTTGTTGGGTGGAGGGGCTGATGAGGGCAGGATAGAGAGAAGTGGAGGAGTTCCTCCAGCATTCATCCCTCCGTCAGGGATCTGCTGTTTGGCCTGAGAGTACAGATCCAGGATCTGATGGCAGACATCTAAAGGTAACAGGACAGCATAGGCTAACACTAGATTAAATCAAATAAGGTCAGGTTACACTAAAATGAGAATTAAACTGAATCAATGAGATCTAACGGTCTTTTCTGGGAGCCCCAGAGTTCCCATCAGGTTTCTCAGGATCATTGCTTGATTGATTAGACCACTAACCTTATGTATGATATGAGATTAGATTAGATTTATTGTAGAATGATACTGGATCAAATACATACTCTGATGTGTGATTTCTGAATCAGATTAATAATCCGATCATTAATTTGATCAGTTGTAGGGGTTGTTACGTTACCTTCCAGAACCTCCACAGGTACGTCGTGAACAAACTGCTCCCACCAGCGGCGACTCATCTGTTTGGACATCCATTCCTGAAGATCGAATTTACAGAGACGACCAGCCAGGTACATGACGGCGACAGCAATAATCTGAGGCTCCCACTGCAGAGCCACTGTGGTGCACAAACTATGAGAGATTATAATGATTATTTTTCTGTTGTTTCCACAATAATACTTCTTCTAGTCATTCTTTTTACAACTATGACTGAGAATTCTCAGAAGTGTCCATCTCAGGTATGATCACAGGTCGCTCACCTGTCATTGACAAAGGTCCAGGCCATCTGGACCATTTTCTGCACTTTGTTCTTATCACCTGTGGGACAGAAGAAGTTTAAATTTCCAATCCTGGTTATATTATAATTACAAACCTGTCTCAGAAGAATCTAAAGAGTTCTGATATAATTTTACTAATAATACCAGTTATATAACTAATACTAATACCTCTACTACTAAGCTCCATTGAAATACAATATTTGAGTGTGCATGTTCTGATAATGTTGATTATGGACCATATTCTGGTGTGTATATTTTGATGATGTCAAATAAGGCAGCCACAATCATATTCATAATTACTGTCTCTTCAACGACATGGCATATTGATATTGTGCTAATAATAAGCTTATTTTAGAACTCTGTAAGTAATGGTTCACCGTGGAAGCATTAGTGATACTTTATGCTGGCAACCAGCATAAAGGCAACCAACATGACAGGGAGGGAAGACAAAGAAGAAGCTGTAGCAGCTGCTGGTGAGTTCGCTGTAGCAGCTCTCTAAAGACGTACAAACCTATTTCACTTGAAGTTCAAAGATTCAAAGATAGGAAAAATACTTTTAATTTCACTTAATTTCAATGCTCACAGTATCATTTGGAAATAGGGAGATAATTCAGGGACATTACAGGTTGAGAGAACAGCAGGATACTGGGTCAAAATGAGGGCGCCTCCTGCGTGTCGGCATGTGTGTTCTTCCCATCTTTCCTATGTAATATTTACGTTGTTATTTCATGGACGTGATAATCATGAGGTGAGAATGAGGTATCATGGAAGCCCTAATGTTGATAATGTATAAAAGAATTAACAGGGAAACCTTTGAGCTGCTTGGCATAGCGCAGCAGGAACTGGTAGGGATGCTCCACCTGGAGGTCAAACTTGATGGTCTGCAGCAGGATTCTTTCCAACACCATCACCTCCTCCTGAGAGGACAAACACACGCACACACACACACGCACGCACGCACGCACGCACTCACACACACACACACACACACACACACACACACACACACACACACACAGAAAGTCAGGAATGAGTTCTGTCTTATTTTTAGTGCAGACAGCACAAGTCGAGCTTTTATTATCACCTTGGGATCATCTCCAAACTGAGCGAACTGGACATCATTCAGCAGACTGCGAGCTGTCTTTATGATGTCTTTACACTTCTTTGGAGTTTCTTCCACTTTACCTGCCAGGAAGAGGCAGCATCCACCTGTCACCTGCAGGCAGGACTCAGGGTTAATGACAACATTCTGCTTTTCTCTGTATACATGACCAGGGTTAAATGTTGCATCCAGAGAGTGCCGGTTTGGCCTTGTGGTTTGGTTGTGGCCTCATGCACAGAGGCTGTAATGGTCTTGAAACCTTTACTGTGCATCCCTTCCTCTCTTTCTCTCTCTCGTATTGTCTTGCTCAAATCAATCTGCTATCCTCTCCAAGTAAAAACACTAGAGCCAAAAAAATTAAAAATCACTTGTACAGTCAGGTTTATAAATATTGGTACATCGGCACAATACTCATCTTTCTGGCTGTAAACACCACCACAATGGATTTGAACTGAAACAAACAAGATGTGCTTTGACTGCAGACAATCAGCTTTAATGTAAGGGCATTTACATCTAAATCAGGTGAATGGTGTAGGAATTACAACAGTTTTTATATGTGCCTCCCACTTTTTAAGAGACCAAAAGTAATGGGACAAACTAAAAATCATAAATCAAACTTTCACTTTTCAATACTTGGTTGCAAATCCTTTGCAGTCAATTACAATTATAATTACAAGTCTGGAACACATACACATCACCAGGCGCTGGGTTTCATCGCTGGTGATGCTCTGCCAGGCCTCTACTGCAACTGTCTTCAGTTCCTGCTTGTTCTTGGTGCATTTTCTCTTCAGTTTTGTCTTCAGCAAGTGAAATGCATGCTCAAACAGATTCACTTCAAAATACTTCAGTGTTCATTCTGCTGCTTTTGTCAGCAATTATATAATCAATAAATACAAGGGAACCAGTTCCAATGGCAGCCATACATGACCATGCCATGACACTACCACCAGCATGCTTCATTGATGAGTTTTGGATCATGAACAGTTAATGTCCTTCTCCATACTCTTCTCTTCTGATCACTCTAGTACAAGTTGATCTTTGTCTCGTCTGTCCATAGGATGTTGTTCCAGAACTTTAAAGGCTTTTTTAGATGTTGTTTGGCAAACTCTTATCGGGTCTCCCTTATTTTAAGGCTCACCAATGGTTTACATCTTGTGGTAAAACCTCTGTATTCACTCTGGTGAGGTCTTCTCTTGGTTGTTGATTTTGACACATTTACACCTACCTCCTGGATAGTGTTCCTGATCTGGCCAACTGCTGTGAAAGGGTCTTTCTTCACCAGGGAGATAATTCTTCTGTCATCCACCATAGTTGTTTTTTGTGGTCTTACGGGTCTTTTGGTATTGCTGAGCTCACCAGTGCGTTTGATTTGGCCACACCTAATGTTGTTGCTATCTCTCTGATGGGTTTGTTTTGATTTTTCAGCCTAAATATTGTCGATGTCCCAATATTTGTGGACCTGACTGTATGTTAACATAAACATCCTGGTGCTACCTACATGCAGACAGGACTAAGGGTTAATATCAACATCCTCATCTAGAGGTGAAAAGGCTCCCGACACTGATGCTCTATTAACAAATCACTGTGCATACATCAATTAGCAAGCATGGACACACAAATATTTTACAGATAAATCAGCTGTTCACACTCACATATCTGGGGAACTGTCTGAAGGAGTGAAACATGTAGAAACGATGGAAATAGACGATCCCTGTGGCCAGAGTGTCATAATGTCTGAAGCAGATCATGTGAAGAACAATGATGGGCTGAATCTGTCTCAGACACCACAAATGTATCAATACAGCGCTCAAACCATAGGCAGCCATTTGTTCTGTAAGAGAACACACAACTGACCCTCTATGAGACAGAAACACTCCTTTTAAAAGGCAGAAACCTCCACCAAGACCACACTCACCTGAGACCAAACATCTGCATTTGCCCACTGAGAAGCAATCTGCATAGGTATTTCAATCTGTGCCTGTAGTTTAGTCCGTGTCTGTGATTAGCCCTTTATATGTTGTTTACTTACAGCCTGTAGTTTAGTCAGAGTCTCGACTTCAATCTGAGTCAGTGGTTTACACTGAGTTTACTGTTCAGCCTGAGTCTGCAGTGAATCTACCACTGTAGTTTGGACTCAGCCTGTAGTCAGTGTTTCCCCTATTGTGTATTTGCCAACAGGATACCAACCCAGGATTGAAGTCATAGATTACTGTGCCTGTAGTTTACAGTTTAATCTGCATCTGCATTTCAATCTGAGTCTGTTAACTTTAAATCTGTCATTTGCTCTAAGTCTGTAGTTTAGTTAAAGTCTGTGGCCTTTGAGTATGTAGTTCAATCAAAGTCAGTTATCTGCTGCAAGTTTCTACTTTGAGTTAAAGTTTGTAATCTGCTCCAACTCTGTGGTTAAATTAGTCTGTAATTTACTGTGCCTCTGCATTTTAACCAGAGTCTGTAGGTCAATCTGCATCTATGGTTCAGTCTGAGTGTAGTCTGAGTCTGTAGTTAACCTTGAATTTGCTGTTTGCTCAAAGTCTGAAGTTCAGTTGGAGTCTGTAGTTTAATTGGAGTCAGTAGTTTACAGCAAGTCTCTATTTCAAATTGTAGTCTTTAATCTACTATGACTTTGAGAAACAGAGGCAGACTATGACTATGAGCTAATTAAACTATTCAAACTATAGATTAAGTGAAATACAGACTCTGACCATAATACAAAGTCTGTAGTTCACTTTATGTGTGTAGTTTGAGTGGCTCAGTCTGCGTCAGTAGAATAATCAGTCTTTAGTTGATTTTTGAGTCTTCAACTTGATCTGAGTCAGTAGTTTGATCTCAGTCTGTTGTTTGATCTCTTTTAAGGCAGAATGTGCACCATGTGATGTACAGCGTAAGGAGAGTAGACTACCTGAGCTAACCTCTACCTGTCCTAACCTGTTTTCCCGCTTCGACATAATGATGTCAGCTCTGATTTAATCTCTCTCTTTCTCTGTGACTACGAAGGATAATCTACCTCTGGAGTAAATGTGTGTTTAAGTTTATCCATGAAATTCAATCAATCTTTAGAGTTAACTTATATTAACATTCCTCATGAAATCACAGATATCTTTCTGCAGTAATAAACTCCTGTTGTAAATTCTAATATCAACATTATCATAAAAGGATACAGGCCCAGTCTTGTGCCCACATCGAAGATGAACCGGGCCCCTTCCCTGCGATATCGGGCCTCTGTACCAGGGTCCAGACCCTCTGCCTGTGATGGGGTGTGGACCAGGTCCTTTTTGTCCCAGTACCAGCACGGTTTGATGTGGTCTAGGCCAGATGGGTCCTTTCGGTCCCAGTACAAGAGGGGTCTGATGAGGTCCAGGGTGTTGGGGTCCAGTTTGTCCGGCTGGGAGCAGGGCAGGGTACAGGAGGATGTCCTGGGATGGAAGAAGATTCGGGTGCAGGAGGTGGAATCTCGATCAGGAGGAGAATTCTGGTGCAGAGGAGGAAGATTCTGGTGCAGGAGGACTATGGTGCAGGAGTCAAACTCTGGTGATGCAGCAGGACCTTTTGTTGAAGAAGCAGGACTGTGGTGTTGCGGATTAATTTAAGGTATCCTGTTTCTGCAGGAGAGCAGCCCGGTGCTAACGTCTCTATCATACACACACACACACACACACACACACACACACACACACACACACACACACACACACACACACACACACACACACACACACACACACACACACACACACACACACACACACACACACACACAGCAGGTTGTAACAGTGTTACGGAGTAAAATAAAGCGTCACTTGAAATGAACTGTCTGCTGTTTCTCAGAGCTGGCGGTTTTTATCATGAATGAATATAAAAACAGATAATCAGCTGATCTTTAAACAGGTAAAGGTCCCGGTGCACCGCAGGAAGCTGAACCTCTCCATCCATCCATCCATCCATCCATCCAAACAAAGAGGAGCAGCAGCCTCCGCTGGACTCACCGTGTGATTGTCCTGTCCTTTAGCCAATCGGTGAAGCTCAAACAAGGCCTTTTATGGTAGTGTTGAGCTTTCTGAAAGTAAGAGGCCAATCACGAGCCGCGCTGAAAGGGCGGGCCGATTGCAGCAGCGGATGTCATCCTTCGGGAGAGTGCTCCTTAACAGCCAATCAGAACACCAGAATCCAGCGTTGTGTCTACGGGTATGTCTCCTTTGTGGTCCAATCAGAAGCCACGCTGAGTCACGGTAGGTGTCGGTGCAGGAACAGGGTGCTGCTGCTGTCAGTTATTTCGGTAAGTCTGGAAAAGAAACTCTAAATGAACATTTTAATGGTCACTTTAGAAAAGTTCTTATTTGGTGCTCGCTGTTACTCTTACATGATGTGCGGGTGTGCAATGCACGCGGGTGTATGTTCGCAGCTAGAGCTAGCTAGCCAATCCAGCAGATTAGCTCCCTATGATCCTCGAACCCTGACAGATTAGCAGCTAGCTGTTAGCATGTTAGCCTCGGCAGACATGAATCAGCTGATGGGCGTGTTTCCTCTCTTACAGTTAGCTGATGCCAGCTGCGGGCTGCTTACCTGTACGGTCCGCTGAGAGGGCTGACAGGTGATCGTTAGCTTCACTGATGTTTAATAGCTTGAACCTTTTGTAACCTGACATCTCTCGGTCATGTAGACTGGTTAAACAGGGATCATCAGGCTAACATGTGGTCACCTCACTGAAACAAATATTGTTACTTGAATTATTAAGCTGTGGACAGGTGTAGTAAAGACACACTCAGGTGTGTTTGACTGTGTAATGTTACACCTGTGTGATTTTAATCTGCTTTTAATCGAACTGAGCGTAATCAGAGTCTCAGTCACACAGATTAACATGTTTATATGTGTATAAATGGTGATTTTATCTATAGTTGTATATATTCACACATTTATATTGACAAACTTATCTCATTACATTAATCAAGTTGTGAAAAAGCCACTTTTTCATCATTTCATCCAGCAGGTAAACTTATACATTCTGATAATTGTGACTTTCAATATTATTATTTTTTTGTTTTTTTTCAGATGATGGTTTATAACTGGTGAATTCAATAAACCACATGATAATTTTTTTTTTTGAACAATCAAAACAATTTAAAATCACTCAAATTTCCACCCTCTGAAAAGTATGTTCATTCAGAGTTTAGTCAGGGCTCTCTTTCCTTGAGTTCCTGCCTCAGTGTGGCGCAGCATGGAGGTGATCGACCTGTTGCTCTTGCTGAGGTATGACTGATCTGATCATGCTCAGTAACACCACAGTCAGCAAACCATTTGGTAGGAGTTATGGGGCTGTGGACCAGTGCTAAATCCTGTTTCAGGTTATGAGCTGGTCTGTACTTATGGGCAGAGTGTTCTCATCATCCTCTTGACAAATATTGCACAGTGGAAACTTCCTGATGGACTTAAAGCACCTTGGATTCTGGACCTTGATTTCATAGTGAGATGCTACATTGGTTTTAATCTGAAAACAGGACTTTGGACCACTAAGCTACAGTCTAGTTCTTTTTCTTCTTAGTTCAGGTGAGACTCTCTGATGTTGTCTCCAGTTCAGGAGGGTCTTGACTGCAGGAACACTTGTAATCCATTTCTTGGACTCGTCTGTGTGTAGAGGTTCTTGATGGTCTGACTCCAGACTCAGTCCAGTCCTTGTGAAGCTCCTCCAAGGTCTTGAATCTTCTTTGTCAGTCCTCTCCAGGCTGCTCTCATCCCTGTTTCTTGGTCTTCTTTTCCTCCCTCACTTTTCCCTTCAGTCAGCTTTCATGAATCTGCTTCATACAGACTCTGTGAACTGCCAGACTTTCAACAGGGACCCTGTGGCTGACCCTCCTTGTGGACGGGGACCCATGATAGTCTTCAGTCTGAACCATAATGGTGGTTGTGTGAACTGAACTGAACTGAAACATTTACATATAATTTGTTTAATATCTATCGTTTCCTTTTTTAACTGTGAGTCATTGTTTTTAAAATTAGATCCAAAAATGCTTAAAATACTCAGCACACATATAGACACACACACATGCACACATGCGCATACACTTGCAAACATGAGAGCAACACAAATTGGAGTCCGAACATCTCTTTACCAACTTAAATCCATGGTTTGTGTCAGTCAGACAGTATCACCGCTGCAGTAATGTTTAGCAGCAGCTGGGCTCATAAGTTGTGTGTGTGTGTGTGTGTGTGTGTGTGTGTGTGTGTGTGTGTGTGTGTGTGTGTGTGTGTGTGTGTGTGTGTGTGTGTGTGTGTGTGTGTGTGTGTGAAGCAGCTGCAGAGGAAGCACAGATTCATTTTATCTGTGTCAAGGCCTGCAGGAGATTGAATCGGTGGTGTAAACTGGACGTTGACATTTGGTCTATTTAAAGGTGTGTGTGTTCGTGCGAATGTGTGTGTGTGCTGGTGTGAAGCTAAAGGCCTAACACTCGGACTGACTCTGGATAATGAGTGTTGCTGAGAGCTGAGAGTGGGATCAGACCAGAGTTTTTACTGGGATAATGGGGACAGATAATAAAGATAAAACAGGTTAGCAGGTCTGATCATAAGGCAGAAAAACTAAAGCAGGATGATCAGGACTGGTAATGAGGGTAGTACCAGATTAATGAATGATTTCTCATGCACCAGCACATATGTATTTTGAGGGTTATGAATATTTTGAGGGTAGCTTGGCTGATCATCATCTTTCTTTCTTTCTTTCTTTCTTTCTTTCTTTCTTTCTTTCTTTCTTTTTTTCTTTCTTTCTTTCACTTTACAAAAAACAACCAAAATACAACATCAAAGCTGAATAATACATATGTACACTAATCAACTGTCAAAAAATAAATTAACACAAACATATATATGCCAACAGCCAATAATGAATGAAAAATAATACAACTGTACATATAACATATCTATCTATCTATCTATCTATCTATCTATCTATCTATCTATAGATATAGATAAAGATATATAGATAGAGAGAGAAATCTAGATAGATAGATAAATAGATGTCATATAATATATATACATACAATTTTATATTTAATTTTACACTTCTGTTTGCTTCTGTTTCTTTGAGTACATTAAATTAAGCTGATATTAAAAGTTATACAATCATGTCGTTTTTAAGTGTGTCTGACTTTAACCTGACTGTGTATCCTCAGCCTATCGACCATTGGCATCATGGGAAAAAAGAGTCGGGTGAAGACTCAGAAATCCGGTTCAGGAGGAGCCAGCGCGGTGACTTCACCTAAAGAGATGCTGAACCTGATCTCTGAGCTGCTGCAGAGTATGTACACCTTTACCTGAACCTACTAGGGGTGTGACAATTCAGTCACTGCACTAATACATCGATTCCGTATACAGTATAAACAACTGTGTGATTCTGTAGTATAATAGAACAGATGTTTATGGTCATTTGCTGAGGTACGTTGGAATATCTGTTTGATACCACTAAAGTCAGCCTTATAAATAAAAAACAAAAAAAGGTATTTAAAAAGAATTAATGTCATAATAGAATAAATAAAACTGTATTTACAGAGGGCAGAGAGTACCGGAAATGTACACTTTCCTAAATATAAGATAAAAAAGGATACAGGAGTCGAGGATATTAAGAGGACACATGTGCTTACAAAGGGACACCAAACAGTTCAAAGGTCACCTGCTCTTGTCATGAAATCTTCACAGTTGTTCACCTGACATCTGTTACAGCTGTTATTGATCATGGTGCTATTGTGTTGTTTTGCTAATTGTTACTATTGCACAGTGTTATTGGTGGACAGGATCATTGCACAATATTATTATTATTGCGTGTGGTTATTTTGCACATTGCAATTGCACTGGTCCATTAAGATTAAGTATTTCCTTCCTGTCCTGTGATATTATGATCATATGATGTGTAGTCATTTGTAATTGTCTTGCAAAGCATCATATTGATGAGACTGGCTTACATGGGAATTAACAGGAGCTATTATGAATATCATCAGACTGTTCATATCTTGATTGGTTAACTTCGCCACTGAGTGGACTGTCTAATTAGTGAGGACGGTTTACTGGAATTCAACTCGCCCACAGGTCTCTGCATAATATAAATGAAATATTCACATCTGGATTTTCATTCAAAAGAGTCTTTACTTTACACAACTCACTTTATTACTGTGTCTAGACCGGTGTGTGTTTCCTTTTTACCTTGACATATTTCCGCAGCAGCCTTCCTCAGAGAGTCAAGTGGTGTTGTCATGAATAGGACTGTCAGCTGACCAAAAAGGAACCGCTCTTGTTTATTAAAAGAAAGAAATGTTGCTGCATTAATGATCAGGTATGTGCTCAAGTGAAATAAAAATCAAGTACTCTAGGTGTTAACGGCCAGCACTTGTTTCCCAGAATGCAGCAGTGCAGCGCCCTCTGCAGGTAAAGAGTGGGAGGAGTATGTCCATATCAGGGGACTGGTGGAGAAGATTCGTAAAAAACAGAAAGGTGAGAAATCTCAGATAACATAACATTATTAAAACTAACATAGACATAGAAGTATTAACATAATAACAAATGGACAGTGATATAAAATAAACACTGACTGCTGTTAAAACCCCAATATCTATACAAGTCAAGAGGATGTGCCAAATGTTCAATACTAAAGTTGGATGATGTGCAAAAAGTACTGTCTGTTTTTTTTTTTTTTTTAAACATTGTTATCAGTTCAAACCCTCTAGAAACATGATTATTGTCATTATTGTTAACATAATTAGCATTGTTATTGTGATTATTATTTAATTTGTATCATTTTTATGTGTGAAGGTCTGTCAGTGGTGTTTGAGGGCAGCAGAGAGGACCATTTCTCTGCTCTGATGGCTTGGGCTCAGGAGAGCGGGGCGTCCTCTGAGGGCTTCTGTGTGTCTGACTTTGGATCAGAGGGATTTGGACTAAAAGCCACCAGAGACATAAAGGTAAGACCTCAAGGTCTAATCAGGACTAATCAGTTTGGTTACTGTTGATCAGCATTACTGTTGTGACCCCAAGTTAAGAGCAGAATCATCGTGTTTTTATATGGCTGTTTATGATACTGAATCAATACCACTGTGTGTGTGTGTGTGTGTGTGTGTGTGTGTGTGTGTGTGTGTGTGTGTGTGTGTGTGTGTGTGTGTGTGTGTGTGTGTGTGTGTGTGTGTGTGTGTACGCGCATTCGTGCGTGTGTGCGTTCAGGCAGATGAGCTGTTTCTGTGGGTTCCCAGGAAAATGCTGATGACAGTGGAGTCGGCTCAGAAGTCCATTTTGGGTAATCAAATTTTAATAAACATGAAAAAACAAACAGGAAGAGACCTAGAACACAGAGCGTTCCGTTTTCACCCATAATCCCGTTTATATCTCATTCCTAAGTATTTGTTATTTTTTAATTGTACTCAAAGTTTTAGACTCCATTCCTTAATGATGAACATGTGTTTGAAGAGATTACTTTCATCAGCACAGCAGCTCTCTCTCTCCACCTGTAGGTGCTGAGCAGGCAATAGAGGGGTCATTTTATTCTGCAGAGCTACAGTAGAGCAGAAAGGATGAATAATAAAAGAGATTTTAAGAAATTACACAGAGGAGGATACAAGGTAAGATTGTTTTTATAAAATAGATAAAGAAGACAAAAAAAAGGATCAGAGGAAAAGTGGAGGACAGAAAAGTTTTCTGGGTGAGACCACCAGACCCTCCCAATGTTGCAAACTATCAGACAGCATTAATTCAACAGTTCAGCGCCCTTAAAGGGATATTCCGGAGTAAAATGAAATTATTGTCTGCACTTGGTGATCGACTCGTCAGAGCTCCCCCCACAAACAAGCGGCTGCTGGAAGAAAATGGGTGAGTTGTGTTTAGTTTCTTTGCTAAAGAAAATTAAGCAAAGTTAAAAAGATGTTTGATGGCTAGTACTATGGCTGGGACCCTGTATGTACTGTTGATGAAGTTAGGTGCTGTTCTGAGCGTTATTTGTGGCTATAGAGTGGCTTTTTGGTTGAGGTTTGCACGTGGAGCCATAGACTGCTGTGTATTGCTATTGTGCGGTCGTTACTAAAGTTGTTTTAACTAGAGAAACAAGCGGTCGGCAACATTCATCTCTCGAAGGGGTGTGTTACTCGGTATGTTTGACCATAACTTAAATTTACGCCGGAATATCCCTTTTAACCAATGGAGCTTTCCTAAAAACAAAAATATTTTGTAATTAATCTAAATATCATGAATCCCACCACCTCAAAACTCACTTAATCCAATGATGCTTGATTATTTCCTGCTCCCTCTCTCACCCTTGTTTCTCACTCTCTCCTCAGGTCCTTTGTACAGTCAGGATAGGATCCTTCAAGCAATGGGTAACGTGACGTTGGCGTTCCACCTGCTGTGTGAGCGCTCAGACCCCTCTTCGCCATGGCTGGCGTACATCCGCAGTCTTCCTCAGGACTACGAAACACCGCTCTACTTCCAGCAGGAGGAGGTTCAGCTGCTGCTGGGAACACAGGCCATACAGGACATCTTGAGCCAGTACAAGAACACTGCCAGACAGTACGCTTACTTCTATAAACTACTGCAGGTACAGATACACCGTACACGCACACACACAGACACACACACACCTTCATACCTGAACCTGCTGTAAAACAGGCAGGAATTAAAATAAGCGAGGACACACACTCAGACAAACGGAACACTTATAACCTCTGCAGTTCATTGGTTAATTTATCAATAATACAGGTTTGAATACGATAAACATCAAAGACTGCAAATTCCGTAGTTTTTTTTTTTTTTTTTTTTTTTTTAAATTAAAGCCTGCTTTTAAAGGAATATTTCAGTGTCTTTGACGCAGGGTTGTATGAGTATGACAGGCAACAGTCAACCAGCCCTGTAACAACATGAGAGCCTATACTGCTTAGTGCTTTGTCATTGCTTGGAATCTGTTTTCTTAACTTTTCACTAGAGGTGGGTGCAATTCATGATTTGTCGATGCATCGCGACGCTTCAAGTGACGATTTGGAATCGATTAATTAACGTCGATGCCTTAAATAAATAAATCATAATGTCAATGCTTTGCCACAAGTCTGGAACAAAAAGACACAGAATCAGAACCTTAACGCACGTGCTGCCCGGGCTGTTTAGTAATTGGGACATCAACAAACAGAGCACATTAGTTTCTTTGCAAAACCGCAACAGCTTCAGCAGCCTCCAAAGAGCAGCCGATTCTCTCGCCACCGGGGTTGACTGCAACCGTGTAGAAGTACTTTGGATTTTATGAGAGAGCAAAAAGACAACTTGCAAGACCTACATGATTTCCAAGATTCCATCCGGGAGACTGTCTTCAAACTTCCCAGTTTAAGTTAAGTAGGTCATAGCGCAAATGTTTACACAACAGTCATACAGTCATAAAATAAAATATTGTCTTTAAAAAATACAAGTCAAATGTTCAAAAAACCTTATTTACTTATTGAGTGTAGTTTTAGAGGAACTGAGTTAATTATCTGTTTATTAAGTGGAAATGCTGACACAGCATTTCCACTTATTGTTATTCTCCTATTTCTTTATTAAATGGAAATGCTGCACATGCATGGGCTCGGCCGCGTGCGCGGGCACGCACACTGTTTCCATGTGTGCATTACTGTCTTTCTGTCAGTAGAAAATACACCCCCAATATTAACTTTGTTGTTACAGTTCTTGTCTTTAACTCTTTTAGCATACTACTTCTTTCCCTTCCCTTCAGCTTTTCTTTACTTTCTACATTTCTACAATTTATTTAACTTCAGCTGTTTCATACTTTCTACGTTCGTATGTAGGGCAATAACTGAAGCACAGCAATAGATGGTGCTGTTCTGCATTCTCGAGTTACTATGGTTGGATTCTGCAGACTGCAAAAATCTGTTTTACTATTTGTACATTTAATTGGAACATTGTTACACATTATTTTAAGGCATTTGTTTTTCAAATTCAATTATCCTTATTATCAGTTCTGTATATTCACATCAATCATATACGTTTTTCACTTAGGCTATTAGACAATTTGTACATTCATCCAACTAATTTACCTTCAGCTATACTACAATTCTTCCATTCATACAATTTCTTCTTCTTCTACTCCACCTTTTCAACAGTTTTTCCATTCATACCTTCCTCCATTTTTTATTGGCAGTTTAGCATTGCTTTTTCGGCTTTCAGCACTCAGCATTTCCATGCATTTTCTGCAAGGAAATGCAATTTTTCTAGTTTACAAATGTAGCCACAGATGAAGACAAAATCAATCTTGTATGGAAAAAATTCTAGCTTGCCAAAAGTGACTCGGGCGCCCTGAGAGTGGCAGCAAGTCACAGCAGCTCCTCGCAGACTTCACGTTTTTGCGTTCTTATTGTTGTTTTTTTGCACCTTTTTATCTTTCTTTTCATTCAGCAGTGTTGTGTCTGCATATTCCAGCCATGGATGTGCAGTTCATGACTCTAGCACTTTGTTTTCTTTTATTTTTCGGAGTTTTTAAGTCCGCGACCGGCGACCCATTCAGCGGCCGCATTGTTTACAGCCGTGAACAGCTGTTGGAGCTGCGCCAAGCCCGGCCACCTTCGTGGGAGAGACCGGACATCCCCGCTAAGCTCTGCAGGAGAAGGAGAGGATGCAGGGCTGGAGTTCAGCATCGGGCAAAGCGGAGACGTTACAAACCAACTGTCCCGTCCATCATCATGGGAAACGTGAGGTCTCTCCCCAACAAGATGGAAGAGCTCACAGCGCTAACTCGGCTGCAGTGGGAGTATAGGGAATGTAGCCTCATGATGTTCACGGAGTCATGGCTGAACGAACTCACTCCGGACCCGCTCGTAACTTTGGACGGATTTCACCTCGTCAGAGCGGACCGGAGCGTGAGGGAGAGTGGTAAGAAGAAAGGAGGCGGGATAGCGGTGTATGTGAATGAGAGATGGTGTAATGCTGGGCACGTCAGTGTTAAAGAGCAGCTCTGCTCTAAGGACATTGAGCTGCTGGCTGTGAGTTTGCGGCCATATTACCTGCCGAGGGAGTTTTCGCACGTCATCGCGTTAACTGTTTACATCCCCCCCTCGGCTGATGCTGCTGCAGCCTGTGAACTCCTCCATAATGAAGTGTCCAAGCTACAGACATCACACCCTCAGTCTCTGATCATCATCTCTGGAGACTTTAATCATGCATCGCTGTCCTCCACCCTCCCTACCTTCGGCCAGTATGTAAACTGCCCAACAAGAGACAATAAAACTTTGGACTTACTGTATGCAAACACCAAGGATGCATACACCTCCTCCCCCCTCCCCCCGCTGGGCCGCTCAGATCACAACCTGGTGAGACTGCAGCCCATTTACATACCTATGGTGAAGAAACAACCCCCCACCATCAGGTATGTTAAGAGGTGGTCTGAGGAGGCCACTGAGGCGCTGCAGGACTGTTTTGAGACCACAGACTGGGATGTACTGTGCGGCCCACATGGTGATGACATTGACACCATGACTGACTGCATCACGGACTATATTAACTTCTGTGTTGAGAACACCGTACCCACCAGGAAAGTACGGTGTTTCTCCAACAGCAAACCCTGGGTGACCCCGGAACTGAAAGTCCTCCTGAAGGAGAAGAGGAGGGTCTTTAAATCTGGGGACAAGGAGGAGCTGAGGAGGGTGCAGAAGGAGTTGAAGAAGAAGATCAGAGAGGGAAAGGCCAGCTACAAGACCAAGATGGAAAACCTTTTGCAACAGAACAACGCAAGGGAGGTCTGGAGAGGCCTAAAATCCATCTCAGGTCATAGCAGGGGCCATGAGAGGGGACCTGAAGCAGGAGACAGGGAGTGGGCCAACGAGCTGAATCTGTTCTTTAATAGATTTGACTCTGCTCCCACTCCTCCCCCGACTCATCTAACCAACGACCCGTCTGCTGCTCCTTCTTCTTCTTCACACCACCTCAGTCCCATGGCACCGACACCATCAACCCCCCTCCACTCATCCCCCACCACCCCCTCCAGCACCACCCCCAGCCTCTCCATAACAGCTGACCAGGTGAGAAGTGAGCTGAGGAAGATGAAGCCAAGGAAAGCCACGGGTCCTGATGGCATCAGCCCCAGACTCCTGAAAGACTGTGCAGACCAGCTCTGTGAGGTGCTACTGCACATCTTCAGCTTGAGCCTGAGTCTGGAGAGGGTCCCAACACTGTGGAAGACTTCCTGCGTGATTCCTGTCCCCAAGACAGCGCACCCCAGGGAGCCCAACCACTTCAGACCTGTGGCCCTCACTTCTCACCTGATGAAGACTCTGGAGAGGATCGTGCTGAGGAACCTCCGCCCCCTGGTGAGCTCTCATCTGGATCCTCTGCAGTTTGCGTACCAGCCAAACATCGGGGTGGATGACGCAGTCATCTACCTGCTGCAGAAGTCCATGGCTCACTTGGAGAACACCGGCAGCACTGTGAGGGTCATGTTTTTTGACTTCTCCAGTGCGTTCAACACCATCCAGCCTTCACTGCTCAGGGGGAAGCTCGAGCGGGCGGGAGTGGACTGTCACCTAGCCGCATGGACCGAGGACTACCTCACCGACAGACCACAGTTTGTGAGGCTTCAGAACTGTGTATCGGACATGGTGGTCTGCAGCACGGGGCTCCACAGGGGACAGTGCTCTCCCCCTTCCTCTTCACCCTGTACACCTCTGACTTCAGCTACAACTCTGGGAGCTGTCACCTCCAGAAGTTCTCTGATGACACAGCCATCATCGGATGTGTATCGTCAGGGGATGAGCGGAAATACAGGACTGTCATCACTGACTTTGTCAACTGGTGTGGCACAAACCACCTCCAGCTCAACGCCAGTAAGACAAAGGAGATGGTCGTGGATTTCCGCAGGAGGGGGACACCTCAAACAGTTCCAGTGAACATACAGGGTCTGGACATCGAGATGGTGGAGTCCTACAGATTCCTGGGTGTCCACCTCAACAACAAACTGGACTGGTCAACAAACACAGACATTCTGTACAAGAAGGGCCAAAGTCGTCTCCACCTGCTGAGGAGACTGAGGTCCTTTGGAGTGTGCAGGACTCTGCTCAGGACTTTCTATGACTCTGTGGTAGCATCTGCACTTTTCTATGCAGTGGTCTGCTGGGGGGCAGGGAGCACTGAGAGGGACAGGAAGAGACTGAATAGACTGGTCAGGAGGGCCGGTTCTGTCCTGGACTGCTCTTTGGACTCCCTGGAGGAGGTGGGTGAGAGGAGGATGTTAACAAAGCTTGTATCCATCATGGACAAGCCCTCTCACCCACTGCACCAGACTGTGGGGGCTTTAGGCAGCTCCTTCAGCAGCAGACTGAGACTCCCACCCTGCAGGACGGAGCGCTACCGCAGATCATTTCTCCCCTCTGCAATAAGACTTTACAATGAACAGTAACAAAACTGATTTTACACCACCACTTTTTTATGGCATTTAAATTGTGTATATTGTAGAAAGCTTTATTTTTTCTTCTCCCTTTTCTAATTTTTTTCTTAATTATTACATTTATTTAAGTTCTTAATATTAGGACCCTTATTGTTATAACTGCATTTTTGCACTTTTTGGCTTGTCTGTGATGCTGCTGTGACAAAAAAATTTCCCCCATGGGGGATCAATAAAGGAATATTCTATTCTATTCTATTCTAAAAAAGCATTAAAAATTGCAATAAGCGAAGAATTGTGGCAACAATAATCGAATCAAATTGACAATCATTGTAATAGAAGAATCGAAGCTCCCATAATTGAAATTGAATCAAATTGTGAGACACCCTTGCTGGAACACCCCTACTTTTCACTGTCTTCTTCACTCAGTTTCTTGTGTGTTTAACATTCACTTGCTCCTGTGTACGATTCAGTTCCTGTTTTGTCCACTAGGAGGCAATGTTGTGACAGAAATGAGCTGATGTCAGGCAGAGAAAAGAAATCAATTTAGGAGGACCGTCAGTCAAAAACATGTAATTGTATGATTAAAAAGTCTTATAATGATCTGTGGGTTTTAATTTATACCAGTCACAATCTACAGTCTTTTTACCATGAACATACACACAAACACACACCTGGATATCAAAGACTGTCTGCTGTGTGTTGTCTTCCTCAGACTCATCCTGCTGCCAGTAGATTGCCTCTTAAGGACGGCTTCACCTTCGACGACTACAGGTAAGTGTGTGTGTGTGTATGTGTGTGTGTGCATGCGTGACTTCATGATGAAGGAATTGATGTAAAGTAGAGCAGGTATAAATGGCTCCATATCAGCAAGTGTAACACCCTGATGTTTTTATAAATCAGCATTTTTCTGCCTTTTTAAATCATTGTAACATCTGTACATCTTGGTTTCTGATTGGCTGGTTGTGACTGGTTGGTTAAAATAGGTGGGCAGTGTCCTCAGTGATGACTCGTCAAAATCAGATCCCCACAGAGGACGGCAGCCGAGTCACTCTGGCACTGATCCCCCTGTGGGACATGTGCAACCACACCAATGGACTGGTACACACGTGCACACACACACACACACACACACACACAGAGCATCAATAATAATGTGTAAAAATATAAACAGTAGAAAGTATTATCACAGAGGCTCTGAGCAAACGATAATAAGGATACGTCAACATAAATGTGGGTTTATTTTGACAGATCACCACAGGATATAACCTGGAGGATGATCGCTGTGAGTGCGTTGCTCTGCAGGACTACAAGGAGAATGAGCAGGTGAGAAAGGAGTGTCTGACACCTGCAGAGAGTGTGTTCTACACCTGTCTGTGATTGAAAGGTTCACCTCTGTGTTCATACCTGCCGGTCAGGACAGGAGATCACCATGATGTTTTCTCTTCCTACAGATCTACATCTTTTATGGGACAAGATCGAATGCAGAGTTTGTCATCCATAACGGCTTCTTCTTCCAGGAGAATGCTCACGACAGGGTGAAGGTCAAACTTGGCGTCAGTAAGAGTGAGCGACTGTACGCCATGAAGGCAGAGGTGCTGGCCAGAGCTGGGATACCTGCGTATGTAGTAATATAATACAGAATACACCCTTTGTTTTTAACCTGTTTTTTTAGCATCACACTTTTCAGCTGTTTGGCTGTTCCTTTCACAACTTGTTATAAACATATTCCCAACATCAAAGTTATTATATTTTACATAAACAAAACCTCCGGGTGTCAGGTCAAGAGAAAAAAAAAGAGCCAGGTGCAAATCCCAGGGTATGGATCTGTGCATGAGGATGAAAAATACATGTGTACAAATCTGCGCATGACTTTTTATTTTTCTTGACCTTGTTCCTTGGCGCACTGCTGTGCAGTTTTAAAATCCTCCCAATAAACCAGCCGTCCCTAACCTCTCCACTCTCCAAACAAGTGTCAGGATGAAGCTCGCCCACCAGGCCACTTAGCCACAACATTGACCTTGTTTATATTAACAACCTTTTTTGTGATTTGCTATTCTGATTAATTTAAACATGTTTGATGACATGTTGTGTGTTAATATGTGTGTGTGTGTGTTTCAGGTCTTGTATCTTTGCTCTGCACTGTAATGAACCTCCTATCTCCGCTCAGCTCCTCGCCTTCCTTAGAGTCTTCTGCATGACAGAGGGTGAGACACACACACACACACACACACCCTGAAAATCTCCTCTGTCCTGGTGATGTAAGTGTGGATATGATGAAGATGTGGAAGAGCAGGGAGTGTAATTTCTTGTTTGGAGTCTCAGCCTGAGAGAGGCTGGACTTTGTGGAATTAATCTTCTGATAAATTTATTGATCTGATTTAGAAATACTGTATGTAGAAATAAGAATAAGAGCTTTAATCAGTCAGGATGTAACACAGTAGTTTTTGATATGGTTCCACATCTTTGAAACATTAAACTGAACATAGGGATGCAGCATATACAAAACCCATTTCCACTGAAGTTGGGAAATTGTGATAAAGGTAAATAAAAACAGAATACAATGATTTGCAAATCCTTTTCAAACTATATTCAATTGAATACACTATAAAGACAAGATATTTAATGTTCAAACTCATGAACTTAATTTATATTTGCAAATGATAATAAACTCAGAATTTAATGGCTGCAACATGTGCCAAAGTAGTTGGGACAGGGGCATGTTTACCACTGTGTTACATCACCTTTCCTTTAACAACACGTTTGGGAACTGAGGAGACTAATTGTAGAAGTTTTGAAGGTGGAATTCTTTCCCATTCTTGCTTGATGCACAGCGTCAGTTGTTCAACAGTCCAGGGTCTCCGTTGTCGTATTTTACGCCTCATAATGCGCCACATATTTTCAGTGGGAGACAGGTCTGGACTGCAGGCAGGACAGTCAAGTACCAGCACTCTTTTACTACGAAGCCACTCTGTTGTAACACGTGCAGAATGTGGCTTAGCATTGTCTTTCTGAAATAAGCAGGGGCATCCATGAAAAAGACGTTGCTTGGATGGCAGCATATGTCACTCCAAAACCTGTATGTACCTTTCAGCATTAATGTTGCCTTCACAGATGTGTAAGTTACCCATGCCTTACACACTAATTCACCCCTATATCATCATAGATGCTGGCTTTTGAACTTTGCGTCGATAACAGTCCGGATGGTTCTTTTCCTCTTTGGCCTGGAGGACACGACGTCCGCTATTTCCAAAAACAATTTGAAATGTGGACTCGTCAGACCACAGAACACTTTTCCACTTTGCATCAGTTCATCTTAGATGAGCTCGGGCCCAGAGAAGTTTCTGGATGTTGTTTATAAATGGCTTTCGGTTTGCATAGTAGAGTTTTAACTTGCTCTTACAGATGTGGCGCCGAACTGTATTTACTGACAGTGGTTTTCTGAAGTGTTCCTGAGCCCATGTGGTGATATCCTTTACATACTGATGTCAGTTTTTGATACAGTGCTTCATGAAGGATCGAAGGTCACGGGCATTCAATGTTGGTTTCTGGCCGTGCTGCCTGCGTGCAGTAATTTCTCCAAATTCTCTGAACCTTTTGATGATATTATAGATCGCAGATGTGTAAACCCCTGAATTCCTTGCAATTGTACTATGAGAAACGTTGTTCATAAACTGTTCAACTATTTGCTCACGCAGTTGTTCACAAAGTGGTGAACCTCGCCCAATCCTTGCTTGTGAATGACTGAGAATTTTTGGGGAAGCTGCTTTTATACCCAATCATGGCACCCACCTCTTCCCAATTAGCCTGCTCACCTGTGAGATGTTCCAAATAGGTGTTTGATGAGCATTCCTCATATTTCTAAGTATCTTTTGCCACCTTTCCCAACTTCTTTGTCACGTGTTGCTGGCATGAAATTCTAAAGTTAATGATTATTTGCAAAAAAAATAAAGTTCATGCGTTTGAACATTAAATATCTTGTCTTTATAGTGTATTCAATTGAATATAGGTTAAAAAGGATTTACAAATAATTGTATTCTGTTTTTATTTACGTTTATCACAATTTCCCAACTTCAATGGAATTGGGTTTTGTAGTATATCCTCTACTTTTCAATGGAAGTGAGTCTTTCAATACAAGTCAAATAAAACTGCTGGTCCTGGTGTAGGTTTTTGGATTACTTCAATCTGACTGTAGCTTTAAATCGACTTTCAGAGGAGTTGAAGGAGTACCTGATGGGAGATGGGGCTGCCAGTAAGATCTTCACTCTGGGGAACAGTGAGTTCCCCGTCAGCTGGGAGAATGAGATCAAACTGTGGACGTTCCTGGAGACCAGAGCTGCTCTGCTGCTCAAATCCTACAAGACCACCTCAGAGGTACCAAAGACACACGTGAACTAGAGTCAGGATTGTAAACAAACCTAGACTAAAGTCAGGATTTGAAACACTCCTGAACCAAAGTCAGGGCTTTAAACACACCTAGACCAAAGTCAGGATTTGAAACACACCTGAACCAAAGTCAGGATTTTTGACACACCTGAACCAAAGTCAGGATTTGAAACACTCATGAACCAAAGTCAGGGCTTTAAACACACCCGAACCAATTTCAGGATTCTTAACACACCTAAACCAAAGTCAGGATTTTTGACACTCCTAGACAAAAGTCAGGATTGTAAACACTCCTGAACCAAAGTCAGGATTTTTGACACACCTAGACCAAAGTCAGGATTTGAAACACAACTGAACCAAAGTCAGGATTTGAAACACACCTGAACTAGCGTAAGGATTGTAAACACACCTAGACCAAAGTCAGGATTTGAAAAACCCCTGAACCAAAGTCAGGGCTTTAAACACACCTATACCAAAGTCAGGATTTGAAACACACCTGAACCAAAGTCAGGATTTTTGACAGACCTGAACTAGAGTCAGGATTTGAAACACTCCTGAACCAGTCAGGATTTTTGACACTTCTAGACCAAAATCAGGATTTGAAACACTCCTGAACCAAAGTCAGGATTTTTGACACACCTAGACCAAAGTCAGGATTTGAAACACAACTGAACCAAAGTCAGGATTTGAAACACACCTGAACTAGAGTGAGGATTTGAAACACACCTAGACCAAAGTCAGGATTTGAAACACTCCTGAACCAAAGTCAGGGCTTTAAACACACCTAGACCAAAGTCAGGATTTGAAACACACCTGAACCAAAGTCAGGATTTTTGACACACCTGAACTAGAGTCAGGATTTGAAACTCACCTAGACCAAAGTCAGGATTTGAAACACACCTAAACCAAAGTCAGGATTTTAAACACACCTAGACCAAAGATAGGATTTTTAACACACCTGAACTAGAGTCAGGATTTTAATCAAATCTATACCAAAGTCAGGATTTTAAACACACCTGATCCAGAGTCAGTCAGGATTTTAAACGCACCTGAATCAGAGTCAGAATTCTTAACACACCTGAACCAAAGTCAGGATTTTAAACATACCTGAACCAAAGTCAAGATTGTGAACAAACCTGAACCAGGTTCCCAGGTGTTGAAGCATGAACCAAAGGAGTCTGATGTTAGTAGTTTTTAAGCCTTTATTGTTTGAATATTCGGTTCCTGAAATGTTAAACATCCTTTCCCTTTCTTTTAGGAGGACCGCTCCCTGTTGGAAAAACCGGATCTTTCTCTCCACTCCAGAATGGCGATCCAGCTGCGTTTGGCGGAGAAGCAGATTCTGGAGAAGGCGTCTGTGAGTGGGCGAGCTAAACGTCTACACTTTGAGAAGAAGCTGCAGGAGGATGCTCCTCTCCCTCGCTACGAGGAGAGCGACATTGCTCTGCTGGAGAATTCAGAGTCCAAGCTCCCCATCATCCTGCGTCAGCTGGAAGAGGAGGAGGGGCAGGAGGTGCCCGAGGAGGAGCAGAGCCTCCTTCTGAACGGGGGAAAGGAGGTGTTTGGGATGAAGATGAAGACTGACAGGGTGGAGGAGGAACAGAAGGAGGTGGGAGGAGACACAGATCTTGACTCTATGGAGAAGGGCCAGCGGGAGGCAGCAGAGCTTACAGCCAGTCGGACTGAAGACAAGAAGGAATAACAGTTACCATGGCAACAGTTTTTATTTATTATTGTGTCCAAAAGACTCAGAAATGTGAAATCTGGACTTTATCAACGAGCGGGACAGAGTAAACACAGGCAGAGAACATCTAAGATAAAAACAGGATAACTTCACCACAGACACACCTGACAGGTTATTATATGATTTTACAGACAGACTGAGAGGTCATGTGACTGACTCTGTGACTTAGTGTGGTCATGTGACCGAGTGTGGTATCATGTGACTGAGTGTGGGATGATGTGACTTAGTATCTTCTGTGTGTGTGTGTGTGTGTGTGTGTGTGTGTGTGTGTGTGTGTGTGTGTGTGTGTGTGTGTGTGTGTGTGTGTGTGTGTGTGTGTGTGTGTGTGTGTCAGTAAAGCTGAGCTCAGATCTGTTCTTTCAGAGCTCTGGGTTTCACTGACTCTACCCTCAGTTGGGTGGAAGTCCTGTCAGACCTCTGTTTAAACAAAGATGACCCTCTCATCAGTCTGAGTGTGAACGGGTGGAGCGGTTGAGTGTCTGATTCAGTATGTTTGTATGAGTGTAGACGGTTTAGTCTGATATTGAAGCCATATTCAGCACTGAGGAGGGAGAGGAGGCTAAAGATGAGTATGTTTGACCTTAAATGAAATAGGTTCAATAGTTACACCTTTTTTATAAACACTCACATCATTGAACGCAGCATTGAGGGAAACTGTTAAAATTGGACATGAATTTCTGAAATAAAAACATTAAACCTGACCTTCAAAACTGTGAGTGCTGGAAGATTTAATCCTGTGTCTCTGTTTTAAAAGGTCTAAATTCCAACTGCAGCACCTGATTGTCAGCACCTGGGGGAACCAGAAGTGTTAAAGAGTCAAAAGCAACAGCATAATAAGCTGTTTGGTATTGGCAGAGGAGATTTGGCAAATCCACAAGTTCTTCACAAATGTGGTTCAATTTTAAAGGGGCTCTCCAGCAGTTTAAAACCTATGACACCAGGTAAAGATATTATCTACCAAAGACAATGTTCCTTTTTGTTTGTCTTAGTTTACATGTGCTAATACTAAAATAATATATTCAAGTACATTTTTTTTATCCCACACACACTTATGATGTGATTGAAACTGTGCAGCAGCATGTGCTCAATCTTCAAATGTTACACACACTGTACTATATCAGTGTGGTTACAGTCAAAGCAGGTGTGTGTGTGTGTGTCAATAAATAGATCAGCGATCATAAGGCTTACAGTTTTGGCTATACACTCTGCAGAGCGGACAGTGTGGCTCAGACCTCTCTTTCTCACACACGCACATCAGTCCGATTAAGCCTCAGACAGTTGAACCACAGACTTATCTTGGACTGATAAACTCGTCTCTCCTCTGTTCCCACGGTAACCTCCATAAACTGTCAGATAACTGGAAATATCAAACACACGCACACACAGTGTTGGTTACAGTACAGTGGTTATTATAATCAGTTTTAACCTTAATTCGAAAATAAATTAAAAACAAAAAAAAATGAAAAAATTTAAGTAGAAATAGTCCAAAGAGGTAAAAAGTTCATATAGAGGAACAACCAAACAGGTAAAAATTTGTGTAATGATAAAAAACAGCTTCCCATAGAGGTTCACCACTCTGTGAAAGACTGTGTGAGCTAATAGAGAGAACAGTTTCAGAATAATGTTCCTGAGTGTCAAATGTGAAAGAATTAGTGGATTTCATTATCTACAGAACATCATATCATTCAAAGATTCAGAGACTCTGGAGAAATCTCTGTACTAAAGGGACAAGGACCAAAACCAAGACTGGATGGTCCTGATCTTCAGGGCCTCAGGCAGCACCGCAAAACAGACGAGACTCTGGAGTGGGAATCATTGCATGGGCTCTAAATCGTTCCAAAAACTATTTTCTGTGAACACGGTTCATTACTGCATCCACAAATGCAGCTTGTTATCAACTCCTAGTCCAAATCCCAGTTCTTATGGATTAATTTTTACAGGCTGCCTGGAAACACCAGAGACCTGCACCTATCCCCCACTGAACATCCAGCGTGAACAGGAGGAATATTGCAGGATGTTTGTTTGTTTTTTTTGGTAAACAAGTCTGCATTTGTTTTATCTGACACAGGCTGAACTTCTGCTAACTCTGAACACCTAAATAATGTGAATGTACTTAGACGAACAGCGGAGTGCTGTTTAATATGGTGTAACTGAGAGGTTATTACATGACGTTCAAATCTGATAAACAGATTTTTTTTTCATGTTTTAAAAAGTTAAAGAGGAAAAACTGAAGAGGGAGGAGAAGGAGGAGGAAACATTTGAACTGTTTTCAGATGAAGTCGTAAAAGAGGAAAATCTGCCCCCCACCCCACAGTCCTGATGTGATGGCCTGTCAGGAGACAAGGACAGAGATGACAGGATTAGACCTGAGACACACACACTGCAGTGAGCTGACCAGTGAGCGCTGAAGAGGCCTACAGTCCATAGTGTCCCTCCTCATCTTCATCAGACCCCCTCTTCTTGCTTTGACCCAAAATCCTGCAGACCTGCCCCCCACCCACCACAAGTGTGTGTCTGACCACAAGTATAGGAGTTCTCAGGTGGACAGTGTGTGTGTGTATCTGCGCGTGTGTGATGTGATGGCTCTTGGCACTGTGGGCTCTCCTGCCCAGCGGTCTGACTGTCAGGCTGATCAGTGACGAAGAGGAGGAGTGAAGGACGGAGCAGAGAGTGTAGTAATGAGTTCAGAGTGTCAGAGGCTCATATTAGATTCCTGATTCCTGATCCGGATTAGACCAGCCTGCAGGTCTTTGTTCTTCTGTAGAGTCTCTCTCAGTAATGCTCACTCACAGGTTTACTCACACTGCAGGGGACACGCTCTCCGAAACTTTGGAGACTTCTCCTCTTCCTCCTTCTTCAACACCAGAGATGGTCAGTGCTCCTTCAGTTTCAGGGACTCAGGTACAACGTTTACCTGCACACATAAAACATACACACCAAACAGCCTTCTAAACTACAACAACAACACACTACAAAGAACCGCAGATTACCAGACATATTAGCTACTCAACTCAGACTGTCCAAAATTGTTGGTCTCTGCACCAAACTCTTGGTGTCCTATTTGATCAGGATCTGTCCTCAACTCGCACACACTGTAGAGTTCAAGGACAGCCTTAACTTCTTCACTAGCGTCAGACATATCCTCAGATGAGCTCAGAATGGTAAAGGCTTAGACTACTCTCAAACAAACATTTTGGGGGTTATGTGGTGATATATATAATTTTTGTAATCCTTGCAGCAGGTGATTTTTTTTTTCTGGTGCTGAGATTAACAACACTCATGGAGGCAGAGTGAGGGGCGAGGAGGTTGGCAGGGTTCAGGTCCTAAACTCTCATATATCTGTCGTCTTTTGGTGATGATGTCCTGATGAGTTAGCAACTGTTCATCTCAAACACCTCCTGAAACAGACCAACAGAGTGCTCTGCAGCTCACCTGACAGAGATTCTTTCTGCTATGAATCAAGTGATGAAGTTGACTAAAGTTCCCAGTGTGACCTACAGTTAACATAATAAATCTGCTCTTATGTAGGTGACAGGAGTTTGGCTGTTCATGATGTTCACCATGTCAGGATCACTATGTAATATTGAAGTGACCAGCGGGGGACAGCAGAGGACAGAAAAAGAAACAGCTGCTGAAAGCGCCACATCGGACTAAATGATAGGGTGATGCAGAGAGTGCAAAAACATACGTGAAACTGTCTTCTGCAGAACTTTCAAGTCCTAGTGTGTTAAGTACACATTCCCAAAACACAACCTAAGCTGCTCAGGTTCAAACTGTCCAAAGGAAAACCTCTGAGCCACCAGCCTGCAGAACTTCTAAAACCTAAGGGGGTTCATCAGAGGGGGTTTCGTCATGCATGGGTCAGAGGGGTTGGTTTGATAATAGCTTTAACTAGGAGGGCTGGTTTGAATTTGGCTGCATCAGACAGATGAGGATAAATCGAGATTCATTAGAGGGAGGGGATTTAATTCAGCTTCACCGGAGGAACTAGCTCCACAACTCATACATCAGGAAGACTATTTTAATTCAGCTTTATCAGAAGATCTGGTCACAAAACAGCTTTAACTAGGACGACTAGTTTCAACTGAGCTTCATCAGAAGGACTAGGATTAGTGGAGCTTCATTAGAAAAGGTTTCAATTCAGCTTCCCCAGAGGGACTAGTTTTATAATCTGCATCAAAAGAATTGGTTTTAAAATGGATGCTTGTGGAGGACTGGTTTGAAATAACCAGCACCAGGAAGACTAGTTTTAAAACACCAGCATCAGGAGAACTAGTTTTAAAACTCCAGCATCGGGAAGACTAGTTTTAAAACACCAGCTACTGGAGAACTAGTTTTAAAACACCAGCACCAGGAGGACTAGTTTTAAAACACCAGCATCAGGAAGACTAGTTTTAAAACACCTGAAATAATAAAGCCTGAATAATAAATATCATTTAAGAATACTCACACACACACACACACACACACACACACACACACACACACACACACACACACACACACGCTAATGCAAACACAAACACCCTTATATGGCCTATAGTCCTTTTTGGAGATTGACCAGCAGAGAGCGCTGTTGGCCTGCAGGTGTGACTCCTTCCTGTCTCTGCTCTGTTTTAAGACTTAATTGATAAAAACATTCAGCCGGCCTTCAAGTGAAGATTCTGACTTTAAGACTTGAACCAGGACAAGTCTGACTCTGTCCGGACTCTATCAAACACTGACTCTCATCACCTATCCTCTACCTAAAAAACACATTTATTCACCAATGTTTTCTCTGAATATAACAAACATCAATTCAATTATAGTTCATTGTTTGATGTGATAGAAAGCCCCAGAAAAGACCCAAAACACACCTGATGGTGCTGTTTTCAGGTTCAATAATAACCTTTGACCTTAGGTATCATAAATCCTCTGATCAGCTCTTCATACAGAGAATTGTTTTTTTGGTTTTCATCTGCAGATGTGCTCAGGTTATATTGATTTTTAAATGAATGACCTGTCAGATATTAACCTTTAAGTGTTTTTAAATATATTGCAGCTTATTTAAATATTTTAACTTGTATTTGTTTAGAGGTTTAAATAAAGATTGTTATTATGTTAAAAAGGTTCACTGAAAATGCTTTACTGTGACAGTGTTTTGAAAAAAGAAGTTGAAGTAACAAAATGTTTTAATTTAAGAGGGTTTTACATTTTAAATGTTAAAGTGTTTTTGTTACAATGCTTAAAACTTCAAATATTTAAATATCGAAATGTTTTTATATAAAAAATGTTTCAGTATTCAAACATTGTAGGGATCACAGGTTGTCATATCAAACTACATAATGTTTGAATATTTTATGTCATTTTACAGTAAAAAGATTGATGCTAAAATGCTTCTGATAATGCAGCTTGTTCAAATAATTTCAAGTTCAAGTTTGAATTTTCAGTCTTGTCATAGTTGAAATGTAAAAATGTAAGAATTTGTTATTTGAAAGTTTAAATATTTTCACTGTAATGTTTTGATGTCAGAATTGTTCTTGTTAAAATAATTTAATATCTGATATTTAAAGAGTTTTTTTATGTCTTTTTATTTTACTTATTTATTTTTTTCCTCAGCATGCACCTGTTCTGATAACCAGGGGGATCACTGAAGCAACTTGAAAGGACACTTCTACCAAATAAAACCACCGATGAGGGTTAGCACTAGCGTTAGCTTCAAATTAAATGGGTGCTTGTATGAATGCTTATGAAGCTAAAATCACTGTGATCAGCTTTACAAAGTCCAATAGGAAAACAGAAGACTGCACCTGCCCGGCACCTGACGAATGAGCCAATTAAATTGCAAGGACAAGGAGCAGCACAAGTAAAGGTGGAAAAGGAGGAAAATGAAAAGTGTGAGGATGAGGAGCTGCAATCATTCATTGATGTGAAAACAGATCAGCTGATCATGTTTGTGTGAATATTAATAATCAGATCCTCTTCCTCCTCACCCTCCTCTTTCTCCTGTCCTGCTGCTACTAGTGATTCCCTCTTTCTGCTTCTCTCTTTGTGTCTCCTGGTGATGAAGGTGGGAGTTGTGTTGAGAGCAGCACAAAGACTCACGGACGAGCTGCCATCTTTCTTTTTCCTCTAAACGAGCCGTGAAATATGTTTATTTATGAAGAGGAGAGGAATGAGAGGGAAAGGAGGAGTGTTTTTTAAGGGAGAAATCATTTCTTTCAGTGATGAAGGAGCAGAATGGCTTCAGTTTCTTCTTGTAACTTGTCAGATACAAACATAAAAAGAGTGATCGCTCTGTTGTCTTCTTCGAAAGTCATCCAACCAGAGGTCACTGAAGGTCAACTGCCCAAAACACACTTACATACACACACACTCTAACATGTACACTCTCAAATTGAGTCTTTGTACTCTGACAGCCATTGTGTCACACAGTGTTCATAAACTCTACACTCTGCATGGACAACTTTTTTCTGAGATTCAGTGTGTGCGTGTGTGCGTGTGTGTGTTTAGGCCTCATCCCTGTGATTTAAACTGTCTTTTTTTTCTCATTACTGTGTTTCTGAGGCCCATGTCACACCTGAGCTGTCTGCACAGTTAACCCTCAGGTGCAAAGGTAGAAACTTTGATGGTAAAACTTTTTTAATGGTCACGCACTGTTACGCACGCTCCTGAAGACACAGTAAAACTAACGGCTGATGATTGGAGAGCACGCATCTTCACGAGCTAAAATATGAATCCGGACTCATGCAAAGTGACCACCACACCGCGCAAGATGTACGAAAGCCCCTCAGGTCAGAGGTGAGCGGAAATAATCCGGGTTTGACAGAGAGAAAGACACTGAGGCAGGAGGAGGAGACATGAGACTCTGACCACTGCGCTGCGCACAGCAGCCCGGGTGTGTGTGTGTGTGTGTGTGTGTGTGTGTGTGTGTGTGTGTGTGTGTGTGTGTGTGTGTGTGTGTGTGAAAGCCACCACTAGTCGCCCCCAGTGCTCTTCAGTCTCCACTCTCCCTCTCACCGCTCACTGAACGTCACGTCCGCACTTGAACTTGAGTTTTCAGCCGCTGTAGGAGCCAGAGCGCCGCACAGACCCGCACAGACCCGCAGAGCGCCGCACGGACCCGCGCTGAGGCACATAGACCCGCACAGTGCCTCAAAGAGCCGCACAGACCAGCACGGAGCCGCAGAGATCTGCAAAAAGCCGCAAACAGTCACAGAGAGCCACAGAGTGCAGCCTGGGGATGCGGGAGTGTGCAGCCGGCGCGCAGACAGAGAGCAGCGCGAGGCTCTGAGTCCTCTGCCCGCACTGCACGCGCAGCAGCCTAAGTGTCCACAGCACGAGCACACATCCAGAAGTGCGGGAACAAGACTGGATTTTAATTTTCTTTCTCTCACGTGCTCTGTCCGGAGCGGAGCGCGCGTTGCCCGGGCTGTCCGGAGGGTGGACACGCGCTCTGAGTGACCAATTGGAGGTAGGCGCACACCTCCTCTTCGCTGCTCCGGCTCATGGTGTGAGCTCCGCGGTGGGCTGAGCCGGACCCCCCCTCCCTCCCTCCCTCAACGCGCACACCGGAGACACTTTGGCACCGAGCTCCACCCGAGCGCACTGCCGCCCCGCGCCGCGCCTCGCCGCGCCACGGTCGGTCACCGCACCGCCCCGGAGCCGCTGTCCGCTGCAGGATCAGCCCGGGGGCCACAGCTGGGGTCGCGGCGCAGGGGCCAGTTTGGGGCGCCCAGCCTGTGGCCGGTTTTGGGGCCGGTGTTGGGCCGCCGGTGTTCAGCGGGAGGAGAGCCGACCCTTCAAGCGCAGCTCTCCAGGCGATGCCAGTGTAAATGCCAGGGCAATGTCCCGACGCAAGCAGGGGAACCCGCAGCACCTGTCCCAGAGAGAAATCACAGGTGAGTCTTTACAGACCTGTAAAGAGATCCCTGCTGGACATTTTTAGAGCTCGGATGATTTTATTTCTCCCTCTCTTTCTTCTCTGTCAGAGTTTTTTGCTCTCCTGGATCTTGGCGCGTTAAATCGTGTCTGCGCTCAGACTTCGTTTTTTTTTAATCATTTATCTTTAATTTTAATTCTAAATTACTCAACGTCTTATTTGAGGCGAATATTCCTCAAACAGACCGTTTTTACGACGGAGTGGACAATCAGAGTGGACAGAGTTTGACTCTGGACGGGGCAGACCTGCAGGACTTGCATTCTTTTTGTCTGACTTTGAATTAAATTAAATTAAATTAAACGATAAGCAGCGCTGACTGAAACTGTAGATGATAATAAAGGGTAATTATTATTATATTTCGTGAATTTAGTCGGAACTTTTTACACAATTTCAACCAAGGTGACATTTAAACAGTTTTCCCGTTTTCACATCAGGAAGAATTCATCTTCAGTTCTGATTTTATTTCAGATTTCACTTCAAATTCTTCTCATCCATGTTCTCATTTTATATCATTTATCATTAGTGAAACATTACCGTTTTAAATATTTATAGTCATGTAATACAAGTGCAATCACCAACTTCTTTTTTAACCTTTTAAATCCACGTTCGTGTGCACAGAGGTGCGGTTTGTGCATGTTTTCAACTTAGGTGTGTGAGTGTTATGTGTGTGTTTTCTTTTTAACTTTATTTTGTAGCGTCTTTTATTTAACATCGCAAAGACAGTGCAGAGGAATTTCGTTGTATAAACCTCTCACAATGATGATAAATATTCTATTCTATTCTAAAGAGACATCACACCTGCTGTAATTTGATTGAATTGAACACATTCATATTTCACATTAAAATTCAACAGTATCCTGATATAAAACCAAACATGTTTGATTTTATCCTCATCATCCTGCCTCTCTTTCTCTAACTTTCACTCTCTAGATAAACTTTCTTTAACCTGTAACAATGAATTTTCTTTTCTTTTTTTGCATGAAGTGTGTGTGTGTGTGTGATGACTGTTTTAATGTTAAACTGTATGTGTGTGTGTGTGTGTGTGTGTGTGTGTGTGTGTGTGTGTGTGTGTGTGCGTGTGTGTGTGTGTGTGTGTGCGCGCGCGCGTGTGTAGGTTTTAAAACCTGACAGTGAAGAGAGACAGAGCGGCATGACCAGCACTCTCACATGCACGGTTTCTCTGTTTTATTGTTTTTAATATTTCAAAGCTTTAGCTCACAGATGTTTTGTAAAATTTCTTCACACAGTCTATCAGAGTGAACATTTTAAATCATTTCAAAAGAAAAAGCTTTAAGAGAAAAACTAAAACTTAAGAAATACGACTGATTTAAACAGAAAAGAGCTGCTCCCCTCTTTTTTAAAACAGTTTATAGGGGAGACTGGGGGCAGTTTTGATGGGGAGGGTAATAGTAACACACCCAGTATCCTCAACAAGAAGCAGGTTAGCAGAAGCTGACGCTCACTCTGCACATGCTCAGTTAGATTTGTCTCTGCCTGCTTAAAGGGATTTGGATCACCTCACCACAGCAGAATTTTAAACAGAAAAGTGGTTTGGCGTTAGTGCAAGATTTTTCTGCTCTTTAAAGTTTAAATAACTTTGAGTTAGAAGCTAAATCAATTTCATCTTGAGGCTTGAAGACTGACATGATCGACCCATGCTCATGTTTGTATAAGTATTATCTAGTGTGTGACATATGATCATGCCTGCAGGTTAGGGGCAGCTGTAATGCAGAATTAAGATAAAAGTTTAAACTCAATAGTTAGCAATATTTTATGCAAAATAAAAGATTCAAATTCATACAACAACTGATGTCTAAAAAGAGTTCAACCATACTTCAAATGTATCGAAGAAACATTATACATCATGTATTAACCTCTATAGGTGTGCTTTAATGAGCGACACTGTGTGTAAATACAACATATTTCTCCGTTTTTACTTTTGCCTCAGTGAATAAAACACAAGATTAAACCGTTTTATCCTCATGAATTAAAACGGATCAATAGCATTCATAAATAGTTCACATTTTTATGTTTCTCTTATAAAATGATGAGAAGTGTGTTTCAACTAATCTGTGGCATGTGAGGGAACATGTAAAAAACTGCCACTGATGTTGATAACATTATTATTAGAATAACTGATTTAAATTCACTATTTGATGGATTCATTGACACATTCATGAATTCATGTCAAATCAGTAATTTTTATCTGTCAGTAAAATTATTCCTCTGCTTTCTCCTCAGGTTTTAGCTCATGCTTTCCAAACTTTAAAATATGCTCTGCAAATCAGACACAAAGAGGTCTGTCGGAAGTGTGTTTGTGTGAGGGGATGATGTGTGTGTTTGACAGACTGAGTGTCATTCTAATGAAGATTTTTATATGCAGTTTGAGATAACGTGCACACCTACGCATGTGTGCATGTGTATGTGCACGTCCTTGTGTGCATGAGTACTTCACTAACTTGCACACACAGTTTCAGCAGTTCTGAGCTCTGTCTTCCTCAAGGCCTGCATGCACGACATTGTTCTACCAACTTAAAGGAGCATGCCCACACAATGCAGACTCACAAACACACAGAGCACCACAGCACAGCTTCGCTCAGTGTGTGTGTTTATGTGTGTTTATGTGTGTGTGTTTGAGATGGGTAACATCTCTTGACGACTGCAGGTTATGGCGGCTTGTCTGCAGGCTGAGTTACATACCTGTGGAAGTGGGTCACACACTGCTCACTGTACGCCTTTACTCTAAACACATCCTGAACAGCACCCCCCCCCCCCCCCACACCCCACACACACACACGCTCAGCCCTGTGCAGAAAACACACAAGTGCAAACCATGACAGAGACACACATGTAGACGTGCAGAGAGAAAGAGAGTTGAAATGAAGATTATTAACAAGCTTAATTTTTTGTATTGTAACACAGCAGCTTAAACTTGTTTTTGTGTGTGTGTGTGTGTGTGTGAGAGAGAGAGAGAGAGAGAGAGAGAGAGAGAGAGAGCAGGTCTGACTTGTCTGTCTGTTTGATTTATTTCTGTGTTCAGGCTGCAGCTCAGAGCTCTACATGCCATCATTAATGTGTGAAAGAGGCTGCACATTTAATAAGCTTCACTACACACACACACACACACACACACACACACACACACACACACACACACACACACACACACACACACACACACACACACTTGCAGTCTTTTATATGCATGTAAGTTTGCATGTTCATATGTAAAAGTACACATGTGAGCGGCTTTCAAATGATGGTTCTGTGGAGCTGGTCCTCTTGTTCGTCTGTGTTTTGGTTTCATTTCCAAACCTCCTGCAGACTTGCAGCCTAGCGTCAGTTCTACCTGTCAGAGCTGAAACAGGGGCGGATTATTCTGCTGCTGTTGAGTCTCAGTTTCTGCTCCTTAGAGACAGAAGCCGTTTGAGAGATCAGGCCCGTTTCCAGGAGCTGAGGTCTCTAATTATTTAGGTTTACCAGGTTTGGTTAAATTTCAGGCTGTTTCGGATAGAGTTTGGTAAGATCTGTTCCTTTGGTTTAGTCTCCGCTTATTTTAATCACAGTCTGGAATAATGTGTGTGTTTTTGGGTGGGGTTTGGTTAAATTTGTGTCTTTTTGAATGTAGTTAGGTTGAATCTCTGGTTTTTAATCATGTGGTTTTTCTGTGGTGTGGTTCTCTTTATTAAGTTTGACATGATCTGTGAAAAATTGAGGTTTGGTTAAATTCCTGGTTGTATTTTTATCAAGTTTGGTAAAATCTGTGTATTTACTTAACCAAGATTAGTTTTAGTTGTGCTTTTTTTTAAACATGTTTAAGGACATCTGTGGTAGTTTGAATATGTTGTGAATGGAGTGGAGGTAAAATCAGTGAAGTTTGGTTGATTCTGTGGTTTTTTGGATGAAGCTCAGATAAATCTCTGGCTGGTTTGTTTAAATGTAAGTATTTTTGAGTGAAATTTGGTTTAATCTTGGCTATATTTCCAGATGCTTTTGAAAATGTTTGCTGACTTCTAATTTTGTAGGGACATTAGATTAAATTTGTGTTCTGATTATGTTTTAATGTAGTTTGTTTAAGGTTTGTGGTTTTTGGATGTTTCCGATGAAATGATGTAGAGTCTGTAAAATTTGGAGTCACGTTGGTTTAATCTTTGAGTCATACATGTAGACAGGTAACATTTCCAGTTGTTTTGTGGAAAAATCTGTATTATTTTTTTGTTGGGATTTGGTTGAATCTGTGTGTTTTAGGTAGTCACATAATGATTTAGAACACAATTTGGTTAAATCCTCAAATTTTAAAGTGAAGTTTAGTTTAATCAGAGTATTTTTCGGTGTTATTCAGCTATATTTCCAGTTGTTTTTGATCATGTTTGGCTGAATTTGTGTGTTTTGAATAAAGTGAGGTGAAATTTCTTGATATTTTAAATCCAGCCTCATCTTTGTATCCTTGTGTAACGCTTGGTTCAAAATATCTGTTTTTAATATATATTAGTGAATTTCTAGCAGTTTTGAATGCAGTTTGCTCAAATCGGTCTACTTTGGGGTATGTTTGGTTGAAACTGTGTGTTTTAAATGCAGTCCAGTTAAATTCTCAAGCCTTATGTGCAGTCTGGTAAATTCTGTATTTTTCTAAATCGGGTTTGGTGAGGCCTGCCAGCTCTCTAACTCTGCACAGTACGTTTGAGGATTTTTTGTTCTCCATCCTTTTTATTCTCTGATTTATCTTTTCCTTCTGTCCCTGTAATAAACATTTATTTATTCTTTAATTCTTTATCTGAATGTTAAGTTTTTCACATCTGTAAACTCTCCTGAGTCTGTGTGAACATTCACACCTGATCCTTAAACACTCACCTGAAGTCACACACGGTCATCATTGTTTTAGATACAACTGGTATGCTCCTGGGTGTGTGTGTGTGTGTGTGTGTACTTTTATTCTCTCGCCATCAGAGAGGGAATCAGAGTATACACACACACATGCACACAAAGATTTAAAGCACAAGAAGGTAGGTGTGTGTCTTCTCGCTCACTTTTCCCATTGGCTGTCAGAGCTGATCCTCCTGATGAGCGTAGTCTTTTTAACGCACACACACACACACACACACACACACACACACACACACACACACACACACACACACACACACACACACACACACACACACACACACTGTAGCGGTTATGGCTACACACACATTTTGACTCTCTCAACACACTTATGTAGTTATCATGGATATGAAGAAAGGAGCAGTCTTTGTGAAAGTGTGTTCACAATGAGCTCCAAAGCACTGTGATAAGTTTATTCCTTATTATTTATGGATCCTAAATGATTAATTAGCTCAATTAATATAAATATTGATTAATTATTGTGGTTAATGGAAACCATAGCATCTAACAGACAGTCTGAGAGACATTCTGGTTTTAAGACAGAACCAAATATCAGGGTTTGAATTAACGTAACATAAAGGAGAGACTCTGCAGTGTGGGTTTGAAGTGTGTGTGTTTGAGTGTACCAGCAGTGTGAGCATGCTTTAACACAAGACACACACAGCAAAAACACACACTTAAACTGTACACACACACATACAGACTGTACATCTCTCTCTCACTCTCTCATCCTGCTAGGGGGAGCTCTCAGTCTGTCAGTGCGGCTCTCTGTTAGTGTGTGTGTGTGTGTGTGTGTGTGTGTGTGTGTGTGTGTGTGTGTGTGTGTGCGTGTGCGCGCGCGTGTGTTTCTGTGAGTGTGTGTGTGTGGATTAAAGAGACCACATTCACCTCTTAGTGTCTGCACCTGCTTGTTCTGAGCTCCGCTGTCAGTTTTTTTTTTTTTTTTTTGCACTCTGCACCATAAACCTGTCAGTGTGTGTAAATGTGCGTGTGTGTGTTTATGTGTAAATAGAGTGAAGCAGTCTGTTCTTACTGTAAGTTTCTTGATTTAATTCAAATTTGAGTATCATATCATGTATTTAACTTTAAATTTTTATGTGTGTGCATATATCTACTATGTGTGTGTGCACCGTTAGTTTGTGTGTGTGTGTATCCATGGTTTGCATACAAGCCTGTAGTTTGTGTATTTATCCCTATTTATGTGTGCAGCTTTTACTGTATCTACCTCCAGTTTGTGTGTCTCACTTTTATTTGTGTTTACTCTTTTAATGCATATATGTGTATATATTAATGTCTGTATTTTTGTGTGTCTTAAAGTTTGTGTACTCTTAGTTCACCCTTTATTTCTGTATACATTATATATATATATATATATATATATATATATATATATATATATATATTTATGTATCCATAATTTGTGTTGGTTAATTTAGTTTGCATGTGTATTTTGTAGTTTGTGTGCATATTTGAAGTTTATTTGTGTATCGTTGTTTTGTGTGCATACCTTTACTTTATTTTTTAGTTATGTGTGTTTTTAAGTTCCTGTGAAGCGTTTTTTGATGTTTATTAGAAGTTGTTTGTTATTATTTTGTCTGTGTTACTTTAGTTTCTGTGCATGTATGTGTGTATCTTTTGTTTGTATGTCCCTTTCATTTGTGTGTCACTTCTTTTTGCATCTTTTATTTCACTGTCCTTTTATTTTTTGTGTGTATCATTTAATTACGTGCAAATCATAAGTTTGTGTTGCATCATTATTTGGTGTGTATACCTTTAGTTTGTTTGTGTATTTAATAAGTTCTGTGTCTATTTTCAGTTTATGTATGCATCTTTGCTTCGTTTGTGTATCTTTAGGTTAAAAGTGTATTTTTGTTTATCTTTATTTTGTGATTGTTTTTTATTTGATGTGTATATTTGAATAACTTTTGAGCTTTATCCTGAGTTTTTTTGTGTTTATTTTTTTAGGTTGTGCGTCTCTTTACTTAATGTGTCTGTCTTTGATTTGTATTTTGTGTTTGTGTATGATTATTGTGCAGGATAATCTTGATTTTGTATGTGTATTGAAGTGGTAAAAACGTTTAAAACCTGTTTTGTTCTGGTACTGCTTCATCAATCTTCTCTACCTTACCTATGGGAGTTCAGGTACAAAATAACCTACTGAGATGATTGACAGTTTCTTGCTGCTGTACCTTATAAACAAACAGATGAAATCCCATGTATCAGTTCAGATTAGATTATGTTGTTTCAATACAAATGCCAATCATCTGCATCTACTCTGATGAGACTCCATGTTCTTGGTCATGTGATTGATTTATAGGCAAACCCTCTCACCACATGTGGAGGCCGCAGACAGACTTAAAGGCAAATTAATGCAGAAAAAAAAACAAATGTGTAAAAATGATAAACTTGAATGCAGCTCCTACAGTGTGTGCAGCTTATGTTTTTTTCCGGAGGGAATTGAAAATCAGTTATTAAGAGGTTTTATATGCTTTTGATCAGGATAAGATAGGATAGATAATTTATTCATCTCATTGTTTCAGCAGCTTTAATCACAGTCAGACAAAAAATATCAAACTGTAAATATCACAGCCAAATTAAAAATTGGGACATCAGCAAAAGCAAGAAAAAGGAATTTACTAAAGCGAATCTGAGAAAGGTTGGTAGAAGATTTTCCATCCTTGATAAAATAAAGAAGTAAAATAAATATTCATTGTGTGAATTCAAGTTTGGAAATAATTAACAGAATTTAATGAAATAAAATTTGGGGGTATTTAATGTGTAAATGTGTGTATTTTATTTTGTAAGTTTTGTCTGTTTTGCACATAAAAATATTCTTAGCTGGTTTGTCCTCATCCTCTCTCTCTCTCGCTCTCTCTCGCTCTCTCTCTCTCTCTCTCTCTGCACGAATAAAGCTCACATAAACTTCATAGATCCACCTAAATAACGAGACATTAACCGATGGTGAATAAAGCTGGGATAAAAACAAATCTAAGAAGCAAACATGGAAAAAATATATTTAATAACACACAGCTGAGTTATGTGAAATCATTTTGGATCCCACTGCAATGAGGAAAATTCACATTTGGTTTCAGAAAATTGAAACACATTTTTATTAAAATCCCTTGAAAATAATTCAGAATTTCACTGCAATGATGCAAAAAACCTGGTATTGTTTCTTCTCTGTTATCCAAAAGAGAAACAATAAACAAATACATCATGACTGCATGAAAAATGTCTGATAAATCACCTTGAAGAACGAGACTTCAATGATATTGAATAATAATGATTATAAATATTAATGTTATTCATTTAAGCAGCCCTGTGATGAAACTGAGAGCTGTTACGTTGAAACAGTCCAACAGTGTCACAATCTTTGTCGGAGATGTGTACTACAGGTCGTCAAGGTGACGTGCAGGTGTGACCTGAAATTAGCTGAGGGTGCAGTGAAGGTGTAGGTGTTATGCAGGTGTGTAGCTACAGCAAGTTTAGCACATTTGTAATAATGTATAGGTGCAGCTGTAGCGAAAGTGTAGTTAAGGTGTATAAAGTTTGTAGCACAGGTACACTGCAAGTGTTGTGTAGTAAGGTTGTAGTGTATGTGTTGTGCAGGTGTAGAGAAGCTACAGCTGTGATATCAGCTCACCTGTGCGCAGAGAGGGTCAGAGGTCTTGGATCATGAAGTGACAATGAGCACTTCAGTGTGTGGAGGTCAAAGGTCATTTTGTGTGAGTGTGTGTGTGTTAGTGTGTAAGTGTGCACATGCGTGTGTTAGTAAGTGTGTGTGTGGCCTGCAGGCTACACCCATCTGGCCTTTGTTAGAATGGGCAACTCTGTAAAGTAGAGTGTACTTGTTTTGTGATATGACCTGGAACAAACACATGCAGACATAACGAACACGTTCACAAACACACACACATGCGCATGTGCGCGCGCACACACACACACACACACACACACACACACACACACACACACACACACACACATGCAGAAGCAGATTTTAAGTTGGTGAGATATGATTTGACAGATTTCAGATCCTCACACCTGCTGACACACACACACACACACACACACTCTAAAACACACTCCCTGTTACCATAGCAACAAATAAACATGTTAAATAGACAGATCATTGTATTCGATTTAGAGCACTTTGTCTGTTTCTTACTTTGTATGAATTCATGGCGAAGATGATGATGAAGATTATGACGATGAGAGTCTAACTTTTTCCCTTTATTTTCTCTTCTGATTGGACAGCAGAGGTTGAGCATCATGATGGCGGTCTGCTCTCAGACTGCCACCCTCCTCACCCTCTCATCCTACCCCCTCACCCACTGGACCCGAGTCTGGGCCACACACTCCCACCTGGCCTGCATGCTGACCACGACCTGCTGACATGCGGTCAGTGTCAGCTAAGCCTGCCACTGGGCGACATCCTCCTCTTCATTGAGCACAAGAAGAAGCAGTGCAGCTTGCCGCTCCTGCCCAATGGCTGCTATGACAAGATAAATGAGCGAGGAGGAGGGGGAGGAGGGAGCCCTGCCCACCATGGTTTGCATCACCACACTCAGAGGGTGGAGCTCAGGAAGGTGGTGGAACCTGTGGAAGTCGGCATCCAGGTGACGCCAGAGGAGGAGGAAGAGGGAGGAAGAAGAGGAGGAAATGGTGGAGGAAAGGTGGGAGGAGAGGGAGGAGAAAGGAGAGAGAGAACACCAATCAAAGGAATCTGCCCCAAACAGGAAAATCTGACAGGTATGCACACACACCTACACACAGCTACACACACAGCTCTAACCTCTGTGTGCAGCCAGATTAGTTTAGCATAAATACGAAACTATGTGTTTTTAAAGCTGGACATAAGGGGCTCTATTTTCGTGCCTTGCCGGAGACGTGCCACAGGCGCGGCGTAAGTCAGGTCCGTCGCGCCGACAAGGTGTTCCCAAGCACATTTTAGTATTTTGGTGAGCAACGCAGCCTGGTGTAAGTATCCCCCCTCCCTAACTCAGCTCCTCCCAGCGGCGTAAATCGTAGCGAGGGAGGAGAGAGGGCGTGAAGTGGGTTTAACACAGCCGAGACCTGTTTTCACCAATCACATAAGCTCCTCTCCTTGCCTTTAAATCCGCCACCGGCGAGGCGTATTACTATTTTCGTGAAGTAGTCAAAGAGATCAAGAGATGTCTGAAGACAGTAATGCCAGACGATGGCGACAGAAGGCAGCCCCTCAACAAGTGTCACTGTAAGCGCTGCATTGGGCGTCCTCCACACTCTCTCAAATGAGCACAGATGGATTTGGTGTGTGTAAGTTTGGACCCACTGGTAAGACAAACACCCTTTTCCACAAATAAAGACACTCACATAAAGTTGCATATGTTCAAACCTCACGTGACAAAGGTGGGTTGAGCGCACAATTCACCACATAAACTCCAAAAATGGCATTAAAATCGGAATAAATCGGAATAAATTTGGCTCACAAAACTGAATATTATAATATCTGTATGTCGGCTTAAAGTAAATAACTCATCTGCGCACTAAAACAAATCATCTGTTCAGCTGCAGCAGGACGGAGAGAGGACACAGAGACATGTCCAGGTCGAGCTGTGCGAGAAATAAGAGGAAGAGGAAGAAAGAAAGGGAGGGAGACAAATTAAATATCTTGTTAACTTCATCATGTGTGTCTATTTACTAGATATTTAATTTAATTTAATGTGGTTTCAGCTGTGTAGATTCGGTCAGGTTGTGTGTCCAAACGCGTGCCAAACGCACTCATCAGATCAGATATAGATCAGAATATATCTAAATAGATCTAAATGTATGTACTGACTCAGATTATTCGTTGTTGTTGATTATTTATTGCACTGAAATGTGCCTGACACTGTGGAAACCTGCCGGTGAGGCATCGGTGACGTATGCCGATACGCCAGCGGTCTACCAAAATACTACTAGACCAGCTGCGCTCCGCCTGCACTGAAAGCTGGCCAGGTTTGAATCGGCGAGCTTTCAGCGCACTTTACACGTCACTGGTGAGCACGAAAATGTCACTGCGCCCGCTGATTCTGTCGACACCTCCCCCTGCCACGCCACCACGCCCAGCTTGGCGGATCTCGGTTTGCCTCCTTGCGCCTCAGTCCACGAAAATACCAAACTGGCTGTACACCGGACTCCGCCAGATGAAAATACTGCGCGGGGTCTGCCACCCTCCGCCGCCTCACTGGCGTACACGAAAATAGAGCCCAAGAGGTGAAGTAAAACTCTGTTGGATTAATTCCTCTGTAAACTGTTCACCCACTCACTCTTTATGTGATCACCTAGGGTTAAACTCAGCTGCAGCTCAGAGCTCGACAGCAGGAACCTTCAGACAAGCAGCAGGGTTAAAAACCCATGGTCAAGTAGAAGACTCCTTACAGGTGAAAATACAGACAGAGCCGGTCTGTAGTTCGGAAAACAGAGATGGCGTTTGTTTGGAAGGGTGATAGGAGGACTCTTTGCAGTGGGCTAAGCATTGATAGCCACCTTTTTCAGCCCCTGTACAGCTTTTATTAAAACAACTGTTGTGATGTTTTGACCAAAGATTGATGATTTTTAGGGCTCTTTAAAAGGTTAATAGAGGTGGGCAACAGCTTACATATTAATATTATTAGTGGAGCATGTTACAATGACAGCATCGGTGCTCGCCCTACATTGGCTCCCTTGTTCTGCACACGCTCAGTGGAGAAGACCCATTCAGGCATTCAGGACAAATTAACAATAGACACAAAAACCAAATCTCAGATCTTCATACTCCTTTTCTTTGTTTTCATCACCATATCCTATTGTACTAAATATGGTCATTATGAATTAAATGATGTATCAATTGTTAGGTAATCAATAATTACATAGTAAAAACAGCTGTAAAACCTACAAGCATCAGCTACACACACCCAAACACTAAATATGACGACATGAGACTCCGTCAGGGGTGTCTCTATTAATCACCCTGCTGCTCTCATTTCAATATTAACATTTACTTTAATCATCAGAGCCAGACACAGGCATGCATATTCATAATACACACACACACATACACAAACGCGCACACACACACAAATATTCTCTGTGGGGACTGGGGACATGGACTTCCTTTATGGCAGAAACTGAAAAAATGAATTTACGATTTTGAAGAAAGTGAAAGGGTTAATAAGTCATTTTAAAATATGGATATTTCATTAGGCCAAGTTCTTTATTTTTTAGGGATTTGCATTTTGCACACAGGCTTTAAAGTCCAACAAGAAGACTTGTCCACAAATGGTTTGTTTTCTCGAGTATATGCTAGCTAATCTTACACTCATGTACATGTTTTTAATACTTTGTGAGGGCAATGTACTAAAACCTTTCATGTAGACTAATACTTAATGTGGCTGGACAGGTGGAGAAAATTGATTTACCACCAGAAGTGAGTGAGGAGTTTAAGTGTCATACTTAATTTAGGGCTGCAGAAACTCAAACATGCACTGAATTTTCTGGAGAAAAATCCAAAAAGCAAAACTGTCTTCAGAAGATTTTCTATCAAGGCTTGGTCCTCACAAGGACACAAAGACAAATACACACTAACATAGCTAGCCATGGTTGCTAACTAGAGCTTACCTGCAAACTAGTGTAAGTTGTGTGAAGGTGTTCCTGCAGTGTGAGCAGGCAGTGTGTGTGACCTGTGTTGTGTGTGTATGTGTGTGTTTGTAGGCTCATCTGCATAATGACTCTGTAGTTCTGCATTAATAACATTTGCATATGAAGCCGTGTTAATTACTGCTGATCAGCATGCTCTGCATTCATGCATGCTAATTCTCAGACACACGCCAAAATGGATGTCCTAACATCAGGGAGAAGACTGCTCTGTAAGTGTGTGTGTTTGTGTGTGTGTTTGTGGATTGATGGAGATGATGAAGGTGGTGGTGTGGTGGTCTGAAATTTGCTTCAACTGTAGAGAGTGAAGGGAGATGCTTTTCAGTGACTCCCTCTCTCTCTCTTTTTGGCAGGTGGCCATGTGTGGATCTATTGTTTACTTTCAGTTCTTCATTTCAGACTCTTATTTTCTCTCAGCTCTTCAGACTGAGCTGTTTGATCAGGACGGGTAGATTCAGTGTTTTATGAATGAGGTTCGGTTCTGACAGGAACACGTTTCTGGCTGTATTTGAAACATGTGACCATCAAAGACAGTATACAGTATGAACTGTACTAAATACTGCAGTAGAGGGGAGTATGTCTTTAGACTGTTTTGTCGGTTCTGTTTTGCACTGTGTTGATTCAGGCTCTGCTGGTTGTAAGCTTCTGTGAGTGAAAAAAGATCCTGGCAAATTAGATTAGATTTCAGTTTTGATTATGATTTTGGCCCTCTGTGTTCCTAAAAATATAATAACTAATATTGCTGTGTTGCCCATGTCCTCTATGTTGAATGAAGTGCATGCTCTTTCTTGGTTAACAGTAGCCTGGCCCCTCCCCTCAAACAGTTCACACTCCAAGTGATGATGCACCTGAACATTTTCTGCCGTAAAACAGAAAAAAAGAGAAATGTTTGAGCTGCGTGTTGATAAAAACAGTACAAAAGAAAGACTAATCTGCTGCAGATTAGGCTTTTGCTTGCATATCACATTCAAGGTTTTTAGTCAAATCAGTGCCTGCTACTTGTATGTAAAGCACTTTCAAATACAGGCTCTGTCTGTTTCTCTGACCACCCTGAGTAAAGCTGTCTCTGAAGGATGAAGTACAGGGGTTGATGTACAAAGAATAAACTGCTATTGCTTGTAAAATGAAGAATTGTGCATCGTTTGCCCTCGGTCCCTGCATCTACACCTGCAGAGTAAACTGTGCTAATCATATTCAAGAGCAAAAACATCTGCTCAATTCTGCAGCTCTGTGCAATTTGCTCCAGTTGTATTTTACCAAGATGAGCTGTCCGCATCTCTGTGAGCACTTCAGAGAGACATCTATTAGATATGATGATGCAGGCTTTGAATGTAAAGATGTGAAATCAGTGCCAGCCAATTGGCACAGTATTTGAGAAGTTTTAATATTCAAAAACATTTTTCTGTGAAAACCTGAATTTTTCTTCTCATGTTCCTCCGAGTGTTAAATTATTTTCTCAATTACTGAAAAGTTTGAGCATAATGCTTAAACAAACTATTGCACAGTTACCAGCAACTTGCAGCACTCTGTGTGCTGCTGTTTGTGAATCAGGTGTATCTGTTCTGAGGCTCATCTGTACAAAAAGGGACATGTTTTGTTCCTGGTAAATAGATAATGAAGAAAAGTATGTAGATGCTATTTGCTCTGCATAGCAGTTTGTGCATGCTTTGTGAATGAGGTTGTGGCTTTTTTTGCGCACAATCAGTAGTTGCAAAAGTTGCACAGTTCGGTTAATCATGCTCTCAGAGTTTTATGATAGAGGTCTGTTCTTGATGTTGAGTGAGGTGATGAGAGAGCTCAGTGGGTAAAGCCAGGAAATTAGGTACAGTGTAAGCAGAACAAATATTATGTAATGGCGTGTGTGAGCAACAGTTTGTTGTGTGTCACTTCCATTTATAAAGCAGACACACACACGCACATGCACACATAAGCTGCTCAGCCTCTCTACTCAACCTTTTTATACCCAGTCATGTTACTAACCTGTTGGAAATTAGTTGGAGATGTTCCTCCAGCTGTGTATTTTTTAGTATTACACAACTTTTTACCTGTTTGATTGTTCCTCTATAAGAACTTTAAACCTGTTTTGTTTTCCTTGTCACTACTTTTTGAAAATGTGTTGCTCACTTAAGTTTAGACTTGTTATACCTCAGATATCATTCATCACTGCTTTAAACTCACCTGATATAAACTCTGGCGCTCCTTAATGCTGTAGCTTCACTCCCTCTGTATCCAGGATCATACACACTCCTTGGCTCTCTTTCTCTCACACACACACAGTGAGTGTTGATGCTGTGGTTTGTACAGAGACACACCTGAGCTGTGTGAGTTTCTGTCTGTCCTCTCAGTGTTTCTGGGATTAGCAGACGTGTTTCTGCATCATGACCGCTCCTCTCCTCCACAATGAGCTGCTGCTGTTCAAATCGCCACTTAACCAAAGCTCATTTCTCACATGGGTAGCTGAGAGGGGTATTACGGGCCTGTATGTGTGTGTGTGTGTGTATGTGTGTGTGTGTGCAGCGTGAAGAGAGTTACAGAGGATTTAAACACTCATTACAACTAAAGCTCTGTGTGTCTGTGTGAAGGTGGAATGCTGAGGGTAACACACCTCACTGGACTGTTTCCTAAGGACTGTTACAGTAACTTTTCCCCCCTCACCACACACACACACACACACACACACTGCGTCCCTCTCTGCTGTGTGTCTGCTTCCTCTCACAGCCTTATAAGGTCTTCCAGCTCAGGCCAGCACTCCCATCCTTACCCCCCTCTAACCTCCGTCTGGTCTGGATCTGCTCCCTTCCTCGACCTGGACTGCCATCTCGGCATAAACAAACTGAGTCTGACCATAACACTGACACCACTGCTCCTTCATCACCCTTCTCCTCCTCCTCCTTCTCTCTCTGATCACATGACTCCTCTCCCTTATATTCAGTCGCTGAGATGAGGACACCAATCATGTTGGAGGACAGAATTAGTCAGTATGTCTGCATGATGCATCTGTGATCACTCTAATCTGCAGCTCTGAGGTCAGACTAACATACCCAGATATTGCAGGTGTTCAGTTCTCACTCAGACCCAAACTGGCCTCAGTGTTCTGCAAATGATCTACAGTTTGCACGCTTTGCTTTGACCCAGAAATCAAACAGCCCACACGTGCATAAGGAAGCTAAGTGGTAAACAAAACTTCAACAGGAGGAGAAGAAGAAGAAGAAGAAGATATTCATATTGCATGAATAATAGGGGCACAGACTGACTTTGGCTGATCGAGTCCCAGCAAATCTGTTGCACCCGCTCTGGTCTGAATGCATACTTTCAAACTCAGGGTGGTGGTGCAAAACCATTTTCCCCTGGGGATGATAAAAGTTGAATTCATTCACTCAAAGTTGTTCATGTTTTCACCGTGTCTTCAGTTTTATTTTACTTAAAAAAAAAACAATTAAAAAAAACGTAGCTTTTGGTCTTTCCAGTATTGTGCATATTTATAGAACTTATTTACTACAATATTTGATCTGTGCTCTTAGTTTAATGGCATTGTTTGGTTTGCACAAACCGGTGTGTTCCTTGGAATTGAAGATTGCATTTGATTGAAAAACTTAAGACCAGGTTTGTCCTGTAACCTTTTCCAGAACCTTGGGCTCTATTTTCATGTCTTGCCGGAGACGTGCCGCAGGCGCGGTGTGAGTCAGGTCCGCCGCGCCGACAAGGCGTCCCCAAGCACAATTTGGTATTTTGGTGAGCGGCGCAGCCCAGCGTAAGTATCCCCCCTCCCTAACTCAGCTCCTCCCAGCGGCGTAAATCGTAGCGAGGGAGGAGAGAGGGCGTGAAGTGGGTTTAACACAGCTGAGACCTGTTTTCACCAATCACATAAGCTCCTCTCCTTGCCTTTAAATCCGCCACAGGCGAGGCGTATTACCATTTGCGTGAAGTAGTCAAAGAGATCAAGAGATGTCTGAAGACAGTAATGCCACACGATGGCGACAGAAGGCAGCTCCTCAACAAGTGTCACTGTAAGCGCTGCATTGGGCGTCCTCCACACTCTCTCATATGAGCACAGACGGATTTGGTGTGTGTAATGTTGGACCCAGTGGTAAGACAAACACCCTTTTCCACAAATAAAGACACTCACATAAAGTTGCTCATATTCAAACCTCACGTGACAAAGGTGGGTTGTGCGCACAGATCACAACATTAACTCCAAAAATGGCATTAAAATTGGAACCATCTGTGCGTAAATGACGCATCGCGCTCCGTGGCCTGGCTCTTTCTTTCATACATGTTGGCATATAGAATAAATTTGCCTCACAAAACTGAATATTATAATATCCGTATGTTGGCTTAAAGTAGATAACGCATCTGAGCACTGAAACAAATCATCTGTTCAGCCGCAGCTTCAGCAGGACGGAGAGAGGACACAGAGACGTGTCCAGGTCGAGCTGTGCGAGAAATAAGAGGAAGCGGAAGAAAGAAAAGGAGGGAGACAAATTACATATCTAGTTAACTTCATCGTGTGTGTCTAGTTATTAGATATTTAATTTAATTTAATGCGATTTTAGCTGTGTTGATTCGGTCAGGTTGTGTGTCCAAACGCATGCCAAACGCGCTGATCAGATCATATATAGATCAGAATATATCTATACAGATCTAAATGTATGTGCTGACTCAGATTATTAGTTGTTGTTGATTAATTTTTGCACTGAAGTGTGCCTGACACTGTGGAAACCTGCTGGTGAGGCATCGGTGACGTATGCCGATACGCCGCTGGTCTACCAAAATACTACTAGACCAGCTGCGCTCCGCCTGCGCTGAAAGCTGACCAGGTTTGAATCGGCGAGCTTTCAGCGCACTTTACACGCCAGTGGCGAGCACGAAAATGTCACTGCGCCCGCTGATTCTGTTGACACCTCCCCCTGCCACGCCACCATGCCCAGCTTGGCGGATCTCGGTTCGCCTCCATGTTAGGATTCCTAACTCAAGAACAAAAAGTATCAGACGGTTAACTTGTAAAACTCTGTGCAAAAAGTGTACTGTGTTTGTTATTACAGCGAAGATTGTGAATCTGAAATTTCGAAAAAAAAGACATCATGATCTCATGGTTTCATGATCCACCTGAGTCCCAGTTGACTTGCAGACAGACTCTCATCCCTCAGTGTGATTGGATAAAAGCTCATAGACTCATCATGCATGATCCATAAAACTTTACAGTTAAACACATTAACAGGGATAAACAGAGTTATTGTTACAATAAATAATGAGGCTGACTGTGTTTGTTCCCTCACAGTTCGATCCGCACACACACTCAAATCCCAAGGTCTGTTTGTGTGTGTGTGTGTGTGTGTGTGTGGTGTCCAGGATTATAGGGACAACAAGCAGGGGTTTGTGGAGGACAAGAGCTCCTTTCTGCCAACACACATTAATTCATGTACATTGTTCACACGCACAAGCACGCATGCACGCACAAGCACGCACACACACACACACACACACACACACACACACACACACACACACACACACACACACACACACACACACACTCCTAAGGTGCAGCGGTGCAGGCCAGTGTGTGGGATTAGCTGGTACGCTCTGGCACTCTCTCCTGGTAATCCTTCTAATTTGTTAACAGGACACACACACACACACACACACACACACACACACACACACACACACACACACACACACACACACACACACACACACACACACACACACACACACTCCTGCACTGACTCCTAAACCCTCTCATTCTGCTCGGCTGTAACACGTTATAGAAAATGATATATTTATTTAATTGTATCAGAGCAAAATCCAAATACAGGCTGAAATGTATTTTAAAAACTGAACCCTTAGAAAGATGTGGCCGTGACAGTTCATTTTGCTGCTTTGCATGGCCTCTGCGTAATGTCATTTCAGTGCGGCTCTGTGTTATCTGTGCACCTGTGACATTGGGTCTGTTATGTGTAACACACAAAGGTGTAACGGTGGGTGAAGTTGCCTCTCTCATGGGTAGGAACAGGAGTGAAAGGGGTGAAGATGTGTAGTGTTCGATTTCATTTGGATTTTGAATTCATTTGAGCAGGCTGGTCATTTTCAGCACCATTTAAGACCAGTGTTTCTGCTTGTGTCTTTTAGAGAAGGGATTTTTGCATCCGAAAAAAAAATCTGCCAAAAAATGAACTGCAGCTTCTGCAACCTCTTTTTAAGGAAAGTTGCAGATTTCATTATTTCTTTCATGAAGTTTCTTTTCAAGCGCCTTGCAATCACCCTTAAGAGGAAACAAACAAGTGAAGCCTGAAGAATCCAAAGATCTCCTGTAAGAATAAGAACTTAATTTATCCCCAAAGGGAAATTCAATAGGTAGGTCAAAGAGGCACAGACACAACAGTGCTTCAACTCATTTTGTCACCAGCTCCATTGCTTTAAACAACCGCAATAATATATGAAGTAAAACACTTGGTTGCATATCTGGCAGAGGCAGAATCGATACAAATTATCGAACCTGCAATCAGTGCTATAACTGCATGGTCTTATTTTATCTATGCATGCATTCTCATGTACTTCAGTGTGTGAACGGAGGCCTCTCTGTGTGAACTGCTGTAACTCTCTGTTGGGCTGTGCAGGATTGCAGCAGAGTTGAACCTCTCCATTATTAAGCTCCTGATCCCTCAGAAAAGATGATGGAGACAGTCCAGTTCTCACCTATAAGTGTTTCCACTGATCTATGATTATTACTGGAGTGCATTTGGCTATATTTGGAGTTTGCAGTAAAACAGATAAAATACTTAATAAAGACCAAGCAGGGTTAAACCGCTGAATGTTGCGAAACATGCACTAACTGGTTTGAACACAGTTACTTCTGTAAACCTCTTTTGTCATCAGTACTGCTGCACATGTGCAGCTCTCCACAAAGGAATAGGGAGAGTTCACCTGCAAGCTTCATTCTATATTTGCTGTTCAGTTGGATTCATGTATACTGGTCAGGTTGGGGCTGCATACCTGCGTTCGTGGGAATGTTTCAGAGATGTGATGATGGGAAATTACTACAGTGTTTCAGATTTTATTATTCAGATTTTATTGGGTCAGATCTTATTCTTATTATTTGGGTTTACAGCTTCAAGCACTGCATTAGGTCATGATTACTATATTCAAGCATGAGCATAAAGTGACAGGAAGATGGCGGCCATTGGATTATGATCTATGCATGGTTCTGCTGGGGGCAGCAGTTGGAGGTCACAATGAGCTTGTTTTGGGGCAACAGCTGCACTACAGACACAGAGACTGAATGCTTTATACTAGGACATTATTTCCTCTTTGGATAGAACCAACAGATCAGTGAAAGTCAATACATGGAGAATTCCCAAACTTGCAAAATTGTAACACCCATATCTCTGCAAACCTGCAACCCTGAGCATGTTTTCTGCTTCTGGACTGAGACCAGGGTACAGTCCTGACTTACACCATGTGGACATGCACATTTTTTTCTGAAAAAGAGCAGGCATGCAGAAAACTGCAATGGCCTGAAAACTGGACATTGTGCAGCTGAAAAAATTTTTTTTTCTTCAGTATTCTGTTTGCACATTAAGGAGTTTTAGCCTCGCTCCATCTGCAGAGGTCATTTAAGAGCCTGCTCTGCATGTGGATACTTGGTGTGTTGAATGATTTGTAAATCTCTGTATGTGCTGTAGCTTCGCAACACTGTCAGTTATACCCATGATGTCTTTGTGATATCTATGATTCAGGAAGAAAATGCGTTTGATGTAACCTTTGTCAAAGTAAAAATCTTTTTTTTAGTATATTTTTAGGCTTTATTAACAGAGGGCAGCAGAAATGGGGGCAAGTGGGCAACAGCTTGCAGGAGTAGGGTCTCAGGGTTGAATCACTCAGATGCTCTTACACCACTAGGTTGTTGGCACCCTGGGAAAATCGGAATCATCTCAAGAGTGTTTCTCACCATCTGTCTCATCATCTGCATGTGGACAGATTTGAGCACTGTCAGGATGAGAGTGCACAGCACAGCTCTGAGCAGCTGAGAGAGGTGATACTGGCAGCTTATCAGAACAATCAGCTGTAAGATAGAAGCAAACAGCACAGAGCTGCAAAACTTTGTGGGTAGGATTGTACTCCAGTATTATATGTGCAGTATGCTTTGTGGTTTAAATGGTGCAGATAGCGAGACAACAGATGCACAATTTGAGGTGCTAAAACCTATCCTTGGTGAATCCCCCCCCTCAGTGTTTGCAGGAAATTAGATGACAGTTTGATTTCTGTGTGAGCGTGTGAGAAATGATATACCTCGTAAATGATTTATCCTCTCTATACTGCTGGTGTGTGTGTGTGTGTGTGTGTGTGTGTGTGTGTGTGTGTGTGTGTGTGTGTGTGTGTGTGTGTGTGTGTGTGTGTGTGTGTGTGTGTGATAGAGAAAGAGAGAGAGGGAGGGAGAGAGAGAGAGAGAGAGAGAGAGAGAGAGAGTGTGTGCATGTGTGTGTTCCTTTTTAAGAAATGTAAAAACAGACACATCTTTATTATCCTCAGCAGGCAGCACTCGCTCCTCTCACATTCATCCAAACAGGCTGCTGCCAGAGTGTGTGTGAGTGTGTAAGCGGGTGTTTTTGTATGTGTCTGTGTGTGTGAGTGTCTGTTTGTGTGTGTGAACAAATGTGAGCCAAACAAAACACCTTCAGAGGGCAGAGCTGAAAAAAAAAGAAGAGAGAGAGGTTGTATGAATGAACACAGGTTTTATTGTTTTGAGGTTTTAGCAGATATTTTCTGTCTGTATTTTAAATTGTTGTTTGTTGGGTTTGTTCTCATCAGTTATCTCTCAGTTTAAAATCCTAAAATGAAATAAAAAAAAAAACTCCTTTACAATGTCTGATTAGCTTTCTGAAAATGTTTACAAACATACCTGAACAGGATCAACAAATACCGTGTTGCAAGTTAAACTGTGAAGCAAAGTGATTCAGGACCCATGCAGTGATTTCCACTACAGAGTCCCGTCTGTTATTAATGCAGTGCTACCTGAGGGCCTGAAGATCAGGACCATCCAGTAATGGTCCTGTAGATGATCCATGTAGAGGCACCTTACTATATTGATATGTGGATCAAGTGTCATAAATAATACTCAGATTTTTTCAGACAGCTTTGCATGGATCATTTTTCTTACAGAGAGGTGTTTGATTCTTAAAGGCTGTGCAGGGTGGAAGATGTTAGAGACAGACAGTGAACTAGTCAAGCATGCCCCCCTTACACAAAGACACACACACACACACACACACACACACACACACACACACACACACGCTTAATGTAACCACATGTACAGTAGGTCATAATTTAAACAGTGTGTACTAGACAGAAAAAAGGAGAAAAGGTTTTTTCTCTCACCCCCTTCTTCACACACTCTCAGACACGCACACACACTGTCTATTAAACATGGTCAGTCTTTCTCTCTCTCTCTCTCTCTCTCTTTCACACACACACACACACACACACACACACACACACACACACACACACACACACACACACACACACACACACACAGTATTGTAGTGAATAATGCGCAGATTAAATAGAGTCGTATATTAAAGTACAGCTGACATTAGAATTAGCATAATGTGCTCTCGCCTCAGGCTCCATGCTTTATTTGCCATCTGCGCTGGACTGCCTTCCCCTGGGAGGTCGCACACTCACACACACAAACACACACACTTGCAAACACACACAAATGCACACCAACGTAAAATAAAGCCCTCACTCCTCACATGGTGGACAGAGAGAAATATTTTGCTGCAGGAATATAACAACGCCCTGAAAACTTAACCCTGACCTGTTCCTTACACACACACACACACACACACACACACACACACACACACACACACACACACACACACACACACACACACACACACACACACACACACACACACACACACACACACACACACACACACACACACACACACACGCACATACAATGTTAATTGTGTGGGCACAAATGAATGTCTTTCTTCTCAGTAACCTAAGGCATTCAACTAAAAGAGAGAATACACACACTCTCACTCTTTTCTTACTTCTGGATTGATGTGTAGAGTGAGCAAAAAAGGAAGGGTGAGGAGGGGTGTTTTTGTAAAGTAAAGAGACTCCGTAAAATGGCTTTTTTCTCTAAGAGAGGTTGATGAGACTGACAAGCTTTGTGTGTGAGCGTGTTGTTTTTGTGCACTTTTAAGGACTATTCTTCTTGCACAGCCTATCTTTCAGGGACAATTTTTTTGGGGTGGATATTTTGCAATGTTTGCACAAATTCCTTTTTTTAATGATTCCCTTTAGCCTCTATCTTGTTGGTATGTATTTTGAAGTGACATTTTATCTCTCAACTCCCTTCTCATGGTATTATAGTATTTTTGTGTCATGCCAGCTACATGAAAACTGTAGTTCACACAAAGAATGTACATTTAGCTGTTTGATCCCAGCTCCTCCAGTCACAAGCTTAAGTCTGTTTGAGTGAGACACCGAACATTGTATATATATTTTATTAAGATTAATTATATAAATTTTTTTTTCCTTCAAAAATGTCTGTGCTCGCAGACATGGATTAAAAACCCAATTCAAAACTGAATCTGAAACATAAACTTCTTTTGTTTCTATTTAAGGTATTTTATAATTCACACCTTAAACTTTTGCAGTATCAAGTACAATCCATGTAAACTTAATGCTTGTATGTGTACAGGTTTCTCTTTAGCAGGGTCCTGCCAACAAAAAAAAACATCAGAATGCTCATTAACACAGAAAATGTCTTTTTCCCTCAATAATCTCTGACAGCAGAATGTGTGCCACATGTTCTAATGCTGTTCTACCTGGTTTAAATGTCCTAATGAAGTTACTGATTGTGTATCTGTTTTCATTTCTGGATTTCAGGCGGCAGAGATGAGCCTTCCAGCTACATCTGCACCACCTGTAAGCAGCCATTCCCCAGCGCCTGGTTCCTGCTGCAGCACGCTCAGAACACACACGGTATTCGCATCTACCTGGAATCCAACCCCTCCAGCACCGCCCTTACCCCTCGCATCGCTATGCCTCCCCCCATGGGCAGCGACTCTATTCCACAGTCTCCCCTTACCAACTTCCTGGGAGACAGCAACCCCTTCCACCTCCTGAGGATGACGGGCCCCTTGCTCCGAGAGCCCCCTCCAGGTTTTGTGGAGAACCGCCTCCAGAACACACCTCCTTTTGTCAGCCCGCCTCCTCGACACCACCTGGACCCCCACCGGCTGGAACGGCTCAGCGCAGAGGAAATGGGCCTCATCTCCCAGCACCCCAGTGCCTTTGAGAGGGTGATGCGGTTGACGCCCATGGCCATGGAGTCCCAGTCGATGGACTTTTCCAGACGGCTACGAGAGCTGGCAGGCAACACCAACAGCACCACCCCACCACTGTCACCCAGCAGGGCCAACCCTATGCACCGACTACTCAACCCTAACCCCTTTCAACCCGGGCAAAAATCACCCTTTCTGACCACGCCTCCATTACCACCAATGCCCCCGAACAGCACTACCCCTCCCCAGAACCAGAACAAGGTCAAGTCCTGTGAGTTCTGTGGAAAAACCTTCAAGTTCCAGAGCAACTTGGTGGTGCACCGGCGCAGCCATACCGGAGAAAAACCATACAAGTGCCAGCTGTGTGACCACGCCTGCTCTCAGGCCAGCAAACTGAAGAGACACATGAAGACACACATGCACAAAGCTGGCTCTTTAACAGGGAGGTCCGATGATGGACTATCCACCACGAGCTCCCCGGAGCCAGGAACAAGTGATGTCACAGGGGAGGGCATGAAGAACCGTGATGGGGACTTCCACGGGGAAGGCAATGAGGAGGAAGAGGAGGAGGAGGAGGAGGAAGAACTGGAGAACGAGAGTCGACCAGAATCCAACTTTAGCATGGAGTCTGAGTTCTACAGGAACAGGGAGAATGGATCTAAACCACATTCGGAGGAGAAGTCCTCATTCAACCTGGATAAGATGGTGGACGGTGCAGGACTCAACTCAATACAACAGTACAATAACTTGATCGTTGACAATCGGAAACAGATGCCCTTCTCAAAGAGGTGCTCTGATGGCCAGCGGGACACCGGGGATGAGGACTCAGTGGCCGGGGAGATGGACCACCACCAGCCAGAGGAGAGGACAACCATTAATGGCAGGAATTGTGGCTCCGGTGACTCTTTCTCAGGCCTGTTTCCTCGTAAACCCACACCTATCACCAGCCCCAGCCTGTCCAATTCCTCCAATAAGAGGATCAAGATTGAGAAGGACTTGGACATTCCCCCTGCCACCCATATTCCCTCTGAGAACGTGTACTCCCAGTGGTTAGTGGGTTATGCTGCCTCACGCCACTTCATCAAGGACCCTTTTCTCGGCTTCACTGACTCCAGACAATCGCCCTTCGCCACTTCCTCAGAGCACTCATCTGAGAACGGCAGCCTGCGGTTCTCCACACCTCCTGGAGACTTGTTGGATGGCGGGCTATCAGGTCGCAGCGGTACCGCTAGTGGAGGCAGCACACCTCACCTGAGTGGAAGTGGCGGTCCTGGTCGACCTAGCTCTAAGGACAGCAGGAGGTGTGACACCTGTGAGTACTGTGGTAAGGTGTTCAAGAACTGTAGCAACCTGACAGTGCACCGGCGCAGCCACACCGGAGAACGGCCCTATAAGTGTGAGCTGTGCAACTACGCCTGCGCTCAGAGCTCCAAGCTCACGCGCCACATGAAGACTCACGGCCAGCTGGGTAAGGAGGTGTATCGCTGTGACATTTGCCAAATGCCATTCAGCGTGTACAGCACTCTAGAAAAACACATGAAAAAGTGGCACGGAGAACATTTGATGACCAATGAGGTCAAAATCGAACAAGCAGAGAGAACCTGAACCCTGTTCCCAAATGTCACACTGACTTAATAGTGAACTCAACAGGGAGCTGGAAACTCTTTTTCTGAAATGTTAATTTAGTTTTTTGTGTTTTTTAAAAAACTGCCAACTGAGAACAAAAAGTGGAGACACCGTCCTAACGCCGAGTGAAGCTGTCTAACTGCCTCATTTGGAGTTCCTTTTGAAACAATCAGTCAGTTGAGTTTGAACATATGTGGAGCCTTTAACTGTGCAATAATTTATGTATTTATTGGATTTTGTATTTTGGCATGTGCAGGTATGTTTTTATTTAGGCATTTTTTAAAAGTTGTTTGATTTAATTTTGCGTTACTCTGTTTTTTAAAAATCCCACATGATATCCTGAGAGTTTTGTAGGAGACTAAAGTCCATTTTCAGTCTGAAATCTTTTTGGCCGCTGCTTGTAGGAAATTGTACATTAAGCTAAATGTGAGATTTGTCAAAGAGGAGCTTAGTTCAATCTGACGTGGCGTTAACTGAGAACGCTAGAATTAGATTATTTTGTGTGATGACGAAACGCGGACAACAATCCTTTGGCTCTGTAGCATGAACAGACTTTAAACATGTCAATTAAATTGGATATGTAGCACTGAGTGTCAGATGTGACAGTAAATGTAAAAAACAAGAGGATCCCAAGGTGTTTATGCCCCGCCTCCTCCTGTGACATCACAACCAGCCTGAAGACAGACAAACATTTTTTTAAACATAAGGCAGCTGCTGCTGGGAAAAAGTACCACAACCCAACAACGCTACTTTGAACATCTAAAAAATACACCCTCCAAACGCCTGAACACACACCCTCCAAACACCTGAACAGACACCCTCCAAACACCTGAACAGACACCCTCCAAACACCTGAACAGACATCCTCCAAACACCTACACATACACCCTCTTTACACCTTAACATACACCCTACAAAAACCTGAACACTCTCCCACCTAACACTTGAACACACTGACCTATGTCTGAATCTATTTTTCTTTTTTTTTTTATTTAAATGTGGTGATCTCGTGCACTGACTCTTATCTCACTCTTATCTCATTTCCTTTCTAGTTTTGTTGGATCAGTCTTTTTACCCAATCAGCATTGACCTTTGTCAGAACCTGACTGTAATGACACAACAGTGTTTGACCTGCACACCTTAAATCCTGTAGGTCATCTCACACTCACACTGTCTCTTTATTAAATGCTCATAGTGTGTGGTTCAAGCTGAACTTACACCAGTTGAGACTTTTAACCTGTGGAGGAGACACAAACTAACAAGACTTTGACCCTCCAGTTATCTGTTTCAGAACTCTGAATCTGTCGACATTGAAATTAGCGAAACTCTAAGTTTTATGTATCATGGCAGTAACTCAGACCAGAGAAAGACGAGGAACTCAAGCCCGTTTCAGAAGGACAAGTTACTGGAGCTGCAAACCTAACTCAGTCCAGAGCAGGTTCCTCTTCCATTTTTCTTTCCACAGAGCCAGTCTCGTTTCTGTTTTTGCATTCATTCATTCATGAAGTCAGTATCACTCACATATTCACAGTAATTCAGCTTTCTTTTAATCAAAAACCTGCTGCATTTGTAAAGTCTGTTGACAATACTAGTCTATGCATTATACTTTATAACAGTGCATGGCATTGAATCTTAAAACCTGTATTTTAGGGACATGTTCAGATACCCACCTATTTAAGCATTTTTCTTATCAAGCCTCATGTCCCCAACTTAACTTTTACTTCCCATCAGACTGTATTTTGTTGTTATATCCATATTTTTAATTCACAGCTGCTTCAAAGTTTACATTTAAATGAAAATACATATCAGGTTCAGTACCATGTTATAAGTTTTATACGTTATATGATAGTATGATATGGTCAAATTTTAATCTGGCTAATTAAACCATAAACTTACATGTTGCAGCAGCTCCCTTTCCTGCTATATCTCTCTTTCTTTCTAAAATTATGCTCAAATTTGCTTCATGCGTGCATGAGGACTTTCTGATGCCACAGGAGTAAAGTAGATAGACCTGTCATTTTATATTTTCGTATTTAATATCCAGACTTCATTAATGTCGTCTCTATAAAGTCTCAAGTGTGAGTGAACCCACTCAAAGATGATCGAACTAACTCAAATCAGAGTTTCCAGTTTGAGGTTAGCCCAGAGTTAGCTGGGTTGGCTGCACTGATTTATTTATTTATGGTTAATTAAATTTATCTGAAAGCAGTCCCATTTTACCATAAAGAAAAAATGATTTAGGATTTTAGTCTCCCCTTAAAACCAGACATATCTGAGAGGAAGATGATTCAGTGAGAGCAGAGAACTCCTAACCGGGTTGAAGTGAAAGTTACATTGTGATTGAGTCAGGAATGAGAAATTCCTCCAGATCAGGTTTGTGCTGAAGAGAGGAGACATTGAAGTGCAGGTTCAGATTTTAGTGTCTGTGAAATAAAAAAATTGTCTGATCAAATAATGACAGCCAATCACTATGTTTATTTCAGAAAAAAATGATGAGGACGTTTTATTTCAAAATTCAGTAGGAGTTGAAGGAATGATGATTGATGCTGTTACTGTGGTAACATGGATTAAAAACCAGAGTTAGTCGACATGTTTGGTGTCAAATGTTTCAGATAATTTTGTTATTTATCTGATAGAGACTTCCATTAAACTAAAATGTGCAAACACTGTCTTTTTATTTTCAATATCAAGACTCCATTCATATTCATCCTCAATTTTCATTTTAGATCTGATTTTTCTGAGCGTCACATCTGCACTTGGTGATTTATCTGTTCAACACACTCACACATACACACACACACTTACAGAGGGTGTATATCTTGGGATCTCGGACGCTGAAGCACTCAGGGCTGTTCGGCAAGGCTTTCCCGATGGTGGCACTATAAAAGTAAATTATTAATAATGATATTAACGTTGATATTTATTCAGGACAGTTTTGTACTGCCATTGGATTAGACATGAGTGTGCCTTGAATTATGATCTTCCTATTTATTGTCAGAGACAAATGCAACACTTTTTATGAAGCATCAAATGAGAGGAGAGTAAACTACGTTGTGATTTGACATTTGAATAATTTAAATGATCGTAAGCGCTGAGTTTAGGTTTAGGAGCAGCCAGCACAATCTCTATGTGTCTGTGTGTATATATGTATGCATATGTACATATAAAGGCACAAACCTATTTATGAATAAATTATATGAGAATTCTCCCTCGGAAGGACATGCGTCTGTCCCCAATAGAAAAGTCCAGAGAGGACAATAAGCCACACAAGCGTCCACACAGAGACAAAAATCAGGAGATGAAAAAAGGATTGAGTGCATTCTGTCTTTAATAAGTTTACAGTATTGAAACAAGTACAAGGGTAAAATAATATCTGTGTGTATGTGTGTTTTAAACAGACAAGTATTTTTTTCAGGTTTGCTTCTAAAGTTTCTCTGAACGCCCGCCATTGTGGTGGTCGATCGATCGATGTGTAAATCTTTTCTTTTCTTTTCCTTTTGGTGACGGGGTTTTAGTATATATAAATATATATGAATATATATGACATTTCTCTTGTTTACTGTAAAGTATACCAGTATTTGTAATATTGGAGAATGCCTGGGCATTTTACAGAACTAGAAAAAGGTTGTTTTTTTATCTTTTCTTTTGCAGTTTTGAATCGTGGGTCTGAAAATGTTTTTGTCACTGTAACTGTAAAAGTCTTCAGTTTTAGTAACTTTGATTCTGCCTTGGGTGTGATGAAATAAAAAATAAAAAGAAACCCTTTCAAAATGAGTCGGCTTTAACACTGCTGGATGTGATGATGCTGATGGATGATGGTGGTGACGGTCTGTTTTTCTGATGCTGTCTTCTTCAGGGTCATTAAATCATAAGTCTTTTCATTTGCACCGTGTGCAGGAGTGACGATGCAGGTGGACCTGACGACCTGATGAAGCTCTTATCATGAGTCTGACTGCAGACAGATTTTAATGTTTAACTCGCTCCACACATATAAACATAGAGTACAAATGACCAGTGTTGTCTTCACATGAAAAGTGAGCTGAATCAAAGTTCAATTGACACAAATCAAAATGAATTAGTTTGTGCTCAAAGTTTTTTTATTTATTTTTATTTGAACTAAATTGTGGCTTATTTTATTTCTCTTGCACCTAAATTCACCATCATCAGACAGTGACATTTCCTAAACTAAATGGATTGTTAAACTCTCCTGTAGAAACATGATCAGATTTAGTTTAAAAGCCAAGAAACTTTTACTTCAGTGTGTTTTACTCATTATACATTAGAAAAATCTGCAGCTTTAAGACTTTTCATGCACATTTACATCATTTCTTTGCAGAACATTTGCCTAAAAATTTAAACTTTTACCCAAAAACAAGAGGAAGAGATTCTCGGTTGTTGAGGATAAAGGGGAGATGGTTTTGGGTTAAAAATATTGAACATTCAAACAGAAAAAGTGAGTGATCCTCCATTCTTTAAAAGCCTCTCTAGAGCCATGCAGGATTTCAGCCTGCCAAGTTCCTTCCAGATTTGTTCATTAAACTCCCCCAAATAATCAACAGAGCTGCTTCATTATCACAACAACTACATCTGCTTGAGGCTTAAAGCTGAAAGTGCAGGGTGCCGTAAATCTGACCTCTGCTGCTGTAACTCACAGAGCTTGGTGATCGTCAGACATCTCAGACCCTCCCAGAATATTAGTGGCTGTTCACTGTCTCCAGAGTGAACCACGCTCCCAACAGACTTCGGTCACAGACTGAGAAGATGACATGATGCATTTCTTACTGTGTGTCAGATAATGTATCATGGTCTTAAAATCCTCTGTTCACAGACTCATTTAATCTGGACCGAGTATCAATAGAGACAGCATCAGCAGCAGTCTTTTGAGATATGATGACTTTCTAACAAGTAAATGTTGATTTATGACTTAGTCACACAACAGTACAGTGGCCAACAATGTTCTGCTTTTGAAAAACCCAGATAAACTCAAGAAATAAAACACAGAACAAGTTCAGTTAAAGATTTTTTACTGTCAGAGAGAAGAGGAAAACCTGCTCCTGAAATAATCTGACACACAGTTTCATCATCACTCTGATAGATGTAATTCTTTCATATTTTAGTCCCTATTTCTCTGTAAGTTAATTTTTGTTGAATCTAGATCCACATAAACCAGAGGAGGGAGCTCAGAGTCTGACGGAAATTAAAAAAAAATGTGACAGGGTATTTCAGGAACCTTGAACCAAATTTAGAGTAATTAGAGCCGTTACATTGTGCAGCACTGTGCACTGGGAGTTAAATGAGTTTATGCATAAAAAAAAAAACCTGAACAGAACTGCGTATAGGTAATGAAAGTGTATGTGTGTGTGATCAGGAAGACTTACACCTCAACATCAATGCTGCCCCTGCATGCCATTATTACTCACGAACTCCTCACCTGATAGAGCAGCAGGTGAAGGTCATTAGCCAGGTAACTAGAAACAACTGCTTTTGCAGATCATTGAAGACATGAAGTTAATTGGAAACAAGACAACAAATAAAATAAAATGCTTTCGTTTGACAGAAAATACACACTTATTTTTAAAAGATGTATGATAAAAAAATGTGAAACGGACAACCAAATGAGAGACAGTGCTTTATGTTTAGAATCCAGTACCAATGGCTGAATGGTTAAGTCCTGGTTGAGCAGTAAAAAGTTTTCTGCCATCCATGACTTATCTAAAATACATTTAAAAAGAGTATCAATCGATCCTGGGTTAGGGTTACCAGGAGACACAGCAATAAAGAGCTGTGTGTCATCTGCATAGCTATGGAAGTTGATGCTGCGTCTCCTCATGACATTTTCAAGTGGTAACACATAAAGATCAAAAAGTGTAGCACCTAAAATTAAACTCTTGGGGACACCACAATTCATTTTGTGATGTCTAGATGAGAATTCACTTTGAAATGTGCACTTCAGGCTGCCGGTTGTAATGGCAATTCCCTATAATCAGGGTTGTCGTGTATTAGAATTAATGCGGTAAATCATTGACACCTTTGATTAAGTTGCATCATATAGTCATGAATCAAAGATGTGTTTGTATTCTTGACATGTGAAAAAGATGACAGGCTTGGGTCTGAAGAGATGTACGTGTTGTAGTCAGTGTACAGGAGGAAAATCCTGGACCTGGCTCAACATGAGCTAACTGACTGTTAGCTACACGCCTTTGTTCCTGTTTACATCTGCTGCTCAAAGACTCATTGCCGTTTTCAAATATTCATCATTTCCTCCATAATCACACACACACGTCTGTGTTTTGTTTTTCTCTGAATGAGCCATGTGATTCCTGCTCCAACTTCTCTCTGTTCTCCTCCTTGGTGTGACTGTGAGCGCAGACAGCAGGCGACTTCTTTAAAAGCAGAGAAGAAGAAGCTGTGAAGGCGAGCTGAAGAGGTGCGTGGCGTCTTTTTGATATTCAGATTGGCTGCCTACACGCGGCATTATGACACATTTGGATGATCGCATTGTAGGATTAACGGCCCGTCTTGTCATTTTCAACAACAATGCCACGATTTAGGGATGCTACTCCTCACACGGTGCTCGCATTAACGCCCGGCCCGCAGATTTACATAAATCTTTGTCTTAAGATGAAAGCCAAGCGCGCTCAGAGACAATGAAGTTAAGCTTCAGAGAGGAAGAGGAAGGAGAGCCTTCACCGGGCGAGGAGGAAGAAGAAGAGGGGATGAAGAGATGGAGGGGGGGAGAAAAGTTTGAGGATAAATCAACCAGTAGTCAAGAAGAATTAAAGTCCTCCCCTTCCCCCATCAGCCTCGTCTCTGGATTCATTATAATAAAATAAAAACAAGAGGAGAGGAGAGGAGGAGGAAGACACTTACATTCAGCTGATGTGGTGATCCCATTTGAGCAAGAAATAATTCGTCCTCCTCCTCATCTTAAAGAAAATAAAAAAATTTAAAAAACACCCCCCCACCTGCAGCAATCACTTAACCTAATCTGACACCCTCCAGTTTGAGTGTGTTTTCATTATTCTGTCTATGAATATGTGACTGTTTTTACATTACAGACGGACAGAGAGAGAAAGAGGAAAGGAGGAGAGGGTGAGGTGAAGCATGTTCAGACGTTTGTCTTCAGGTGAACTTCACAGGGTTTAGATTGCTTCACATTAATGAAGCTGATGTGATGTGCTGTGGACTCTAATGATCCCCACAGAGATGCTGGCTTTGGACTGAGAGCTACCAACAAGCTGGTTGGACCCTGTTATTTTAAGAGAAATGTCCATGATTTCCAAAATGACTGTTGTGCTTTATTTGGTCAGACTGCAAAACAGTTTTCCTCTTCCCCTCAGTCCACCTGAACAGGCTCAGGCTCGGAAGAGTCTCTGGTGTTCCTGGATCTGGTTTAGTTTGAACCTCAGTTGTTGATGCAGTGAAGAAGGACTTATTTTGATGTGTGTTGTTGGTGTTCAATAACTTCAGTGTTTGATAACTTTCCTTTAGTTGAGCATCCTTCAGACACTCTCTGTCTCAGACGTTAAAAACCATACTCTCTGATTATTCTGATGAAAGTGTCTGACACGAACTGAACTCTTCAACTCTGATTGACCTAATGAGGGCGCTCTGATTAAATGTCACATATTAAACTCTGATGTGATCTCAGACAGCTTAAAAACAGGACTGATGGGGAATCCTTGTTTTCAGCTGATTAACCTGGTGGGGGGGCTGAATTAAAGGTCTGATCTTTAAACTAAGGGGACAGAAATCACTCCACAACGGCCATATTCAGACTAACTTAGTGAGCAGATGGAGCCCTCTGATTGGTCCACACAGTGATTACAAGAAAGAAAAGTTAAATAAAATAAAAAATAAAAAAAGAGGATTTACCCTGAGGAACATTTACAAGAGTTTGAACAGTGTGTAAAATGTTCATCAAAATTGTTTTAAGTGCAAAGCAAGAAATCACATATTAAAACAGAGAAATTTTGTTGTTTGGTAAAAAATACATGCTTATTTTGAACTTAGGGGCAGGAGCATGTTTCTCATCCTCAGTCATACTAATAGACTGTATATACTATGGATAATTTGGTTCCGCCTCCCGCCTGTATATGGATTTGAAGCCAAAAAGCTCTCAGTATTTCCGGGATTTTTCTTTATTTCTTGAAACCAGCGCAGCACAGTAGCATTGTACGTATTTGGCGGGGGAGCTGCCGTGAGTCGCTGTGATGCTCAAACAGCGTGTCCCCCCGGTGAGCTACGCAATCCCTGAACGCCAATAGGCTGTATCAGGTGTCAATCATAGAAAACATGAACCCCCTAATAACTTTTAAAAACAGAGCTTCACAGAAAAAAGTGGACTTGAGCACAAACCAGTCTTAAAATAACTACATGTCAACATCACAAGCAGGGGGGAAAAATGTATGTTCTGTGTAATAAATTTCTAAAGTTGGTCCACAGCCCCATAAGGTTTGCTGGCAGAGGTGGGATTTATGACCTATACTGCAGCTCATCAACAGAGGGTGCTGTTCTCGGAGTGATTTCACCCAGCAAGGAGGCAGACGCTGTCCATTCTATATACAGTCTATGGTCATACTGTTGTCATGGGGCTGTAGCAGAAGCTCGACAGTACTCAGTGCTTAAAACCTTCAAACCCTCCTATCACTTTTTTTTCACTCATTCTAATCTTCCTACAGTGACATATGCTGCTTTTATTGCCTTTTCTCCTTTTAATGTGTTTTTTATACTTTACCCATGGACATTTAAAAGAAAAAAACAAAACAAAAACAAAGCTTAAACATAAGTTTGGGTATTGCTGGCTCTAAAATAATAGGATGAGCCAGGATATGACACTCAGAGCTGAGAAGGAGACCTCAGCTCAGCTCAAGGTTTTTTAATTTCTTTGAGGCAACCTTAGTGACCGTAGTGAGCCCAGCAGACCAGGTTCTGGAGTCTGACAGTCAAATCTTGCCCTAGTCTTGACTGATCGAGGATTTCAGCTGCTTAACAGTTCAGGGTCTCCTTTGTCCTGTTTTTGGTGTCATGATGATTCAAATGTTTTCAATGGGGAACAAGTCAGGACTGCAGGCAGACCAGTTTCTCAGCAGGACTCTTCTCCTACAGAGCCATGCTGTTGTAATCCCTGTTGACAGAATATGATTTGTCATGGTCTTACTGAAATATGAAGGTCTTCCCTGAAAAAGTCTTTGTCTGGATGTCAGCAGATGTTGCTCCTCAACCTGTAAATATTGTTCAGCATTAATGGAGCCATTACAGATGTGGAAGATACCCATGACATGGACTCTGATGATCCCCATACCATCAGGGATGCAGGATTTGGACTGAGAACAAGCCAGGTGGACCCTCTACTCTTTAGAGAGGAGGATGCAGCTTCCATGATTTCCAAGAAGGATCTTAAATGGGATCAGTTGTTTCTGGATCCTGTTTCTGTCTGTTTTTCATTTGTGGATGCAGTCATGAAGTGTGTTTTTTCGAGGTGATTTCCACTTCAGAGTCATGTCTGTTATTAATGCTGAGCTGAGATTTCTTGTGTTTTTGGTATTAAACCTGAGAGTGTTTTTGTTTTTGTAAATAGTAAGGATTTACATTTTCAATTATATTTAGGCTTAAAATCATTTGCTTACTATCATATTCTGTGACTATTGTGACTATTATAGATGGAAAACGATGTTGTACTTTAATATACAGTAAAAACAGCTGCAGTCAGTTCATTTGTAAAGCAGAGACAGTTTCTTTTGTGTATTAGATTAGAAACACTGATCATTCAGATAAAAATCCCTGTGCTGATTTCACACACAGTGGTCTGTAGTTTGTTTTTCGCTCTCTGCTCTGTCTCCTGAAGATGAACAGTGTTTTTTTATAATTTGTTGTTAATTTTGAAGCCGATGAGCTGCATGGTGGAGGTTAATGCAGCCTGATTCTACAGGAAACAAACCCCCCTCCCCAAGGAGAGCAGCAAACATTAGTAATTACCTCCCTGACCACAGGGCCACCCCTCCCAACACCTCTTTTTCACGTCCACAAATTGAGGTCAGACGGGGGAAAGACGCTGCGAGGAGACATATGAAGTTTATTGTGGGACTGCAGATGTGTGGACTAAATACCCTCAATTATAAAACCTCACTTAGTGATCTGATTAGTTGGTTATGTGGAGGTGAGACTGTTGCAATTATCCACAGGAGGCCTGAGGGGGGCAGACATGCTCACGAGCTGGGAAACAGAAACAAGAGTAAACTGACCGTTTGCTTCAACACACAGCAAACCAGCCTACAAAGCACTACAAGAACCTGCAAGAAAACATCCTCAGAAACCATCTCAGTGGACCACATCAGGGCCCCGTCTCAGCCTTTTGGTGTGCAGCACAAATGTAAATCTTGTTTTCTACCTGTTGCAATCATCATTTCATCACCCAGCACCCACACTGCGTAAATAAACAAATTAACTTGCACCTACACAAGGGCCCAGAGGCGTGTTGGTTTAGAAATAAAGTGTTTGTCAGACACAAAAGGGAAACCTTGGACCTACAAAAACCCTGTCCTTGGCCCAGGGTGCAGTGCTTTACTCATAGTGTTGTGTCGTTCATGAACGTTTCGTTCAAAAGAACAGAACTGCTGAGTGAACGACTTGAACTGAATCACTCCGAGACCTGATTCGTTCCTTTCTCAGTTCAGTTGAGCTCAGCCATGAGCCTGGCATGCCAGGCAGGAGTGGAACTGCTGCCTTTGACTCTTTGGTGAATGACACACAGCCTGTCGTTCACTTACTGCTGAGCACCGGTTTGTTCACTTAGGCTAAGATTAAACAGTGCATTATAGTGCCTTTACATTAATACATGTGTATAAACTTTCCTGCAAGAAGGATTTAATTTCAGCCAATTCAATATGCTATTTCATATCTTTAAAAGTATCTGAATCCCTGCTACAGCTGCAATGTTTTTATTTATTTTTAATCTCTTCATTTTTCTGCGATATAAAAGAACGACAACTTGCGCTCGTTTAGGGGGCGTGTTGCTTGCTGTGTTGTTTCTGCTGACAGCGACACACAGAGAGGTGAGTTTTTCAGGGAGTGATTCTTCCTTCAGGACTTGGCAAATGAACGACATGTGTCACCCAGTGCACAATGCTGTGACTTCAGCACCAGGGGAGGGGAGGGCTTTCAATGAACGAACTTGTGGCTGTGTCACTCACTCGCATACAGCACCGGCAGGACGGGGCTCAGAAGCACTGACTGATTCAGTGAACGAATCTTTTGAACCAATCATTTTAATGAACAGATTCTAAAGATTCAGTACAGTCAAAAGAACTGTTCTGCCCATCACTATTTACTCATAGTTAGAGGATGCATCATGTACCTGAGAGTCTGGTTTGCATTTGTTGATGATAAAAAGTCTTTATTACACATTTCTGTCTATTTAACAAACAACATAAAATCCTCACAGGAACTTTAAAGCCTTTATTTAATAGAAAATTGGTATAGGCAGAAAAATTAATCAGAAAAGTGTTTCTTTTATTAAACATAAATGCTTATTTTAGATTTGATTGAATGCATCCAGGTGCCTCACTACAGATCTATCAGTAGACTTCCCTCACAGTGAGCTGTGTTCAGGGCCCCTGGTCGGCTAGGGGGCCCCTGGCTACAGCTGCCTCCGGCTCTTTTTCTTCTTCTGTTGTTCAGAGATAATCTGAAGCTGTTCCAGTTTGATGGAATCTGTTATTATCTACAAAAAAAAGAAAAAGGTTTGATCAGCTCACCACATCTCCATCTGTAGGCTGGGCGACAGGGGGAGATGGGGGGTGGGGTGGGGGGTGGCCCCTGAGGGTTCAGCCTCTGTGTCAGACAATCCTGAGGAAAAGGTTTCATTTGGAATCACTGTAGTAAAATCCTTCAGTGTCTGTCCCAGGAGAGAGCTGCACCACTGAGACTCTACCAGCTGATACAAAACCAGAGCGAGTGTGCGTGTTTCACGGTGGATTTTTCCTCCATCCTCAACAGAAAGACCTCCTCTCCTCTCCTCCTCTCTTCACTCCTGCAGCAGATCTGATAAGGTGTCGGATAAAATCTATCGGCTCTCTCTTTCTCACAGAGCATCCTGGGGGGAGGAGTGGCCGTGTGGATCTCAGCATTAAAATATGATTTGGATGGTCATTATTCAGATAAGCTGGGTGTTTTCTGGTAGAGGATGGTCTGATAGAATCAGCTGTCCATTCAGGGACTCTCTCCTTCGTACTTATTAGATAAAAATAGGTCCTCTTGTAGCTGGGGGCGACTGTGGACACTGAGTAATTCTCTGTGTGGTGTTTTCAGGAATTGTTGTCTCTACTGATACACTCGCTGCACATTCATTTCAACAGCATCAGAAAACACCTGACATCCTGCTGCAGCTGCTGGGAATCAAGCTACCTGCTCCTCATGGTGTGGCAGTGTAATGAGATTAAGAGCAAAGCTACACACTGTGCATTCATATGCAGGATCTTGGCATGTTTGCAGAACTCACCTGGTGTAAACAGAGAAATTCTCTCTTCTTAAAGACTTTGTGATTTTGTTTGCAGAGTTTTTTCATTTGCACTGAAAGAATCCTGCACTGGGGCCTTTAAACAAGGAGCAACAGGCATACTTCCTATACTGCACTTACAAAATAATCCAGCCACTTATGCACAACTGAAAGTCCCACTCCTACTGTTTTTTTTTTTAACTACTTAAAGTGTTCTCAGTGGTCTTTAAACTGTGAATATAAAGTTTCTAGCCAAAAATCACAGTACCTGTGTCATTTTCAAGGGGTTTTCTTCTGCAGAGCTCCAGTAGATTATTAGCAGTTCACCTCTGAGTTGTGGACAGAGACAGTGCTGCTCTGCACGTTCCTCTTCATGCTAGTTTGTAGACTAACATTGCCACTGTAGTAGAAGTGGCAGGAAACATAGGAACTATTCAGCTCTTGAACACTAATGTCTTTGGGGACATGATGAAAGATAATATCATAAGGTGCTTTCGTAGGAGCATTGCAATCCGCGAACACACACGCTTGTTTGTGAGGCGAATTTCATGGCGAACAGACAGCGGGAATCGCGAGAACTAACAAGAACCCAGAGATTCACGTGCAATCATGCAATAATGAGCTGTCTCTATAATAACAGCCACATAACCATTAAAGCAGTAGATTGTGTCCTTCCAGAGGAGGAAATCCACCTTTGGACTTCAAAAATCTGCATCTCCTCATCCACGGTGTCATTGGGGTGAATGCTGTCTAAAACCTTTAATTTGTTCGTGCCCGCCAATATGAATGGCGTGAAATTAAATCTGCGTGAAATATGTAGTGCTCGAT